GAATATGATATACAGTGTCGGTCCAAGCACGCTGCCTTGCGGTACACCAGCTTCAGGTATGTAGGTATGTAGGTATGACTCCAATATTCCATGGATGTTCTGTGGAGGTAATATTTTGATTTTGTGGATTAAGCCATCTAACCAAACGCGGTCGAAAGCCTGGGCGATTCAAATGCATTTCGTATCTCAGAGGTTATACGGTTTACTTGTTCAATGGTTCCGTGTTTTTCGCGAAATTCAAATTGGTGAGTCGGGATGGCACCGTTAATGTGTAGGTGTTGTTTGATACGATTCAGGAGCAGCTTTTCAAATATCTTTGATAGGCAAGGCAGTAGGCTGATAGGTCTATATGATGATGGCTTGGACTTGTCTTTTCCGGCTTTATGGATCATTGTAATGACTGATTTCCTCCATTCTTGACGATAATAGCCCCATTTTATCATGCTGTTGAAGGAAGTAAGGAAATACACTGCACAGCTCGATCATAGAGATCATTTTAGGGGAGATGAAATCGTGGCCCGGAGCTTTCTTTTGCTTTGAGATTTGGTCTTTAATGACCCTTGTAACTTCTCCTGATTGGAATATGATAGGTGGAGTAGCTTCGGGATTGTTGGTTGGTGGGAGCACAAAGCTATTTGTTGCTGGGTGTGGTTTGAAGACGTTTTCTAGATGGACGGCAAATGTATTTGCCTTCTCTTTGTTGCTGCGAGCCCAATCTCCTGTTTGTGTACGCAAAGGTGATTCACTCTCGATTGGTGGGCATACGCCTGATTTTGCTTTCCACAGTGGGAATCGTTTACTAGTTGGGGAGAGTTGCTCCATATAGGATATTTGAGCTCGATTTTTTTCATCTTCTAGGGCTCTGCGTAGTAGGTGGTTGGCTATTTTTAGCCGCATACCCATGAAATTTTCTGTTCAATGAAATAGCAATGTTTTTTTTAGAATATTGAAAAAAACAACGAAACTCAAATAAAAACATATATTTCATGTTCTTCATGTTTCTTGAGCTTTAATATTTAGTTTTTAATCAATTTGGTTTCATTGCGAACTTACACCGGCCGAACATGGGTCATTAATCTCTTGCCAACGCCTCAATAGGATTTGAACCAATAATCCTTGAACCACTTGCTAAAACTTTGCTCTGGTTGACGGATTTGCAGTTGCAACAACGTATTTGGTATTCCAGCATAAGATTTCGTTGAGATTAATATCCAGTTGGACAGTTGGCCATGGCAAAATGTCGATCTTTTCCGATAAAAATCAATTCCTAGCGAGCTTTTCTGGGTGTTTCAAGTAATTATCCGGTTAAAATATCCTTTTAACAGGAATTTTTTAACTGTAATATGAGTGTAATGTATTCTGAAGTATGCCTACATACACAGTTTTTCTCAATACCATACCTTACTCAAACGCCAGGCTAGAAAGTACTAGCTCATATGAGCAGGTCCCCATAAGGCTCAGCCTAGCATGCCCAATGCTATTTTTTTCATGATTTTAGGTGGTAATCGGATTTCTGTGAATGCCAAACATAATCTTTTGAGTCTATCTTACCAAAGAGTAAAACTTTACCATCATCAGTCAAAAGCATTTTTGTCACTGTGACACAGGCCATTCCACATGCGTTTTTCCAAACTGAAGTCGTGCACCCATGTACTCTCAGACACAAACGCGGAGCTTTCTGGGACTTCTTGCATTCAAAAAATGGGTAATCAACCGTCTACGAACTGTCACATCACTGACAGAGCGATTGAAAATTTTTTTCATAATTTTTGAGGATATTGATAGCTTTGTCTTGCCTTCGACCATTGCCGACCATCCTCTAAAAAATAAGTTTTTCAAATACAAAATCGATTTTCAGTCTACTTCTTATAGTTAATTAATTAAATACAATAGTGAGAGTGCATACAACTTAGTTTTCAATCCCATTATACCTCCTGCGTTAAGTTTTTAGTCTAACTCTTAGGTATCCTATTCTGGACCGAGCAATGATTTCTTCAACGCTTCAAAATCAAAAGTACCGCTATGTCCAACACTTTCTTTCATCAAATTATTCGATATCTAAATTGAGTTTTCGGGTGGTGACTTATTTAAATTAATTTGATTTGTTTTTTTCATTTAAAAAAATTAATTTAATCCATTTCACGTTTCACTTTCACAAAAAATGTGTGATTTACGTTTCAAAACGAAAAGTAAGGCGCTCCCGCATTTGTTAAACGCAAGACTATTCCGTTTTTAATATGGCAATATATTTCTCGACGAAATAAAAAGTAAAGGGCTTAGTAAAACAAAACGAATCTTAAGTGCAAAGGAAAAAATAGATGACTTGTTGATCCATTAACATAAATTGGACACCATTACCAGGGCAATTGACCTTGTGCCCTTTTTAGAATTAATTTTTATTTAAACCAACCTCAAAATTGGATCTGAAAAAATTGGTCGGGGCAACAACAAATAGTGAAAAGCCTAGTACTCAGCTCCGAAAATCAGGGTTTGTTTTCGTATGAAACCGATACGAATTTTTTTGGTCACAAACTAGGGTCTGTATGCACGGAAGGCAGTACTCAGTTGAAGAAAAAAAAGAGAAGGAACGTGTGAGTCGCTTCTGGGGACGCGACTCTACTCAGTCAGTATATACATATTTGAGCTTATAATTTTTTAGAATTTTAATTAAAAAAAAAAATTTTACATTTTACATTTTTTTGCTACATCTGTTATCTACATCTACAATGTATACTTTACATCTAACATGTAGATTATAGATGTACCATTCATATTCTACATCTCCTCCGCTAAGGGTTGTCGGCGACAACTTGTCGCGCACTGAACGTGGCAGAGTGTGCGAGCGAGAAAGAGTATGAGTCGCTGGCAGGGGAGGCGGAGGAAGCAACTGAAAATGAATTTCATCATTTTGGCTATAATTATCATCCGATCTGATTCAGATTCGGCAGTCTGGTAGATATGGTCATTCTCTACGATACTGCGTTTTTAGTTTTATCGTACCTTTAAAAATGAGCCTGCCACAGATTTTCGTCCTTTGTGTGGGCGGAAGGGGGCGGGGCGAAATTTTGAAATACACTTGTAGCAGTGCAATGTCACATGTCAATGTCGACTCGGCTATTGATGCTGATCAAGAATATAAATACTTTATGGGGTCGGAAACGTTTCCTTCTCTGCGTTGCACACATCCACTTTTACCACAAATCTAATATACCCCTTAACTCTTTTTTGAGTACGGGTATAAAAAACCGACAAAAACCACTGTGCGATGGTATTTTCTGATATTTATTGCTAGCCGCTCGAAAAAGATAGAAATGAACGTAAATAATGCAACATGGAGAGCACAAAAAAATTAAGTAATTAAATAAATAAATAAATCTTTAAGCCTAGTACTCAGATCGAAAAAAAACACCTAGCGAACAGAATCAGGGTTGATATTCGTATGAAACCGATAAGAAATTTTTTACGGCAAATACTGTTTTCTAGGCTCTGTACGGAAGGCAGTACTCAGATCGAAAAACAAAAAGGTCGGTATATACTGGAAAAGTATCAGAAGTATTTGATTGTTTTTTGGTATGTTTCGACCAACCTCGAAAAAGATATCAGTTTGATATCTTTTTCCAGCAAACACGAAGCAAACATTGCAATTAGAAAACAAAAAACCACTGAAATATTTTACTAATGAAGACAAATAGAATCTAATTAATGCAGCATTATATAAAGGACAATTTTATGGATATTATAATATTATATTTTTATTAATTTTCATAAATATAAAACAAATATTGCTTTCAAAACAGTTTGTCTTCACGGTGGTCGGCACGGGAGGCGTCGCCATCTGCTGCTGCTGATAGTCAGACACATTACCTTGCCAATAAAATGTTGGGAAGCCCAGGATATGCCTGGGGAAGAGCGGCCCCAGCCGAAGAAGTGCATTTTGTTAACTTTAAACAAAACCAAGCAGCGGTCTGAGCAGTGTAACCGTTCGGAATGCAGTGCACACCTCTGGTCACACACTGGCCGCTCGAAGAATATATGGCATTTGTTTGCTGGCAAACAGTTTTTCGATCTGAGTACTAGGCTTTATTCAGGGCAATTAGATAGAAATTAAAATTTATTATTTCTATTAATTTTTATGATATATAAAACAATAATTTTGATTTTACTTCCTCTGCCACAGCAAGAGCTGCTAATTCCAAGTAATATAAATTGATTCCATTTGTTTTTGGTTTGCCTCTTAGGCTATTTTCGTCTATGTCCATGTCTATGCTCTTCAAAACATGTTATCTTCACGGCGGTCGCCGATTGTTGCACGGGAATAGCCAGACACATTCCTTTGCAACTAACATATTGAGGAGCACAGGATATGCCTGGGAAAAAGCCGACCCCAGCAAAATCTGCTGCTTTTCCAATATTAAGCAGTATTTATTTTTTTGGAGCTGAGTATTTTCCTACTAATGGAATGGGCTATTTAAGCTAAGTACTCAGATCAGCTAAATTTGTTTGCTACAAAAAGTGCTATATTTTTCGGTCGGTACCCAGTGTGAACTAGGTTTGGAAAAGTTCATGCTTTATCGTATTGTATTTATTTAAAAATATAATCAGTTAAAATTTGGAGCTGGAGAACGACAATACACACCGTAATATTGTATAAATCCGATCCTGTGGAATTATAATACAATCAACAGAAACGGAATATGGAACATTTATATCTTTTTCGAGCGCCTAGCAAAATACCAACGAATACCATCAAATAATATCGGCTGCAGTTCTATTAATAATCTTTACTTTTTTAACTGAGCACTAAGGCAGCGCACAAACCCCAACAAACAGTTTGTGAACGAAATCTTGTCGGTTCATACTAGTATCAGCCCTGGTTTTGCTAGCGAGCAGTCTAGGCTATATTCGAGATCCAATTTTTGTCACTCATCATCGATATATGTATCTATATCGATAGATCCTGCCATCTCTACTTCTTAGGTTTCTACGGTATCTTAAAAACGAGAATTCATGTGAATTCATGAAAAACAAGAGTTGTAATGTTAATCTGACTAAAAACATTATTTATTAGAAGGAGAAAAGAATTGCAGATCAAAGCGCTCGTTATTTGTTGAGCGCTGTCGTGATTTCAGTTTGAAAACCATTTAGAATGATATGATACCTAAAGTAAGCAGTTTGCGATGTTTTCCCAATCACAAGCGTGTGGTATGCCGCATGAACGCAACACTCGGTCGACGAAGCTCTTAATCGGTGCAGTGCTTTTGCCCAAAGTATAGAAAATATATATAAAGGTAGAGCATATTACAAAAGTAATATGCCTAAGCACAATCCAATGTGTGCTGAATTAGTGTCTTGCCTTAGGGTGTCGAAATTTCCGCTATAAGGCGTACTTAGCAAGTGCGTCGGTTCTTCGGTCCTATTCAGATCTGGGTATGTGTTCCAATGACAACTGTGCTGTGGGGACTTTCACTGCAATAACGGGTTTAACCTGGGATTTCTTTTCGAACAATTTGCATTGGCAGAATCATGAGCTTAACACAAAGCTGCCTCTGCGAGCCAAGGAGCAACGGCAGGAACAGAAAGAGCAGTAGCAGCATGTTGGACGACTTGGATAAGGCCAGCATCGTTGCCCATGCCGACGACAATGAGTACATATCGCCGGCCACACCGGAACCACAGCCGGAGCCGGAATTTACCCATTTGACTGAAACCAAGCGAGCGATTCATGATGCTATAGCAGCACTAAACGAAGACAGTTTCGACAAACGCATGGCTCGCCTGCTCCCGCAGTACGAAGGGTGAGTGTGGATGGAATATGGGTGATGGGAGATGGGGAACGTAAAAGAGGTCGGTGCTTATTCTGATTATTTACTGGATAGTGCCATTCGGGAGGAGTTTGAAATTGCACAGTACTCGCCGCAGAGATGTCGGAAATTGGCCCGGATCCTCACCGGACTCACTGATGTCATTCACAACATAGGAAGGTCGGTGCGACAGGAGAATGCCTATCGCCAACGCATGTGCAATATTGTGGCCTACTACATATCTTGTGAACTGTGCTCTGCCCAAGAGACAGTCGAAAAGGAAGAGTTCATCATCAATCGAATAAGCAGTTGTCTCAATTTGTATGTGGGATACGCCGATAGCGGCGCTGGCGTCCACAAGGAGCATGTACTTCGCACTCTTCTTGCCGCACCAAAGCTGTTTAATCGGGCTAGCATTCTATCGGTATTGTACAGGTACAGGTTACAAGATAGAGCTCTTATATACATATGTATGCTACAAATGTTCGTCCTTTTAAACTTGTTTTTCTATTATCTGCAGCCGCCTCTTTCCTCATTGGTCTATGCCTAACATTATGATCCAAGCAGAGCTGCCGGACAAACTTTACATCGAATATATTCTGATATTTTATTACTGGCAACGACTCGAGCCGGATGAGGCCGTCAAGGAGCGGATTGTCGAGTTCGCTGAAAAGTTTATGCGGCCCTCCAAAACATTGGCCACGAGAAGCAAATACGCAGAGTACTTGCCCAAATACAGTGTCCGAGGCACTGCCACGCGTTCTATACTAAATCATCTGCGCCAGAATAGCTGCACAAGTCTCCATGTGGCGATCAAAGTTGAGAATCGGCCGCCCCACTCCAGCGAAGTGGTTAGTTGTGTTCAGTTAGCTTGCCATTACGTTCTCTCTTCGGTTTAACAATGATGTCCCAGTAAAAGGTCTGATTCGGACAAGCAGATGGGGCAAAAGGCTCCGCCGACGCAGTTAGTCGCGTGACAGGCGGAGGCTGGCTCCGTTCGGCTGTCCCAAAGTGACTACAATCTCAGCTGAGTACCGAAAATAGCCCCCACTAGAGATTTCTCTAAAATCCATAATTTTAATACAAATATTTCTATGAATACTGCAGGTAATCAGTTCGGATGATGAGGACAGCTGCCCGCTGTGGAGCAGCGTTAGGTCGAGGACGCCAACGCCTTCGTCAAGCCAGCATCCCCCTGCCTTTCTCCAGAATCTCTGCAAAAATGCCCGCCAGCTGGAGCCCTGCAAAAGAGCCTCGGCTTTGTTTAGTGGCATCGATAACGCCATTGAGATTGTGGATCTTCGCGACTCCGATGATGATGTAGAAATGTTCTCCCTGGATTTCAATGTGCCAGCCAATGTGGACGGAAACAACTCGAACTCGAATTCCAACTCAAATGATTCGGCCAGTCAGTCCCTTGCGGAAGATGACTCTGTGCCCGTCACTCGGATATATCCTACCAATCTGAGGACATATGAACGAGGTCCAAGTGCAGCTGTCATCTCTGTCTCCGTCTCTGTCCCACCCACCACGTACATAGTGCCTCGTATAGTCAATAGCTATAGCTGTCGGAGGGACAGCCTCCATCTGGTGTCCACAACAGCCCCGCATCTCGTGGATCAGTCGGTGCAAACGACCGAGGATGAAGCAGAGTTGGAGGAACAAACACAGGAAGCGGATGCCCTGCCCACTTGCCCCCTCTACTTGGACAACCGTCTACCGGCCACAACCAAAACGAGAACCACCGACCTGCTCTACTCAATCCATAGAAACGCCCACAGTCATTTGCCCAGGAGCAGCAGCGTAAGAAGCAGCGATGCCAGCACCCACATCCACCAGCACGTACAACACTGCCGCCAGCCATCTAGTCAGAATAGCAACTGCAGCGAAAGTTCGCTGCAGAAGAAACAGGTTACCTTTAGTCCCCAGCACCTGGGAGTCACTGCCTCGAGAGCGAGCAAAGTCTCATGCAAGAAGCCAGACACGCCAGCCTCCAAGGCGGACCGCATTGACACTCTCAAGTGGATGGCTCTCAAAGGTAAGAAGAGATTACTTTCAATATTTCCGTGAACTTATGACTTTGACCCACTGACTGATGTCTTTTGCAGAGCACATTCAGGCCAGCGCCAAGATGTTCGCCAAGCTGAACGCAAATGGTAACAATTGTGATAAAGGAAGATCCAGCGGTTACAAAGAGATTACAGAGCTTCCGGGGAACATGGCCTCGCCGGTCAGAAGTGCGCCTAGAGCGGCCCAAATCCTAACGCCGACTACGAGCAACGCCTCCAGCTGCACGCCCACACGCATGAGAGCTACACCCCGAGGGCGAGGGGAATTGCCCACACCTCCAGCGTCTACGCACAGCTCGGCCAGTCCATATCAGATACTCAGAGCGTCCACCGATACCCTGAGCTCCATTGACATGGATAAACTCGAGGTAAATTCTAGAGTCTACAACTTCAATCGACGCCTGTTCTCCAAGGCAGCCAGCGAGCATGTGAGCTTCTATAACCAGCTGTTGAGCGTGCAGCGGAAGAATCTCCGGCAGCGGCGATTGGCCAACCGCGCCAACAAGAGTAATCTTGTGGATCCGAGACAAGAGGAGCTTGTGAAAACGGCCAGGAAGCGGTGCCAACAGCTACGTGCTCTTAATGCCAGTAGGCGAAGCGAGGCAGAGCAGCTGCAGAAGAACCTGACGGCCATTAAGAATTATGCCATGCGGGGTAAGCCCATAGTAAGACTGAAACGTTGTAATCTCAATGTCTTGGCGGGAACTGTCGAAAATTCGCATCGATTTTCCACCTCGTCAAATGACCCAGTGAATAGCGGTGTATCTGATAAGGAGCCGTGTGAGGATAATCAGCAGAAACAGAAACAGCAGCAGCTGGAGCAGAGTCAGGCGAAGCAACGACGTCGAAGGGGTCACAGCGTTTGGAATCACATTAAGAAAAAAAAGAAGCCTTCGTTGTTTGTACCAGACGTAGCATCGGACTCGGCGCCAGTTGAGGTTTCAAATGCAACGCCAGAGTCAGATCGTGGAACAGTAACCGAGCCAGATCCAAAAGATCCAGAGCCAATGCCAGCGGCAGCTTATAAGGAACCAAAATCCCCTCCAGAGGTTGGCATGGAACTAGAAATTCCGGAAGACGGTCTGGTGACGGATGACAGCAACGCCGTGGCCTCCCCTGCCCACAACATCGAATTGGTGACCAGCAATGTGCCGGTGTACCTGCTCAACGGAGAGAGCCGCGATGTGAGCACCCCTCTATCCAGCCAATTCAGTAGCAGCGGATCCACAGACCCAGCAGCTGCTAATGATACCTTTGTCCCATCGAGAAAGGATTAGGCCTTCTTCCTTTCCTTTTCCCTAGCCTGGATAGTATTTTAGTGTTTTGTTGATATTTAGAGAGTATCCATCCTGTAAAACCGTTGTACAGTTTAGGTCTATTATCTTAATGCAGTTTCTAGAAAATTACGAATTACGAATTGTTAAAAGTTTTTATTATTATTTTTGTACATCTCCCTTGCAATATTTCCCCCTAAACTAAACACGAACACGAACCAAAATATTGTCAATTTAAAGCAATGAAATTAAATAGAATATATTTATTCAACTACGAGTATAGCCGACGCCACATACTTGACTTGACACTTTAGTTGTGTCAGCATGCCAAAATAGACGTAGGGGGTCGCCCTAAAAAAACGAAACAAAAAACGAAAATCATATATTTTTGTAAAAATCGTTCTCGTTTTCCTTTGCAAACTTTCGCTGAAAATCTCAAGCTCCTTTTAGAAGAGTATATGTACATATGAAGAGCAATCGCGAAAAGGGTAGGTTAACCATTGAATATACATATATACGTACTTTCTATATCTCAAGTCACCCAGGCTGCCGCATTCTCTTCGAGCGCCAGGAACGCATCTCGATAGAGAAGGGCCAGCGCATCTCTATTAAAAACACCAAAACCGAGGTGAGTGAGCTCTTTCGTCGCACAGCGGGTAATTTAGAAGCGGAGGGTGCATCGGCCATCAGCAACAAGGAATTGCGGGCCCGGCAGAAGGTGTGCGAGCTGAACCAGCGGATCAATCGTGAAATAGACCAGCTGAAGCTCTTACGCCATAATATTCTACCAAAACCCGTCAAGTCCGAAGCTTCAGAGTCAAATATGGAGCTGCACGATAATAAAGCCGCCGCGCGACAGACGGCTGAAAACCAATCCAGTGTCACTCATGACCGACACCCAAGCGACACAGAATTTTCCCAAGAAGACATAGATTTCATGAGCTTTCGCACAGTGGGCCTGAAAAAAAACAACAGGCGGGCTGAAGGTGGCTGCAATTACATTCCCCGGCAAAAGGACAAGACTTACGACCAGTATACACAGTCCGTGTATCAGTGTGATTACGGAAACCCCTCAAGATGCATCACCTGTTTTCCCGTTGCACAGCGACAGTTTCAAGATAATAACAACTGCGTATGCTGCACGCTGCGGCCAAGTGTTCCCATACCCGTATTGGCCGATCCGTGCTGTCAGTATCAGCCAAGCTGGGCGTGTGTCACTTCATGTCCGCGAACGGCGACCGACCTTCACACTGAGGACTTTTGTCGCAATTGGTGTGCCTGCATCATGCCCGATAGTACCCTGAGAAGCAAACAGAAGAGCCCCCGTGCTCCGGAGGAGCGAAGTGGGTCGAAGAGCCGTAGCTCCTCAAAAGCGAGCAAATTGCTAGATGAAAATATGCGCAGGAAGGTGAAGAAGAGCGGAGTCAAAATCGACTCGGCCTCGTTGGACCAGTACAAGGTCCAGAGTCACGAGAAGCTTCTTAAGGTCACCATGAAGAAGGAAATCAAGTCCCCACGACAGCGGGGGTCAAAGCCCCAGGCAGGAGAAGAAAAATCAAAAACAGGAGAGGGCAAGCAAACGGATGAGGGCGAGGATAGCATGCATCGCGAAATCAAGTCCCCACGACAGCGGGGGTCAAAGCCCCAGGCAGGAGAAGAAAAATCAAAAACAGGAGAGGGCAAGCAAACGGATGAGGGCGAGGATAGCATGCATCGCGACTACGTGGACAAGTACAAGAAGGAAAATGGCCACGCTGAAAATGATGTGGCAGCAGCAAGCCGGGCACAGGATCACGCCCAGGATGATGGATCTGGAGAAGCGGTAGTCCACTTAGGAGGGACTGAAAAAACCGCGGACGATGAGTATGCCGATGATTGCGGTCCTGACTATTGCAACACGGATCCAATTTGCACCACTAAAAAAAGAGTCGGCAAGGGCAGAGCAGTGTGCCTCACCAAAAAATGCGCTTGCTCTGCACGGGAATTCCAGACTGATCAAGAATACACAGACCAACGCAAGGCACAGGATTTGGCCCAGGTTGATGAAAGTGACCCGAGATCTGGACAAAAGGGAGTCCGTCCAGATGGAAATGGAAAACCCGGGGAATCAGCAAATGACGAGAAAGGGGACGATAGGTATGCCGATCGCTACGGTCCTGGCCATCGTGAAAGGGATCCAATTTCCAGCCCTGACAAAGGAGTTGAGAAAAGCATGGCCGTGTGCCACCAATGCGCTTGCGTTGCCCGGGAAGCCCAAACTGATGATGAATCAATCAAGAAAGAGGCGAGGTTGACTCAAACGGATCTGCAGTTGAAAGAGGAGAGACCCACCCAAACTGACTTTCAGGGGAGTCTACACGAGAGACCTACCCAGACCGACATGGACGGCAGTCGCCACGAGAGACTTACCCAAACCGATCTCCAGGGGAGTCAATACAAAGGACTCGCCCAAACGGAGCCAGAACTCAGCCATCAAATTAACACCGCTGTGTCGCCTCTATCGGGGGCGACTGTCAAAGAATCGAAACATGATTTCGAAGATGATATCCAAACTGCATCTCAGAAAGAGAATCCCTCAGCAGACCAGAAGCAAATTCAAGGTCAGTATTCGCCACCAATTTCATCAAGGAGAAGTTATAGTCCCCAGTCCCCTTCTTCCCGAAAATATGAGAAATTTATTAGTCGAGGATCCCTAACAGAAGAAGCTAAACCAGATGCGGACACAAAATGCAGTAGCAATTGTGCCCGCTATCGGGTCGGCCAGTGCCCCTGTAAGCCAGTGTCCCCCGGTCCCAGACAACGACCGAACGCCTACAAGGAGGAACAGTGTCTAATCGACGACGGAGACAGTCCAGTTGGCGCAGCGGGTCGCTTAGAAAAGTCTTCGCCATTCTGTGCTCCGTTGACTTCGGCGGATAAGTGTGATACGCATCCAGTGGGATGTAACTGTGACGTTAACCGAAATGTCGATAAGTCAACCCCTTCTGGCTCTACAGAGCATACAGACCGATCTATGGCTTCGTCACCCGTGAAGTCCCAAAAGACAGTCCCCGCCAATATCGACCAGCATCAACCCTACGAGTCGACGTATCAGCAAAGCTACGGCCGCTCTGCGGATCCAGGAAATGGACAACGGGATGTAGACATCACCAGTTATGACGAGGATAATGGACCGTCCACGGAGCGCAGCCCTGAGCACCCAATTTTTCTAGACCACAGTCAGACACAATTAGCCTGTGCCACTGATTGCACCGGGCGTAAACTCTCCGGACGTAATCTCTCCTATGACAGCTACCAGGAACCACAGCCAACGTCATGGCGTCTTGAGTATGATCAGTACTCAGATGGCAGAGAAATTAATCCGGCCAAGCAATCACTAGTTCCAAGACTGCCAGGACTGAGCCAGTTCGCTGCCAGCTTCCCCTGTGCCACATACAACAATGATGAGTGCAAGAATGGGCTGCCGATTATGGTCTGCGAGAAGCGGACACGCTCTGTCACCTTCGAGGATAAGAGCGGTAAAGTGCGGAGGATGCGCAATATTGTTGAGCACTGTCGAAGAAGCATTGACTGGCAGCAGGTCTTGAAGCATCGTATAGTCGAGCGGGATGGGGATCGGGATGGTGACAACACCAGTCAGTCGGAAGCTGCCTTTGGAGGAAACAGTTCCACAGACGAGGACGACTGCACCTACACTTGCCGTAAGCGAAAGAGATATTCTTTCAACTTTCCCTACCTCATTAATTGTATTTTCCCAGGATCCAGCAGCTCTGCCGGCACCGAGATGACCTGCGTAGAGTCAAACTATGATCTTCACGAGGACACCAGCAACTACGAACATGACTCCAGATCGCAGCCAAACTATGGCAGTATTCCGCAATTTAATCACTGTCCCTGCATGCTCAGAACCTACGTCAGCCTGGCCTCCATCTGCACGACCAACAGCACATCCTTTCAGTATGAAGGAGGAGCCGAGGCGTCAGCACAAATTTGAATTACGTTTTTACAATTTTTATTATACATCTTCGAGAGCCTCTAAGAAAATTAAATTTGAGTTGAAATGAAACAAACGAACAAAAGGAAAGAATAAAGGGATCGAACAGGCTAGGCTACAACGTTTCCGAGGGCACCCGTGGACTGACTTCACGTGTTCGGGCCCGACAGAAACGATCCTGGTCGAGGTTCTTGCGCAGTTCACGGAGCTGCTCCTCGTACTTGGTGGCCAGTAGCTCCTGCTGAGTGCAGCGGGCACGCTCCTCCTGCAGCTTTTCCTTATTGGGACAAGGTAAAGGCTTAAGAGTGTAGTCTATCAGAGATGATTGCCGTTTGCTTACCATGGTATGTTGGTATAGATGTCGCAGTCGATCCATCTCGTTGGTTGTCCTGATGCCATCGTCATCCTGACGCTGCTGATCCTGGTGCAGGTTCTCCAGCAACTGATCCGTGGTCTCTGTGGCCACTTGGTTGACGGCCGCCGTCTGGTGGAGTTCGTCGCGCAGCTTCTCGCACTGCCTCTCCAGCTGCGAAGTTGATTTTAGTTATTGGGATGCCTTAAACCGCTAGTTGGACTAACTAGCATTAGAATTTACTAACTCTGGCAGTTAGTAAGCTTGGATTAGCATGCGACGAGAACTAAGGCCTTAGCAAGGATACTGATACGCTTTGGGGGCCGAGCTAAAGCTCACCTTCTTTCTAATTTCATTGACCTCATTCAACTCCGCATTAAGCTTCTCCTTCTCCACATCCAGCTTTTCGCACAGCTCTCTGCGGGCCTCAAGATCGACTTTCTGGATGCGCAGATCGTCGCGGGCATTCTCCAGCTCCCGCTCCAGGCAGCGGGCCGTGGCTCGGGCGGCGGTCAATTGTACTTCCATCTCCTTCAGCTTGCACTGGCAGCACTGCAGATGATCCTTGAGGATGCGCATCTCGCACTCCAGCTCGCAGATCTGGCGCCTGAAAAGATTTGACATTAGTCACTAGCAATAGCCGCAATAGCAAACGAAAATCTGAATTTTTAATGTTTACTTACTTTGACTCGGCTGCCTCACACTCCAGACTTTGGTTGTTGCCCTCAAGCACCACCTGCTCGTTGGTGAGGCTGTGGAAGTTGTCCAGGAGTTCGTCCCGCTCCCTTTCCTTTAAGGTACGAGTAGAGCACACCTGTCGGCATTAGCTACGCGGCTCGAGTACTTGGCTCTTATCCTTATACTTTAAAGACTAAACTGACCTTTTGGAGGAGCAGGTCCTCTGCCTTCTTCACCTCCTGGACGTACTTGTGCAGCTGTTGCTTCATGTTCGCTACCCTCAGCTCCGATTCCTTGAGCTTCGTCTGCAGCGTCCTGGCCTCCACCTGGGCATCGCTCAACACGTCCATCAGGCGGCTAGGCGATTACAAAATGTGTACACATTCATGTACATTGGATTAGTGCCATAAAAACTACATACTAATAGTCGTTGGGTCAGGAAAAACTTTGCCTGAGCGCGGAAGCAGTTCTATGATCGCTGCAGTAATGTCTTTTTTGCTCACCCATTCTCTGCTATGGCCTCATCGCGGCTGGCTTTAAGTGCCACAATCTGTTGCCGCAGCGTTTTACTTTCCGTTGAAGTCTCATTCAGCTCCGAGTCGCACTGTCGATTTCTGTTGCTCAGTTTGCTGTTTGGGGAGAGTATAGGAAATCAATCATCAATCATAGATGCATAGAAAGCATTGTTCTACAATGTTGACAATGAATCCTTCCTTAAGAATTGTTTTCCTGCACCCTGGAGACACTAGATATATTTATAATTATTGCTTGTACATTGTACGAGTAAATATAGCAGTTTGTTTTAAATCATTTGGAACCAGTATCGTGCATTTAATCGCTCAAAAACAACTAGATAAGTCGAATATTGAATTTTCATAGAGACAGACCCTTTCTGCCAGCAGAGTTCCACCAATGCCAAAGACTAGAAGAGCCTGACCGACCCTCTCTCGGGCGGCCCCAAAGAGACACATCAGTCGTCCCATAAGCAACAGACACAGAGATATGTATGTGTGCGACTAGATATAGAGGTAGATGTGAATGCCAGGCACGTAGCCAAACATCCGCGATTCGGCTTGAAGCTCAAGAACACACAGCTCACAGAGCAATGAGGCACCAGTCAAAGTCGCCATCGCCATCGACGTCTTTGTCTGTCAGTCATTAAGGCTAAACAAAGTTCAAATACCCGTCGGGGGCTGACGCAGAACCCAAAAGGCTAAGCGAAAGAGAATGATATATATATATACAACATATATATATATATATCTATATATGTATGTATGGATATGTGTATGTTCGATGACTGACATTTTGACGCCCGCTGCTTGCTGTTGTTGGCTTTACGACCAAAGTGGTTAACACATGGCTACTAAATCTTTGACATAAACTATGCTGCTCTGCCTGGGTAGTTTGCAGCTTGTCGTTTCCACGAAAGAGCGGGCTGGACGCTAAGAGCGAGTCGAGCAGGCCAGCAGAGCGTTGGCCGGGCTCAGATGTTTGTTACCTGCCTGAGCGAACGGACGGCTCAGTCGGTCTGGTTCGTTGGGTCGGTCGTGTCGGTTCTGCCTAAGGGAATTGAATATCTTTTGGATGATCGCTTTTTGAATGTGTTATTGTGTTATCGTTTCATTGCGGGTAGGACGCTAAAAACCAAATAAAAATCAATTGAGCTAACTCAAACTATTTTTTTGGAAATTCCCGAAGTTTCAAAAGGTGCCTACATAAATAATCACTAATCACTGTTGTGTCTCGAGGCAAGAATCACAGGAGAGGGAATATTTTGATTGAATATAAACCAAACCCCAAACCAAAGCCAAACGAAAGCCAAACCAAACCCCAAACCTGTTGCTATTACAGCAGCTAACAAAGCAACCTAAGACTGGCCAGAAATCACGCAACTATCCACCAGCATGGATTGGATATATGGGGAACTGGTGCAGAGTGTGGCACCTCTCGTGTCCACCGCTTGGCTGGCTTCTGCGGCTGCGGCCTGTGGCTGTTGAGGCCCATGTGTTGCTTGCCACTGTTGCAGGTTTCGTCATTTGCTCTTACATAAAATGGCGTTTCGATTATGAGCAGCAGAAGATTTCTGGCCAAGCAGACGCAAGGCAAAAAGAAGTCAAGATAAATGGGTATTTGGGTCATGGTTAACAGCGCACGAGCCGTTTACTGGTTTTCTGTTGTGCTTTTTGGTTCGCTTCGGCTCTGGCTCTGGCTCTGGCTAGTTCGAGTCCAAGCACACCGATAATCAGATGCCCCAGAGGGTTGGCTAATTCAAATTGGACCCGCTTCGGGGCCTGTGTCAGCGACAGCGTCTGCAAAAGTGAATTGATTTATAAGCCGCTGCCCCGGCAATAGAAAAATCATCAATCATCCGGTATAATGAGAGGCGATCCTCCTTCCACTCCTCTGGCATAGCCCTCCGCTTGCAAACAAAGGCGGAAATCTATTAGTCGCCGTCCCAGCTGATGCCAAACTATCGCCCTTGCTCTTCCAGGTCCGCCATGACACGTCGCAAGCTGCTCATCTGCTGGGCAGCCCTCCAGGCGGGCTCGACCATGATTACCTGCCTGCTGCTGCTGCTGACCACCTCACAGCACGGCAATCAGGTGGCGGCTGGAATTGTGCCGCCACCCTGGAGTGATCCGGCCACGAACCCCTGTGCCAGCATGTCCGGGGGCTGGCAGCTGCTCTACTGGATGCCACTAAAGAAGTGCTTCAAGATCTTCACTCTGGGCTATCCTTGTCCGGACACAATGGAGCTGAGTCCCACGCCAGTTAGTGCCAAGCGGAAGGATCTTCCTGCGGCCGAATGTCGCTGTCCGCCGGGAACTGCTCTCAGTCCTCTGACCAGCTCAGTGTGCCACAAGCTTTACGAGCGGGGTCCGTGTCAGAGCACAGAATACTTCCAGCCCCTACCAGATCAGGCCAAGAGGTGAGTCTCTGGAGGGATCTGGATCATTCATCATTATTCCATTCACAATTTCCTACTCATTCCTCCTCATAGGACTGGAAACCGGTGGGGCACCTGCAAGCGTCCGTTGCAGTGCGCGGATGGAATGATCTTTTGGCCGAGAGACAACAAGTGCTATGCCCGGCGTAGCCGGGGACCCTGCAGCCGGGGAAAGTTGTTGGTGCGCAACGAGGACGGGCTGGCCGAGTGCCGATGCGAGGATGCAGGCGAACTGGCCTTGTACTACTCTCCGGCGGAGGACTCGTGCTATGAGCACTATACCAAAGGACCATGCTCCACGCCGGGTCACATTTTCATGCCGGGTGGTCGGTGCGACTGCCAGCAGCATCTGCCACAATACCATGCCTCGCAGCAGATGTGCTTCGAGCTCGGTAGGACTAGATTTGACAGTACAGTAGTCCCCTTCCTTATTCGTAGTTCTCTCCTGGTTTCAGATACTCCGGGACCCTGTCCGCCTGGGCACATATTTCGCATACCCGACAATGCTGAGGTGACGACTGATGGCTCTTTGCAACTATTGCCCCGGGCCGAGTGCCTGTGCAAGGACGGCTACGTGCCCTGGACCGATGGCATCTGCTATCGTCTGTACACACGGGGACCCTGCGGTGCCACCGAGTTTTTGGTGAATGCCACCTCCTGTGTGCGCAACTTTTGCGGCAAGAATCGTCTGTACTTCCCGGCCGAGGACTCTTGCTATCGTATAGGCTCCCAGGGCCCCTGCGCACTCCATCAGGTGGTGATCTTCGATTTCACCGCACGCCCTTCGCTCGACGGCATCTCCTACAATGGAATGTGCGGCTGTGCGGGAGTGCTCACCAACTTGGACCAACAGTGCTCCGGCTCGGGACTCGGGCACCGACAAGGAGCAGAACATCTGCGAGTCCACGCCTGGCATGGTCGAGATCAACGGCCAGTGTCACAAGCTATACACCCGAGGGCCCTGTGGGGCTGGCCAGTGGCTAGAGCCACTCAAGACTAATTCCCAGACGAATACATCGATCCTGGCCTACGCCAGTCGAGCCAAGTGCGCCTGCCGTCCTGGCTACACGCCCACGGAGGCGGACCAGAGGGGCCTGAGCAACTGCAGTGCTCCGAGCGTGAGCCTGGCGAGGTATTTAACGATCGAGCGTTACAACTCAAAGTTCCTCAATGATCTACACTCTGGTTCTCCCTCCCTAAACGTTAATCCGAGCTTTACAAACTATCCTTTGTAGTCCCTGGGTCTGGTTTTGAGTCCACGCATGTCTCCTCTCTTTATCCCTCTCTTTGATCTTTTGTGATGCATGCCAAGTGTTTTGTTATTTGTTATTCCATTAACCATTATGTTCTTGTTATTTTAGGTGGTTTTTAGAAATATTCGGGTAACCTTTTCGATGGTGTTGCAGCCACGGGGGATAGGATTGTGCCATCAATGTATTACAGCGACTAATAAACGAGTTGTATTTAAGATAACTTTTGATAAGACAATTAAAATAAAATAAAGCAATGTGAAAACTAAACAAGAATCCTATTGTGCTTACGCGGACAGACCTTCAAAGATTAGGTTCAGCTCTAACTACTTTCGGACGGAATATGCCGCACCATCAAGTCGCCCGCGCCACACCAATCCGATGCCGGTTAGGCGTGGATTCCAGGCAGAAACGCGGTATACCTCCCGGCCAACCGATTGAGGGGCATGACTCGCGATACGTATAATCGTACCAGTCGCGTTCATGAAGGAAATATATGTGTGTAGATGTTAGAGTAATATTCGCGGAAATTAAAAATAGTTGAACTAAATTACAAATATTAATAATAATTACGGACAGATACGTTAGAATCCAGCCCTAAGTACTCACCGCACTTGGTCTTCCAGTTCCTTGACTCTTTGTTCCAGACAATTCCGCTTCTCCTTGCAATCCTTCAGCTCATACTCCAGTTTATATGCTCGCTCGGTTTTGCTATCCAATTGATGCTAATGCATTCGCAGAAGACAAAAAGTAAATAAAAGGAAAGGAGAGAGGAGCGGAGCGGAGCTCTTGTCTTTTACCAGAAGAGTGTCCTTCTCATTCTCCAGGGTAATGTAGGTCTGACGCAGGGCCCCGATCTCGCTGCGCAGGTGGGTAACCTCATTCCGGTTGGATTCTCGACTGGAGTCCAGAGTGCTGGCTCGCACATCTGCTGAGTGGCGCTGGCGCTCGGATATCATCAGTTTACTTTGAAAGTCGGCTATAATTCGTTCATTCTGTTCATTGAGCATGCTGTCAGAAAGAGATGTCCATTAGGAATGATGATCTCCACTCATCTTGATCAATGGCTGACTCACGTTATCTGCCCGTTCTCGGTCTTTAGCTGCTCGATTTCGGCTTGCAGCGAGGTTATGCGCTGCTTCATCTGGGCTATGTCCTCCTTGAGCAGAGCTATATTCGTTTCCGCTGGAAGGCGAGCTGAGTTCAGGTCCTTGTTATCGCGTTCCAGCTGCCGCAAGCGCGCATTGAGATCCTCGTTGCGCTGCCGCAGGGCCAGCAGCTCCTCGGAATGCAATTGAAGTGAGCACAGCTGCTTCTCCCTTAGCATGTCCCGTTCGCAGCGAAATCGCTCCAGCTCCGACCTGGCACAATCGCGCTCCCTTTCGACTCGCCCGATGGCAGCCTGGACGCAGTCGCTTCGATTGCTGTTGGTCTCAGAGCCACTGGCGGTAGATGGCGGCAGGGGCAGGGGCTCGTAGTGGGCGGTCTTCTGGGGTGAGTATTGAAGTTTGTTGGAGCACAGTTCATTCCGCAGTGTCCGCAGCTCTTCGTCCTTGGACTTGATTTGGGCACGCAGGAATGCTAGCTCTGACTCTGAGCCGGATCTGCTCATCATCCGAAGATATTCTTTCTGGAAGAAGTCCCGCTCCGACGCCAGCCGTATCTTCTCTTCGTCCAGGGTCACGGAGTTGTGTTGGCTGTGGTCCTTCGCCTCCTTTTGCAGCTCCGATATCTTGACATGCATTTTGCTTAGCTTCTTTTTCTGCTTATCAATGATGGTATTTAATTCCTCCTCGCGACGGGTCAGCAAATTAAGACGTTCGTTTAGATTACGATTATCACAGGGAACAGCAAAAGGAGCTGCCCCTCCTGTCAGCCGCACGTCTTTGAACTTCTGCTCGTTTCGCTGCTGCAGCTGCTTCAGCTCGACCTGGAGATGCTTCACCTCCAGCTCCCGGGCATCGATTTCCAGATTGGCTTGCTCTTCCACCTGGAGGGCTGCCTGCTTTAGCTCATCTAGGTTCATTTGAAGCTTCCGCTTGTCCTCGTCTGAGCGTACGGCTCTCTGCATGGCATCGTGCATTTTGTCTTGGTACTCACGCACCTGCATCATCAGCTCACTCTTCTCGCGCTGCAGCAGGTCAATGTCCTCCGATAAGGCACCCACTTCCTTGTAGCAGCAGTCCTTGGCCAAAGCAGCGGGCGGCCGTCCCCCAGACAGCATATCATTTAGTCGTCGAATCTCCCGATTGCGCGACTCAACTTTCCGCTTGTAGAACTCCAATTGTTCGCTGGATGTGGCTAAATCATTTTGCAGCTTGTCCAGCTCTTCCTGGCCGCTGGTCTGTGTGACGGTCACCCCATCCTGGGTGGTTGTCGTGGTCTTCTGAAACACTCCCGCATTGCATTTCGTACATTTCAGTACAGTGCCAAGAACGCAGGGCAGAACGTTTCCAGAGCGTACTGTTGTTATGAAAGGTTTTTTGGCTATAAAGAATTTCCAGCATTACACAACAGTTAGCAGTGGGTGAAACTATACACATACTCTGGCGGGTCGTCGCTACATGCGTCCGTTTGCCTGTCGTGGAGGACACTAGTTGCTTGGATAGCAAGGCATCCAGCTGGTTCTGTAACCCCACGTTGTGGCTTTGCAAGTGTTCCTTGTCCGTCTCCAGACTTCTCATTCGTCGTTCGGCCTCTGAGGGTGAACATTTTTGAAAGTTCTTTAAAGATCAAGCTAAAGATTACATACCACACAGGCGCAGCTCGTAGTCCTCGCGGTCCCTAAGAAACTGCAAGTGGAGCTCATTGCATTCAGCTAGCAGGCGGGAGTTGTCGCATTTGTAGGGTTCAACGCCCAGTTCCCAACAGGTTTTCTCCTTTAAAGACACAACAAATCGTCGCTTAGCAACCGCTTGACCCATTTTCCCAATGTTAATCTTAGCAGGCTTAGCTACTAAAAACATATTTATATTTGGGTACCTCTAGCAGATCGGAAACTTGCTTCTTTGTGTCCCTGAGACATTCCGTTGTCTTGACCAGGTCACCGAAAATTCCTTGCACCAGTGGAATGGCCAGGACGGGCAGCGTCTGATTGAAGCCCATGACGTCCAGTTTGGACCGCAGATCCTTGAAGTCGCCATCGTTAAAACCATTCATGGATAACTGATGGCTGAGCCTTCCTTCTATTGAGTGCACTCAATTCAATGTTTGCAATAAATAATAATAAAACTAAATTAATGCGCCAAGAGTTAAAAAGGTACGCTGGAGATGCAAGCCCATCGATAATACTATCGGGGGTAGGAATTGGTTGGCTACTGTCGATGTTTTTCTGCTATCGAAGAAAATTATGGCTTTCGAGACTAGTTTGCACACATTCCAAATTTAAATGAATATGACAAGAATACGCAATCAATCCTGATAGTCGCTGACAACGCTGAAAAAAACCAATTAAAGCGATATCCTCCAGCCATTCGGAATCCACCACTCTTTCGGGTAATAAATATTTATTGTGATATTTTTGGATAACACTTTAAAAGACTAAGACAATATTTTTAACAATTTTGTACAATTGAGGGAAAAGCTTCAAATAATGCTGTCAAACTGTATTTTTTTATTAAAAAACCTAATGCTTAGCCTTCTTATATGTTCATATCAGTTAGGAACAACCTATTCATTTTACAAGAAAATATGTACTTGTAAACAGCGTGAGCACCCTTATTAAATGAAAGGTAATATTTTACTTTGGAGCACTGAACCGGACCAAGTGTGGGTAAACGGATTAAAGTCAATATCAAGTCCACTAGCGCCAACGGAAATTACATTTAAATTCGAATTGAAATAAAACTCACTCGACAACAAAGCAATAAAAGTTCTTAAACATAAATGGAGCTGCATTGTCCGATATGAAATTACGCTCTGGCTTCTCAGATGAGAATGGATTTGTAGTCGGCGGCAACACAACATTCAAATGACGATTCGATTGACCGACGAACTGTGCCATGTCCAAAGGAGCTTCGTACTTGGTATAGGAAGTGACCACAATGGGGCATTTAAGACTGAGAGAGGCCCGTATGGTGTCAGGCCAGGTGTCCTCCAAAGCATATCCCGTCGACCGATACAATCCCGAATTGTAAAAGCAAACTGTTGATTAGAAACTGATAAAAATATCCGGTCTAATTGAGAGTTCTTTCTCATGGTTATACCCAAATCTGGATGAAGGAACTGCGGCTCTCGGCAGTAGTCGTGGTAGAGATTATTCTCAAAGTGATAATTCACTGTTCTCTTAGCCTTGCGACACAAGCGACAGCATCTAAAATAAAATTAGACTCTCAGTTGGATCTACATAAGTAGTCGAAACCGAAGACCCTTCACTCACTTGATCTTCTTCAGTTGCTCAAAGGAGATGTTATTGGGGTTCAGTTCTGGTCCCACGAAGACCACATTTAGGCATTGCAGAGCTGGCATTATATGCAGAAGGAAGAGCTCCCATTTCTGCAGCACATCCACCTCAAATTCGATCTCAGCTCCTATTAGATGAAGCGTCAGCTCACAATTTCTCAAGCGATCGCAGAGCTTCAGAGCAAACCAGGCCGTCAGGGGGCCGGTGGAGACCTGGGTAAGGGCAGCATACTCACACTCATCAACGACATCTGTCAGTGGGAGTGGGAGGTGGTGTTCGTGTTGGTGTTCACGCATTCGTTTTTGATTCTTGAAGGATACTCACTAAAACTGAGTTTGTTCATCATTTGCCTGGAATTGCAGCATGCCATGGGCAACTCCCGGAGAACCTTGTTGGGCAGCGATGGCTCCAGCCTTCCAAACTTGGCCTGGAACATGACAAAGGCCTTGAACAGTCTGTAGGCCCCGCACCACTTGGCATGCTCCGGACTCCGATGGTCGGGCTTGTCCCTGCAGGAAGCAAACTCCCCACAGCCGCCACAGAGTTGCAGACGCTTGAAGCGATACTCGCGGCACTTGTGGTCACCGCAGATGAGGGGAAAGAGTAGCACCTCTTGCTCCGTGGGCGAGAGCGGACGATTCATTTCCTTCTCCACCTGCCGTATGCACACAATCCGATACGAACGAAATTGCTCGGCACTGAAGGCACCGCACTTGTAGAACATCTCGTGACCTACATAGATTCGAGCAACAGGCGGATAATTGGCAATTAGCTTGATTTATGGTTCGTGAACTGAGCTGGCACCCTGTGGCACCTTGTGGCACCTTGTGGCACCGCTCACCGTTGTGGTCCACCGCCTGGCGCAGGGCATAGCACAGCTGGCGGTGCTCCTGATCCTCCCTCATATGGCTGGTACTGCAATAGTAGCTCAATCCGCAGCGGGCACAAGGTAGGGAACTCCGTCCGCAGAGATCCGATGTACAGAGCTGCAAGTCAGGAAAGTCGGGGGTAAAGGTGTATTATGTCAGTCTTTCTGGTTGTGCTTGATGCTCGCACTCACATTGCACAGTGAGGCCATGAAATATTTCCGCGGCTTGTATATGTATTCAATGTACTCGGCCTCATCGTCGGAGGACTCCACATCGCTGGGAGGAGCCTGGCTAAAGAGCTTGCCCAGATTGCTGAACATCGCCGCTGTGGGCGATTCCCCATCTCCTAAATAGGACACACGTAAAACGTTACGTACATAAACGAAATCGTATTTTGGAGAAAAGTCTCTAACCCATCTGCAATCTGCTGCCCAAGCTCTTCAGCAACTCGTTGACTTCATAGCCGCTGACATCCCTTGATTGCTTGGCACTTGAAGAGGCAGCTGCTGGAGTCTTTGGCTTTCTCTCATCCTCTTTGACTTGCTTTGATGGCTTCGCTGTCGCTGGCTCGTGTTCCCTGGAAGCAGGTACTGCGCCTGCCACTGGCACCGTGCTCTTGGCCAGCAGTTTCCTACGCAACAGCTCCTGTATCAACCTGATGGGATTGTTGTCTGGTTCCGCCCTCTGGGCTGTGGCCACTAAAGAAGGGTCTTCCTCTGCAATGTCCTTCTGGTCACTAGTCACTTGATTGCACTTGTTCCTCGCACGATTCCGGTGCCTAGGCTTTTTCTTTTGCACTCCTTCCTGCTGCTGCATGGCTAATTTTCTAGTTTTCTGTTTTTCTTCTGTTTTGCTGGTTTCTAAATTAGCCTGCTTGAGCACGTAACTCAATTGAACGACAATGAAGAATGAGCATTGTTCTTGGTTTGCTGTACGCTCTGCCCGAACTCAATTGGCCAGCAGCCATCCACCGCAAGTGAGCCCAAATGTACGCCCTGCCCTGGCTATTTTTGTTGAGCACGGGCCTCCGCATCGAGTACAGACAGCAGCAGCCGGCATTGGCATCGGCATGGGTTAGCATATGTTATGTCCAACAGGCGTTTGATTAGTGTTATGGTCATACGATTGTGGTCACAACTGTCAACCCCGTAAAAGGTAGGAAAGAACTCATTCCATTTGATGTTTTACCCACCCCACATATGTACATGCAGGTTGCTTGCGAGGAGGATTCTGTGGATGGCCCGACTTTCTTATTGATGTCGACTGGTGGGATGTGTAGGCAGCTCTGCGGTCAGCTTCGCTTCTGTAGTTGCCTCTTGAATTGCCTTTTTTCCTATATGCATAGATTTGACCTTAGTCCTCTGTTGTTTATACAACTTTTGTCCAATTAATAACCAAAAAGCAGCCGTGTTCCTATTCAAGTGACCGGAAGTGTACTCGCATCCACTCAAATCTAACCAAATTGTGGCCCACCTGCACACATATGTATGTACATGTAATCGCATAGATGTATCTCGTATAATCACTGTTAATCATATGTATATATTTATGCAGAAGATCACCCTTTACCCTTTGGTATTTCATTTAATCCAAATTTTATTCCATATGAAATGTGGCGCCAAGAGTTTCCGGCTATCCGAATCACTCAGGTAGCCTCAGATATTCGTAACACAGAAACTGGGAAGCAAACCCAATCGAAGGCGAAAAAAGGCATAAAATCGGAATTGCTTCATTGTTAAGTCTAAAAATATTTGTATGTTTAATTTAATGGCTTAAATTTCGTATTCTTTTCATAGTTCGTACTGTTTAAGTTAGACACAATGACACACTATGCGCTTAACTATTGGGGGCACAATGCTGTACCATAAGGGTAATAGTAATTGTAGCTTGATCTGCAAACTGACGAGATTAGTGACACTAACTAGGGGTATTAGTTGTTTACATAAGCGAGGCTAAAAATTGTCCCGAGAGGTGAAGGGATAAGGGCTTATGGTTTACTTTGCTCTTCTTCGATATCTCCTCCATGGCCATTGGTCGGCCCAACGCCAACGCCCCCCCATGCGCCTGAAGTGTCCAGCAGGGTGCTGGTGGTGCTACTGTTGCTACTGTTGTTGCTGCAGTCATTTCGCGAAATTCCATTGGTCAAGGCGGGAATCATCGTTCCAGGTAACTTGAGGACACTCAACGATTTCGTCGCTCCTGCCAGACCAACGACAGTCTCCTCCTCGTCGGACGAGGCGTCTGAGAGCTGGCGGGGCGATAGGCGGCAGCCGCGCTGGATGTACTGCGGAAGCCTGCCCACGGAGGCCAGGATCAGACCCAGGAAGGGCGGCGAAGGCTTGAGGGGACGCGACAAATACTCTGGATGGTATTGGGTGGCCACGAAATACGGATGATCGCGCAGCTCAATTATCTCCATGCGTGTCTTGTCCACGTCCGTGCCCACAAACCGCATCCCGTGCTCCTCCAGCTGCGGCACATACTTGGGATTCACCTCGTACCGATGCCGGTGCCGCTCCTCAATGGACTTCGGGTTGCCATACAACTGCCGGATAATGCTGGTACAGCCCTCGGCAAAGACTGTCGTCCGCTTTCCCAGGCGCATGGTGCCGCCCAGCTGGCCGGTGTGATGCTCCGGCATGTCGATGACCAGGGCATTGCCCGTCTGCGGGTCGATCTCTGTTGTGTTGGCATCCGTCAGGCCAAGCTCGTTGCGCGCGAACTCAATCACGGCTGCCTGCAGGCCCAGGCAGATGCCCAGCATTGGCTTGTTGTTCTCCCGCGCCCACCTGCAGGCCCGTATCTTGCCCTCCATGCCACGTGATCCGAAGCCACCGGGCACTAGGATGCCGTCGCTATCGCACAGCCTCTGCCATTCTTTGTGGTACTTCGACGGCTCGCTCACCAACGTCTCCTGCTCCAGCTGGCACGACTCGATGAACACCAGCACCAGCTTGCGATTGGCCGCCAGTGCGGCGTGCTGCAGGGCCTTCACCACGGAGGCGTACGAGTCCGTGAACTTGGTATACTTGCCAACGATGGCGATGCTCACCTCCCGCCGCACCGTCTCCGTGCGTCGGGCCAGATCCCGCCACTGCTGCAGACACCTAAAACGATAGAATGGAGGTTTAATTCGAACCCGAATGGAATCCACAGACAGTGGAGCTCTCTGCCGCCTCACTGGCTGCCACTCACTTAGTTCGCTTGCTCATGTCGATGTTCAGCTGGAGCCGCTCGTTGAGATACTCGATGACTCCGTTCTGCTCCATCAAGAGCGGGACATGGTATATGGAGTTAAGATCATGGATGCAGATCACCTGATCTGGCCCCACGTGACAGAAGTTGCTGATCTTCTCCTTGACTTCCAGTCCGATGGGCTTCTCCGATCGGCAGACAATCAGGTCCGGACTGAGGCCGCAGCCGCGCAGCTCCCGCACCGAACTCTGTGTGGGCTTCGTTTTGGGCTCCCCGGTGGCCTTTGGCAGCGGCACCAGCGACACATGGGCCACACAGAAGTTCTCTCGCTTCACGCGGAACTGGAACTGCCTGAAGGCCTCGACGAAGGGCATGCCCTCGATGTCTCCAATGGTTCCGCCCAGCTCTATGATGCAAACCTGCGGCTTGGACGAGCCCTGCACGGGCGTCTGTGCCACGCGCTCCACCCACTCCTGTATGGCATCCGTGATGTGGGGCACAACTGCAGGGGATGGACGGGGATGAGCTTTTTCAGGTTTATGTACTCAGGCGGCACCCACTCACCCTGAACAGTTTTTCCAAGGTATTCCCCAGTGCGCTCCTTCTCGATGACCAGCTTGTAGATCTTTCCAGTGGTTATGTTGTTGTCCCGATGCAGTGTGATGTCCAGGAAGCGCTCATAGTTGCCCAGATCCAGATCCACCTCGGCGCCATCCTCTAAAACGTAGACTTCACCTGGGGGAAAAAGTGATTCAAGAATTAGCAAATGGCATCCATTGACCCGTGATCAGTGATCAGTGATCCATTCAGTTCCGTTCCTCCCATAGCAAACGATCTCGAGCCATTGTAATGTTTACAGTTTTTAATGTTCACGGTTTATTTTCAAGGTATACGAGCTTAGGCGTAAATGGCGCATCCCCAGGACGGGCCCGGAGAGTGGCGCTCAACTAGAAGTCAATCAAGTAGCATGGCATGGACAAGTACGGTCTAAGACTAAATGCTTACGGCTACACTACGGGGGAGCGTGTGGGGTGGGGGTGTGTGTGTATGTACAGTCTTATGGCGGGAGGGAGTTATGCGAATCTAGGGAGGAGCCTAGGAGAAGCACTACTTTGACTCCTCGAGATCCTCCTTGTAGAGCTCCTTGAAGATGAGCTTTTGTATCTTGGTGCGTATGCGCAGCTTCTGGGCCGCCGTCAGCTGCTTCATGTACGGATGCAGGCTGAGCAAGTAGTGGTAGTCGTCGTCCTCTGGCACCAGGGGCGCATCCATCGTCGAGGAGCCATTGAAGTTGCTGTCCTCGGAGAGCCGTGGTCGCTTCAACTTTAACGCAGGTATCAGCCCATTGGCATAGGAGTGCTGGGTGAAGCTGAGGTGTTCGCCACTCGCCCCGCCGGCGGTGGCAGTCGCAAAGTCGTCGCTGCGCTCTTTGGCCGTGTGATGCCCGGCAGCGATTGTCGCCAGCGGATGGTGGGCCTTGTTGTACAGCGGCGGCGGGGATACCGAGCGCTTGGCGCCCAGTGGCCCCACATTGCTGGAGACCGAGGAGGCGGACGTGGACGTGGTTGTGGCCGGCGCCAGTACAGCGTCTGATCCGCACTGGGCCACTTGGGACGAGGTTGTGGTCACCATCGGCGGCGGGGAGCAGTGGGCGGCCGGTGGGTCCAATATTGTCTGCACCAGCAGCGCCTGAGATGGGGGCGGGGTCGGCTTCTTGCTCAGGTCCTCCGCCTCCCTCTCCAGCTCCATCAACTGTGCGCGCAGCAGGCCTGCCTTGAGCAGGGCATGTTGATGCGCCTCCTCCTGCGCCCTCAGGACGCCCGTGGCCAGCGGCGTGGTGCTCACTTGGTTTGTCTGGTGGGCGGCCGGAGGCGTTGGCATGGCATCCTCTAGGGTGCCCTCACTGTCCTCGCCGTCCGCAACGCCCTCCATATCATCCTCGTCGTAGTCCTCGTCGCTGTCCTGCAGTCGTCGTATCAGGCCGTTTGTTAGGTCTGGCTCCACCACAGTCTTCTCGCAGTCCTCGCTCTGCTGGTTGAAGTAGAAGGACTGATCCTGCTCGTTCTTGGGCAGGCGATGACGCATGTGATCGGCTGGGGAGGAGTGGGGGACATCGGCATGAATAGGGACATGGACATGGGCATAGGCATGGGCATGGGTGACTCACTTAGGAAGAGCAGGGCGTAATAGTGCAGCCACTTGGACTCGAAGGTGGCGGGATCTACCAGGAAGTCGCCGTTGTCGGCACGCGGTATCCGCTTGTACTCCACCCGGAAGTTGTCGCGCAGCCCCTTCCACTTGGCCTTGAGCACAATCTCTGGCAAATAGAGAGCGACAAATAGAGGTTGACAGAGATGTTGGGGTGTGCCCTCTGGTCTGGTCCTCCGAAGCGTTACTTACTCGCCAGCTTGTGCGCTCCGCTCAGCTCGTCCCACATCTGCTCGAGGAACGCCTTGTTGCAGTGAAAATTGCGATTCCATATGGCCGGCCGCTCCTCGATGTCGTGAATGAATTGTTCCACATTAAGCACAATTGTTGATTTTTTTGGCGCCATCTTTGCGCGTTCTCCGTCCACCGTCTCCCACTCTCTCTTTCAATGCACTTTTTGTTTGTTTCTTTCTTTGTTTCACTTGTCTCTCGGCTAACGGCGTATAGTAAATGCTTGTTTATTACAATAACACACACACACAACCACAATCAACGGCAACAGCAGCAGCAACGCTTCTCTCGTGGCTTTTTGGGTAGGAACGATCGATCTTTCGGCTAAAAACTCTTTGTCATTGTCACTGTCCCTGTCTCTGTCCTAAAGAATCGTCAGAAATGTTCCCATTCGGTTTCCTGCATAAAGCTTTCTATTATTCATGGGCCCATCTCTTAAATAAAGAAGAGGTGACCCACCATTTGAGCTTCTCCCCTCTCCTAGTCTTTTAGCATGGCACTTAATTATCTGCTAGTCGCTTATCTTAGGCCGCCTCGCGCACACTTCTCATGAGCCGAAAGCGAAACTGGAGCTAAAAAGCTTTCAAAATTTAGATCTGAGCTTTTTTTAGACAGAATCAGCTTGGCACTGTGCACATTGTAGGATTAGTTGAAAGATGATCTGATATTTATTTTCTGAGCTTTAAACTAAACTATCCCAATGAAATTTTGAATCAAAGCGAATCATTTGTCGGAGTCGGTCGGATTTAGCATCTACATACATATCAATATCAATATCATAAAGCTGCCACGGGTTCCTATGGTTCGTAATTCATGTGTACATATATACACATTTGTGTACATACTATGTACATATGTAGCTCCCATAGTGACGAAATATTTATGGTAGATATCGGACACACTTTCCAGCAGTTGCAACGGTGGTGCAGTGTTTGCTTTTTAGAAGGGCTGCCAGTAAGTATTCCACCCTGCCGCTGAGACTACCGACTGGAATTCAGCTTACGAGAATTTAAACTTGCGGTAGGCATTATCACGATGCCTAAGAGATTTTCCTAACACTCAAAGGTTTTAGTAGTTTTGGCGACAAGTCTTTCCCCTGCTTTGGGGTTGACAACTATTTTTGCCTCTAGGCAGCCGCTTAGCATAGAATACTGTGAGGGCAGTTAATGGACGATTTTCAAGCGAACTGTAGTGATACCGGTATAATACAATCGGGTCCCGGCGAGCCTATAGTATATACTGGGAGCACACGTTGTGTGAGGACACAACACAATGACTTCATTAAGATTCCTTCGTAGGCCTAGCCAATTCGAGCTGAGCGACAGGAAATGCTGCTCTGCTCTCCATTGCCATCCATCGCAAAAGCCTGGCAGAGAGCAAGCAAGCAAACGAAGGAGAGAAGCAGCGAAATCAAATTATAAACACGCCAGACCAGAGACAGAGACAGACGGAGACCGAGACCGAGACGACGACCAAGACCAGCCAACAGTTACTCTACTCCTCCTCCTTCTCCACGCCATCCACATCCACTTCTACAACCATCACTCCCTTCCTCCCCCTCACACTCCGGCACCATTACTCCACGGTGCGGCCAGCGTCAGCGTCTGGCCTGTGCATTTGTGTGTGCTTGTGTAAGTGACTCAGGCGCAGGCGGCTTTCAGTCAGTCATGCAAAAATGTTTGCAGCCGTCGCCGTGCACAGAGTGCGAAATACTAAAAACGGCAGCAGCAGGGAGTGAAGAGTGTAGAGCGGTGAGGGGAGAGGGGAGAGGAGAGAGAGAGGTTGATGGGGAGACTGAGACCGGGAATGGGACTGGGACCGTGAGGTGGCAGAGAGTGTGGTTGCGGAGGGCAGGCCAGGCGGCCTGGCTGGCTATATGTATTCCAGCGAGCAAAAGCAATTTCTGGCGGCAGCTAGCTTTTGCTGCAGACGGAGGCCAGGCCAGGCCGGCCGTACAGACCAAGCCAGACAAATAATGCGTCACGTTGCGCAGTCGTTAAATTTTCGTTTTCGTCGTTGCCGTTGCTGTTTTTATGTGCAAAACTGCCGGCGACAGTGTGTTGGGTGAGGGCACGGGCAGGGACCAAGCGTGGGGGGAATATGGCTAGAGGGGGCTTAAGAGCAGGCCCAGCTGCTTGAGCTTGTGCTCTTCTGCTGGTAGCCAAGAATTTCGTAAGTTTGGTGGCCGCTGAGGAAAGTTGTGAAGCATTACACACACACACCACACGGTCACAACCGAACTGTGGAGCTGCTGGAAAATTGGCATCGAATCGAGCAAACAACGGTGGAAACTCTTAAGATGGCGATCACACCCTGAAACATTTGCATTGGATAATTTGTTGGATCTTCTTTTAGGGGATCTACTGTAGCAGGCCACCCTCAGGGAGGTTCACTGCACCATGCCGGAAGCCTCTCAAAGGGTGCCACTGAGATAAGAACATCCTCAATAATCCGCGAACATTTATAGGTCAGATCTTGAAGTGCACAAAGTATTGATCTAGCAGAGGCGCCAACATCCGTTAAACTTCTACAACTGACTTCCCCTTCCAACCCAACTGGACCCATACATAGCTCGGTCTTTGCTTTCGCACAATCATCATGAAATTGCTGTGCCCTGCTCCTGCTTCCACCCTCTCGGATTCGGCTAAATCGCTGGCAACTGTCGCTGGAATTAGCCCAGGGCGAGAGAGGGCGTCGGACAGAGCCAGGCTGATGGAAGGAGCTAGTTACCCCACCCCCTCCCCATCCTTCCCCGCGAAAACTACAGCTCGGAAAGTTGCGGCTGTTTTTGTTGCTCTATAAAATCGATAAAACACGCACACATATGAACCTACATGCATACACATGTATGTATGTATGTACAAGTATGTCCATACATGTGCCAAATTTGCGCGCGAGGAGCAGAAAGCAGTAACGGTGATGTGTTGCGGTGTGGGTGGTTGGGCGACTGGGCGCCTGTAGATTGGTGGGCGTGGATTACCGTTAAAGTTTATAATAATCAAAAGGTTGATGCGCGCGGGCCACTGTCCGTTTGGCCCGTTTACTTTACGGTGTTATCCCGTTTGTCAGAGAGCGTGTGTGTGCCGGCCGATAAAAGCGAGAAACGACAGGCGCCAACCGAAACCGACCTGGACACCGACACCGAGACCCAATTCGAACCAAAACGAACCACGAACCACTGCTGATTGCAGTCAGCTTACAACTGAAATTGAAAATTCAGCAGAGCAAAGTGCGAAGCGCCGCTGCCGTTGACGCGGCTGTTGCCTCTGCCACCGCCACTGCTGCCACGACAGGCTGCAGCCAGCCCAAGTCCAAGCCCCCCAAAAGCCAAGCGAGAGCCAACAAAACGTGCCAACTAGCGGCGGCAGCTGAAACGACGACAACGAAAAAATACAAATAAAAAAAAACACACTCAAACGCAAAAACGCCAGCGAGGCCCAGGCCCATGCTGGGGCCAGGAGAGCCAAAGCCACGCCACAAGCTCTTGCCGGCGACACACGGACACGGACACGGGCACACACACACATTCATATACATATAATGTACTATACATACATACATACATATAATGTAGCTGTACATGTGTGTGGGGTTGGGTGGCCAAAGGGGGCCGTCAGAAACGCTAAAAACGGCCGCCGCCATCGTTGACTGCCAGCCAGCTTGCTTTGCTCTGCTCTGCTCGCTGCTGCTGCTGCTGTTTCTGCTGCTTTTGGGCATATTATTGCGCGATGGCGACGTTTGCCGGCTATCCAGCACGCACACACAGACTATGGCAGAGAGAGCCCAGCTGTCTGTGTGAGTTGGAGCCGGTGGAGCAGCAGCAGCAGCAGCGGCAACAACAAAACCAGCAGCAACAACTGCGCCGACGACAATCAACGCGCGGAAGCGAGCGCGAAGCATAAACCATGAAGTGGTGGCAGGAGGAAGGTGGGGAGGCTCGTTAAAATCACGCGACAGGAGGAGGAGGAGACGGGGGAGTCAGGGGCAGACAGAGAGGCAGAGGCCAAGCAGAAGCAGAACCAGCAGCTAGGCCGTGGCAGGTGCGGTGCGGGTGGCGGGGCGGTGCAACGCTGCTAAAGCGAATCGATGTGAATTTGGCTGTAGATGGCGCCTGCTCGCCCCACACGCCCAGACATGGATAAGTGCGACGTGGGGAGGGGGGTGGTGGGAGGTGGGTAGGAGGTTGTAACATTACTGTAGGGTGGATGGCATATAAGAGGCCAAGTCCAGGCTGTGATCCGAATTTCATTTCTTATGTAATTAAATAACAGTTTGATGCTTAAGCCAAAGCATACAGTAGAACAAATTCCCAAACCTTATTTAATAGTAATGCCACTTTTTAATTTAGTTTACATAAGCATGTTTTTATGTAAATTTGTACAATTCCCTCCCTCCTGAAGATTACCACAAACACAAATAACGGGACACGAAGTGATGGCTTAACTGTATCGCTTAAAGAGAAATTTATACAGATGTACGATTTGCTTAAATTTTGCGAAAGAGAACCATTTCTAAACAGACGCAAGATTGAGGCTTGTGAAGCCATAGGACACACGCACAGCACACATGGAAACATATCAGTAATACGGGGAGTGTACTTGTGCCTGCCTGTGTTGACAGCTGTTGTGCGTGTGACAGGGAAGTGGGAGGGACCCGGAGGAGCCACTCAACCTCAGACGCCAGCCAGCGCGTAGCAACGGGCCACATCCTGAAGAGCAACGAAATGGTATTTTCCATTTAATTTTTGCACAAACACACAGGCGAAGCACACGCACAAGGCAGCGCCGAGAGAGGAGAGGAGTCAAGTAGAGTGGGAGCAGAAACAGGCGCAGGCAGAAGCTTTATTGTCGTTGCGAAACGTGAGCGTAACGAAAGCGCAAGCAGAAGAGCAACAGCACAACTGCGACAGCAACAAAGCAAATGCAGGCCAAAACGGCGGGAGGGGACAGCGACAGGGACAGTGACAGTGGCAGGGGGCTAGGTGAGGGGCGGCAGTTAATGGCAGAGCGCAAAGAGCAACAGCTGCTAACGATGTTGACGCCGATGACGGCCCAACGAAACACAAACACACACACTCACAGATTCACACAAAACCAGACGGTCAGACGGACAGAAGGAAGAACGAAGCAGCACCACCAGCAGCAACAGCAGACGGTTCGGTTGCGTTGCCTCTTTTATGGCTAAAAACGCTAATGTGATGGCGAACATGCTGCTGCGGGGGAGATGGGTATGACAGAGCGCAAAACACGCAAAAGCCTCAGCAGGAGCAGGCCAAAGAGGAAGAATTAGAGGCAGGAGAGGAAGAAGCGACAGCGACAGATGATGGCCCAGGCACAAAAACACACAAGCCATGTAGAAGGCACCCTCGTGGAGTGGAGTCGCTCATAAAGATGGACGGCAGACGGAGCGAAGCTCAGGGGGCCAGCGGCCAATATGGATATGGCAACCGATGCCATTTCCATCTCCATTCTCATCACACCCACACAGGCACACACACACACGCACAGAACACACTCTGCAGAAATTAACGTAAAACAAATGAAGCACACGCGCACGCATGTGCCGCAGTTGGCGTTGACGCCTACGCCTACGCCGACACCGCTCTCAAACTTCCTCTGGCCCTTTGCACCAATCTCCCAACACACACCTAACCGCACCAATACTTTCGCCGTTCAGCTACAACAACAATAAAACAAATGAGCAGAGCTGCAGAGAATGCAATTCGACCCCCAAAAACGGAGAGAGCAGGCGAAAAATGCAAATGACAGCCGGCAGACAGTAATCTGGTGTGGTGGCGTCGCGACGAGGTGGAGAAGAGTACTGTGGCTCGATATACAGAAAATTCGGTCAAAAATATATACATAAATAAAAAACTTAATACTATGAATAAAGGAACTAGTAAAAATTGATCTACCTGTTATACCCTTAAATTGAATATTTTAAAATTGGTCAGATGTTTGTAATGTACACAAGGCTACATCTCGAGCTTCGAAAATAGTTCCACTGCATTCTTGTCCGGCTCTTTCTGTGTTAACTATTTTTTTCCTTCTAAGACTATTTCGTGTTATTGGACGTACTATATCATATAAATATTTAAGTAGTATGTACATTTAACTATGTATATGTACATATGTATGCCAAAAAAACAGAACATGTGGTACATAATTATGTACATGTGCATAGATTGTTGGTTGTTTGACCTTTTTGATAGATTTATGTATGTTTAGCTTCCGCACTTTAAGGGCACGCCCATGTTAGCTTCCGTATTCTTCAACAAATGACATAAGAAGCCATCAGTACTTTAAAATATTGAAAGCATTCAATTAAAAGTTTAATTCATATTGAAAATTGTCTGTTATGCAAATGCTATTGATGCTGTTGGAGTTTCAAGACAATGTATTTCTATCCGATTTAACAAGTTTAAAAATTATCTTAAGTTTTTATAGAATTTCGAAAGAAAAATTCATAAGCTTTGACATGCTCTACCAACTAATCTATACATTTAATTGTTGATTTTAATAAAACGAAAATTTGCCGAAAGTATCGATCCCCAGTCCGGCTGTCCCTCTCTTCGAACAAAAGTTTGTGTGTGGCACCCAATTACACTGGTCAAGCAAGTAACCTCTAGGCATATTCATCATCAAACACATATCAATTTGTATACGTTGAGTTGTTGACTCGTGTAGATGGGCCCTTAATTTTCCGGAGTTACCTATGTACATATCCGCCCCCCCAAGTGCACTCACTCAAGCACACGCACACGCATGCCGGTGGTGCCCTTTTCCGTGCCATTTAGTGGAGGAACTTCCATCTCTGAAAGAAGGGCATGGTAGAAGTGTTGTGTGTGGCTCTTCCCAGAGTGCACCAGAATCGATCGCAGAAAGTAGAATGATCAAAACATTTATCACATAACACCGTCTCCCAGGAGCTCTTCATGCTCAATTGATGTACTTCCGCTTTTCGTATGTTTTGTGTTATTTATTCTAAAAAATATCCTGCTGTGTGGCTAACTTGTTTCGCTCCGAATGCCAGCGAGACAGCGACGCCTCAACAGGCATATTTCGTCCGCCAACACGGCCACATATTCCTTCAATCACACAACCTGCGACAACAATAAATACAAGCAAAACGAAAATAAGCAAACAAACAAAGCAGAGAGGTTAAAACAGGGAAAGGAAAGAGTAAGGAAAAACTTTCATTTTCAATGTCAAGTACAAGAAAAAGAGAGCAACAACAGCAACGACCAGCAACCGGATGCCGGCTGAGGGCGGTTTTTCGAAAGAGAGGCATAAACAGAGAGTAAGCGGGTGAGATACATATCTCACTTTGCCCCTCTCCAAGTGCTGGCAAAAAGCTTTCAGCAAGTGCATATATGTACACTAGTAGTGCCATGACGAAGCCTAAATATTACACGCTATTTGTTTAGCGGCGACGCAGTTTTTTATTATATTTATAATCTATTACATTTTTTTTGCAACATGTAATGCTTAGCATCAAACAACATTGCTGCATTTAGTCAATGAAATCTTGATAAATACAAACGAAAATACTACAGCAAGACACGTGCGAACTGTCGTCAGTGGGGTAGGAGTCGCGAACGGGGGAAACAGCTGATAGGCGGCCACGCTAGTTATCTCACTCTCACTCCCATATAACCAGAATTCGTTGTATGGTGGGAGAATTCTCTCCCACCATGTGGCGGCGGCACTGGCAAAGCTGCAACAAGCCGCGTGACCTTCGACAACAACAACAGAGGCACCTCTTGCCAATGCGGCAAGAAAACTCTTCTTCTGCACACATGTACCGACACACCCACACAGATGCCAGCATACATGCAGGATAGATATATTGAAAATTTGCCAAAGAAAATGTATGCACATACATATGGATATTTCCCTGATGCTTGAAAACATCGTGCATACATACGAGTATGTATGTATTTATGTATCTTCATAGTCACTATTATATGGGCCCTAATCGACTCACCATGCTCGTACGGGGAAAACGTTCCAGCATCTATATTGATGTACGGATCAATTTTAATGGATGTCACATCGAGTTGGCACGACTTGAGTAGAGTGCCAAACGAGGAAGCAATGACGCCCTTGCCAACACCGCTAATAACGCCGCCAGTGACCAGGATATATTTCATATTTCGCACGTTTACGTCTCAGATTCGATGTGTAAACTGATATTTGATCCCTCCTAATCTTTGGAGTCACACACTCGCACAAAGTCCGACAATTGCGTTGTTTGTTTGGTTTTTGTTGCACGTGGCGCGTTAAATAGGTTGGATTGGATTTTTGTACGTTTCTGCGGAACGGAAAATGATAATGCGGTATGACCACACATTGATAGGCGCGAAATGCCCATGACTCAGCGTATACTTATGTGTTGGTTAACGACCTACAGACCGTTAGGTTCAAATCACGATACGAGCGAGGGTGGGAGGCGAATGGTGAATAAATGTAAAAAATACCCACTGTAGCGTGCAAAGCATTTTATTATTGTTTGGGATCCCACTTTGGGAAGGGGGGGGAGGATAATCGTACGTATAAAATAATTAGAAAATTAGAAATTGGATTATTCTGTAGATGTAAATGCATGTCAAGCATTGAAATCTCGCGACGCCGATTTACTTGGTGGCCTCCTGCTGCTCGAAGACTGGGTACTGCGTCACCACCTGCTCCCAGCTGGTGCGTTCCGTGGCCAGGTCCTTGACCACACCGACCACCTGCTCCAGGCCTACGCGCACCTGCTTCATGCTGTTCCGGTCCCGCAGAGTGACCGTGTGCGGCTCCTTCAGCGTGTCAAAGTCAACGGTGATGCCGTAGGGTATGGCAATCTCGTCTGTGCGGGCATATCGCCGACCGATCGAGCCGCTCGAGTCGTCCACCTTGTGCGACAGCTCGGCCTTGGTGAGGCTCGATGATAGCTTCTGTGTGTAAGGCTGGAACTCGGCATTGTTTGACAGGGGCAGGATCGAGCACTTGAGAGGGGCCACCAGCGGAGGCAGGGTGAAGTAGCAGCGCTGCTCATCGCCTTCGCGGCACTGGAAGCTGTGCTCCAGAAGGGCATACATAATCCGACCGATACCGAAAGACGGCTCCACCACACTCGGAATAAACTCCTCCACGTGGACCGTCTTTGACGAATGCTTCACGCTTATGGTGTCCTTGGCCAGCTCGTGAGCGCTACCATCGGCCAGGATCAGCTTGTACTGTCCGTTAGCGTTGAGCTCTTGCTCCGCCCTGCTGATCTCCTCCATGGACAACTTGGCAAGGGCCTCTGTTATGGTTTTCGCCTCCTTCTTAAAGGTCTTGCCCAGCGCTTGCTTGTTGGGGACGATCTCACTGACCTCCACCGTCTTGGGCGCCGGCAGACGCTTCTCGGCCACCAGCCGGACACCGGTGGCAGCTGTATGCTGGCCTAGATCGTATGCACTTCTATCCGCACAGCCCACACATTCCACCCAGCCGTATGAGGTGAGGATCTCGGCGTCCCAGCAGTCGCAGGCATAGTGGGCCATCTCGTTGCTCATGTGCTGCCGGAAGCGCAGGCACTCCGGCTTGATGCCAATGGCCAGCAGGAACTGTTGGATGCGGGCCATGTAGTAGCCCAACGTCTCGTTGGCCACCAGCTTGGCAGAGACGGCCTCGCCAATGGTAAACTGGGTGGCCGACTTGCCGTCCATCTGGTTGCAGGCCGAGTACAAAGTCAACTTCTCGTCCTTCACGTTGCCAAACTTGGGATGGTCTTTCTGCGTGGGATCACAGAAGTGCTCGATTTCCGCCATGGTAAATTCGCGCACACGTATCAGGCCCGACCTGGGAGAGATTTCGTTGCGGAAGGAGTTGCCAATCTGGGCCACGGCGAAGGGTAGCTTGCCCTGGTTGAATTCCAGAAGGCGCTTGAAGTTCACAAAAATACCCTGGGCCGTCTCGGGACGTAGGAAGCCCTTCACCAGGCCAGTGGGACCGATCTGGGTGGCAAACATCAGGTTGAACTCGATGGGCTCGGTCAGGTCGTTGCCGGTCAGTGGCGACTTAATGCTGTACTTGGCCAGGACATCGGCCAGCTCCTTCTTGTTGAGACCATCCAGCTTAATGATGATGTCCTCACACTCTGCCTGCAACGCTGGGGTGGCCTCCTTGGCCTTAGAGAGCTTCTCCAGGGCTTGCTTGATGAGATGATCCAGTCGGAAGCATTCTCCGGTCTTCAGGTCTTTCACCATCAGATCAGCAAAGCGCTCCACATGCCCGGAGGCCTTCAACACCGGCTCTGGCGTGAGGATTGAGCAGTCAACCTCCAGCATCTGCTCCTCCAGAGCAAAGTACTGACGCCACAGAGACAGAATATTCGACTTTAGGGCACAGCCCATGGGTCCGAAGTCGTACTGGCCGGTGATGCCGCCGTAGATGGCAAAGCTCTGGTCGTAGAAGAAGCGACGCTTCAGTAGATCCTCCATCTTGGCGCGGTCGAAGCTAACCACGCTGGGGGTCAGGGCCAGCTCCTTCTCCTCTAGCACCTTCTTCCTCGCCTTCAGCTCCGCCACTGCCTTCTTGACGTCCAGCTCGGCGGCACCGGCCTCTTTGAGCGATCTTACCAAGTTTCCCTGCTCCTGCACCCGCTCCCGAAGCGGCGTCAGTTGCGCTTCAATCTCCGGATTCGACATGATGAAGTCTGCTGCCTTCGCTCGTAGTTTCACGCTGCGGTTCTGCTTCTTGGAGCCCCAAGTCTGTGGCTGGGTCGGAGACGCGGCGGCGTGGGAGGAGGTTGTGCAGAAGAATAATTTCGTGTGTGCCCTGCTGGCAATGTGCTCGCTCCACGTTGCTTTGCGTAGCTGGTAAATAAGGCCTCTGGCGCTGCGCTGATATATGAGCGCTTTTAAAAACTGCAATGACATAAAGACGAATTTACTTTTGCATCAATGGCACGCGAATTTATATAATAAACTTGCAAATGACTGTTGAAATACCTTCACTTGCGGCTGTAATTTTTTACTTTTTGATTCTCTGCCGGCGTGCAACACTGGCTATAAATTAGCGCTGGCAAAACAATCGATGGCAATATCGTTCAGCAGCGGAAGAAGTTAAGTATGGGTGGAATCTGAAATCCTCTGAAGCGACATGCAAAAGTTTTGTATGTATTCTGGCGACTTCGACAGTATCCATGCTGACGATTTGTGTGGGAGGCATATTTTATTTTAAAAGCAATTTCGTTTATTTGACAAATTCTGTTAAAAATATCGAGGGTGGAGACATCGATGGTTTTCCAACTCAGCTCTACTTTGCATCACTTTGTGCGCTTTGCAACACTTATCGCGTTAAGTGTGTGTGTGCGTGTGTGGGTTTTGTTTTAATTATGTAGGCGCAGCATTGCAGTTTAGTTTTTCTTACGCGTTTTTTACGTATAATTTGCTCAATTTTTAATTTAGTTCAGCAAAACTCCGGTGCTGCCTTCAAATTGCTCCGCCGAAGGGTGTAACGCAAGCACACATAGCACCTGATACCAAACAAGGAGATAAAGCATTCAAATAAAGTGAGTGAGAGGACGCCGCGTTGCAGTGACAGTGACGCTATGCTGCATTACTAAGAAGGAAGAGGAGCAGCTGCAGCAAGAAAATACAAAAGGTGTGCAGGGTAACTGCTTCAGTGGTGCTTTCGATGCAGATATTCTAATTCCTTTCCATTCCCCCATCGACAGGCAGTCCTTCCTTCCTGCAAACGAACGCTGACGAAAAACAACTACAAACTACAATCAGGCAAGGCCTTTTTTAGTGAGTCTGAAGTTTTTTATTTCTGCTTGACCCTGTTTCTTATTCATTGCTTCATGCGTGGGTTTTGTTTTAATCGATCTATGTAAATTATGCATAATCTTTCATTTGTTAGTCATAAGAGTAGTTGTTCCCTTTCCATAGTGTGTGTGTGTGTGTGTTCGTTTGTGTTTGTGTGTGTCCCACTCTTTTGTTACACTATTTACAGTTTTAACAGTGGAGGCTCACTAATTAGAAACCAACCCCCACAGGGCCTGGCGTCTGAATGAAATGACAGAGGGGAAACATTTTGAATGTGAACCGTTTGGGCGAACAGCCACTGTATTGGCATTTTTTTCGACTTTCGCACGTTTGATATTAAGTCGTCGCCGGAATAGTGTCTTAAATGTGCGTCAACAAAATCGACTGCCTGTGTGCATATGTACATACATTTGTGATGTGGCTGGGACTGGTGATGGGATCTTATGGGATGGGAGAGGCTCATAATATCATAGTCTTATTTTCGGCAATCTCCCGAGGCAACGCTTCATGGTTTACAGTGGTTGTGGTGCGTGATAAAACTGGAAAGGAGAAAACGAAACTTAAGTCTGTACATAAATCAAACATGTCTAAACTAGTGCACGTCTGTAATACAAAAAGCTAACTCTGAACTAAAACAAATATAAGCAACAAATAAGAAACATTATAACAACCAGGCCAAAAGGCGACTGATCAAAGACTTATGTCCCTTTTAGGATCACAAAAAAAAGCACCGCACCGCAACGCAAACCAATCAAACGAAGCGCTCGCTGGCCTGGCGATGCAATTGAAAGCGTCCAAGTCAAGAAACATGGCCAGTCTTAAAGATGAGGAACAGGCGGCAACCACAAGCAGCAGCAACAACAACAACAACACGAATAACATAAACAATAACCACAGCACCAGCAACAGCCACAATCAGAATCAGAATGAGGATGAGCTGAAGGGGAAGCGGGATTCTCTTGAGGCGCGTAAGCAGGCCCTGGAGCAGCGGCTCAGCGAGAAGAGTTGGCTGCTTCAGCAGATCCAGAAGCAGGAGTCAGCCATCATCAATGGCAACTATGAGCAGATGACCATCAACGAGTTCTTCTCCCAGCTCGCCCAGCAGTACAAGCACGAGCAGCAGCTCCAGGTCCTAACCAAGGAGAGCAGCTCAATTCTGAGGCGTAAGCAGAGCACGACCAGTCGGGAGAGTCGCGAGAGCCAGCAGACCAGCAGCAACAGCATCAATAACATCAACAACAATCGCCAGTCGGAGACGATGTCGAATCGCAGCTCCGAGTACGACAATTACCAGCCGGCTGGGGGCATGGGCGACATGCTGGTAATAGGCGTGGCGCAACAGCAGGCGCAGCAGCAGCATCCGATGGTGAAGAGCGCCCTCAAGAAGCGACCTACGCCCACGCCAAGCCAAATGCAGTACATGAGGCAGCAGCAGTCGCATCACCTGATGATGCCGTATCAGAGATCCCAGCCGGATGTCATATCCATGTACTCGGCCAACTCCTCAAATGTAGCCACGCTGAGGCAGCCGCCGCAGGCGTCGCCGCAGCAGCAGCCCATCATAGTGCAGTGCGAAAAGTACTACTTGTCGCCCACGCATCAGAGCTACAACGAGTGCGGCTTCATCAAGTCCAGTCAGAACATCAAGAAGTACGTCTCCCCGCTGGCGTCGCCAAGCAACCACAGCTACGAGCAGCATGCGCAGCACAAGCATCCGCAGCACCGTCAGCTGGATGCCATCTCCCTGGCCCCCAGTTATGCATCGGTGGACATGGACGCTCAACAGCAGCAGCAGTATCGTTGGCGTTCCCAGTCCCATATCGCTCCTTTGACGCCTCCCCAGCTAGGCATCATTGAGGTGAAGTCGCACTCCAGCGACATGCTGGCAGCTCCTCTGCCCAGTCGCTATCAGCCGCACGATGAGATCTCGCTGTCGTCCTCCTCGACCACCATCGAAAAGAAGGCCAAGTCAAAACAGTGGCTGGAGTCCTCTCTGGATGGGCCAGCTGTGATTCGCCAGCTAGATTCTCAGCCACACAGTCCAGCCGGGAGCAGCAGTAATGGTAGCTGCAGTCAGGCAGCGGCAGCCACCAAACCGCGGGCCAAGCTCTCCTCCCAGTCCATGTCGGTCTCGGGAGCCGGTGTGGGTCGTCACTATTCCATGTCAAATCAGCGGCCAGTGCAAAACTACCCGAGTGCCAGCTATGCGGTGACCACCAGCTCAAAGGCGCTGCTTAGTCAGTCCACATCGTATCTGAATGCCATGGAACAGACGATGGGCATATCGGTTTCGTATCCACTGGAACCCCTGGAGATACCCCCATTCCGCCAGTTACCCCCCAAACCCAATCAAATGCAGCCAACACCACCTCCCAGGCCGCCGCCAGCTCAGCAGAGCCACAACAATGGAAGTGGGAGTGGAATTGGAAGTGCTATACAGACAGCTCTGGTTTCCCCCCCGTTAGCCGTTGCCACGGCCAGTCTATCGCCGGAAATACGTATAGAGTCGCCAAAGAACATGACCGTGGTGCAGCAGGCCACTTTTCAGCCCTACAAGGAGGTGACAAAACCCTTCGAGATGTCCGACTTCTACAAGTATTCCACCAAATTCAAGCAGAAGGAGGTCGGAAGACCCGAATGACCTACAAGGATAAGGATCTATGGAATTGCCGCAATTTTGACCCTTTTCATGTGATTTATAAAACAAAAAATTTGTAGACGAAACTACAAAGCAAAAACCGCACAGGAGTTGAACAAAAATCCGATTTGTTGGACCCGCTTTGAATTTCAAGTTCAAAATAAATAATATTTATGGAAATATTTAGGACTAGCTGAAAATTTACATTACATTAATTAATGCTCATTGAAAATTGCCAAATTTACCATTGACATACATATCTAAAGCTTTTTATTTATACATTTAAAAACAACCAGGACAATATTATCCCCAAGGGGAACATACATTTGCCTTAACGCTGTATTGCCTTGAAAGCAAAGCATTTACAAAAGCCTAACAATAAAGGAAATATTCCGATTGGCCATTGTTAATCTGAAGATATTTTTATATGAATATATAAATATATTTATATGGATGAACTTGTTTAAGACTAATCCGACTAATGACAAACAATTAAGAAATATAAATAAATATTTTATATTAAAACTATATGAGAATTGAGTTGTCTCTTACATGAGTAATTGTGCACATGTACATGTATTTTGAGCTTGGGGAGTATACTGTTAATAGAATATTTACATGCATTTCTCTATTCTCCTTACACAGTAGCTGATGAACAGTAAAAGTAGTTTATAATTAGTAAAACGTCTGCTCAAGTAAAACGTTAATTATTGTGCGTCATTCCAGTTGTTGCAACTTTACATGTTACAGTACATATATGGGCATATCCGCCGAATGGTCTGCTGTTCGTACGTTCGTACGTTATTATTAAAACTAAAATTCGGTGAGCCCCATCATTTTGCACTAAGCATATGGCTATTGAAACGCAAAAAAAAGCTGGGAAAGTTTTTGTTTTGCCCATATGTAACAATATCTGGAGATAATATCCTTGGGTTTTTATACATTGTAATAAAGGTAGTTATGTGTTTACTTTCGCATGGGGGATAGGGATTATCTTTAGTCATCCTTTCTTGCTTCAGCAATGCAATTCTCATAGATCCACTCTCACTTCAAAATCCCATTTCCTTATCCACTGTTTCCATGGATCCCAAACCTCTGCTTAAAACCTATTTTTAGAACAGGCGATAGAACTTGCCTCATTTTATCTTTCTTACCTCTCTTTCCATGTGACTTTCTCTTTAGTAGAAGTTCTCTTTCGAATCGCAACGACCCATAGTTCTCTGCAAAGTGTTCAGTTTTTGTTTACGATTGATTATTTTTAAACAATTTCATGTTGCGCTTCAGTGAGCTGCAGCGCCCAAGAGCTCTCTCCCCCGAGACCCAAAAATAAAAGAGTCTTTTTTGGGGGATCGACTCGTCAGTTGCATTGGACCCGCGAGCGATTACGTGCAACTGTTCTGATCGGGTGCACTGTCCTCTTTTCAATTCCGGTCTCTGGAATATGTGAATAACTTCACTCATAACCGGGAAATGTTTGTCTAAGTTAACTAAACCAACTACCGTAGCTAGTTCCCCTAAGTGTGTTGTGTTATAGTTTAGAGAAATCAAACCTGAAATAATTTGAAATTTTACGTAAAAAAAATTTACAACATAACCTGCAACATATTTAGTGTACGTGTGCCCCCGTATAAGTGTGTTTAAAAGTAAATCAACCAGAAATTATTCAGAAGAAAGCAGAGTCAACGAAACAATCAACAAGAAAATGCATCCCACTTGGCGCACATCTTAGAGGGAACCGAAATATGCCTAACTGACAGTCGCAAGTGTCAACCGAGACCCAATAAAAGCGGTCAAGTTTGCCCATGTGGGCACGGGAATACGAGGAATAGGCTGTCAAATATTTGGCTCAAGGCAGATCGCTATGAATCTATATACTCTATATGACTGGGTAAGACCACACATGTCCACATTGTAAAAGTATGGAAAGCCTTTGGGTACGGGCATGACCCCCATGAAGATCCAAACGCATTCATCATTCGCGCTACCGAGTGGGTTCCACAATGCGTTACATACAGTCCACAAGCAAGCACAGCGTGGAGTCGTCTTAGTCTGTCTGTTTACAGAATAAATCGAAATTGAATGCGCCTTTGAACTTTCGAATAACCGCACAGTGGGCAAAATTGTATTTAGCTGAAAAAATGATTTCAACAAATTTATATTTTCGAAAACTGTTTAGCTTAATGATAATAAATAAATTAAATATTTAAATAAAAGTTTAAATTTTGTATACCCGCACTCAAAAAGAGTTAAGGGGTATATTAGATTTGTGGTAAAAGTGAATGTGTGCAACGCAGTGATGGAATCATTTCCGACCCCATCAAGTATATATATTCTTGATCAGCATCAATAGCCGAGTGTATTTCAACATTTCGCCCCGCCTCCTTCCGCCTCCTTCCGCCTCCTTCCGCCTCCTTCCGCCTCCTTCCGCCTCCTTCCGCCCTCTTCCGCCCCCCACAAAAGACGAAAATCTGTGGCAGGCACAATTATAAAGATACGATGAAACTAAAAACGCAGTATCGTAGAGAATGCCCATATCCACCAGATCTGAATCTGAATCAGATCGGATCATAATTATAGCCAGAATGAAGAAATTAATTTTCAGTTGCTTCCCCTCCCCCTCCCGCCCACGACAATTCAACTCATTTTCCTTCTCGCTCGCACACTCTGCCGCGTTCAGTGCGCGAGCAACCCCGAGCGGAGGAGATGTAGAATATGAATGGATCATGTACAATCTACATGTTAGTTGTAGAATAGACATTGTATATGTAGATGTAGATAGCAGTTGTAGCAAAAAAATGTAAAATGTAAAATTTTTTTTTTTTTTAATTCTAAATAATTATATGCTTAAAAATGTATATGCTGACTGAGTACGGGTATAAGTAGAGTCGCGTCCCCAGAAGCGACTCACACGTTCTTTCTCGTTTTTTTTTTAGTTTTTGGGCAATTTCTTTTAACTTATCGTCTTTAATATGGTGATCGCAAAAAAATGTAAGTTTGCTAAACGACATAGTGCCTTGTTATATTTACGAAATCACAGCTTAAAAAAATATATACGTCCATATCTATATAAAATATAGTCATCTATATTCTTATTGGTGTATCAGTAATAAAGTTCAAATTTAATTCAATTAAACCGTTTGCCATACCTTAAAGAATTTCAAAATCTCAATCCTTATGGTATTTAACGGCAGCACAGGCCGATCCACCACTACCGATGAGGTTCGTTTTATCCGTTATCAATTGCATAGTTATTCTATTCTTCGGCTTATCTACTCGACGCCTATCTCACGATGGCAACAAATGTTACCCAAAAACACGACAAATGCCAGCGCCAATACTCCACATATAAATGTTGTTTATAAATAAAAAATGGGAGCGCGCAAACGGTGCACGGAACCGCTTGGAACCACGTTGCAAATTTGTTCGCTCTCTCTCTCTCTCTGTCGGTTTCGGTTGCTCTCTGGGGCCTCGCCTCTCTTTTACAGTGTTTTCCTTTTGATTTCTTACGGATTGACTGACGAATTTCAATTGAATGCCTCTTTGGGCAGAGCGCACGGCGCTTTATTTATAAAAGAACTTGCACTGCAGGCGGTCGCGACGTTTCCGTCGCTTCTCCGAGAAAAAGATAAAAGTGTGGTGCCTGTGTCAGTACCAGTACCAGTGCCAGTGGAGAGTTGTAAAAATACTATATGTAAAAATGAGTTTGAATAAATTTGCAAAGCGAACTTTCGCACAATGTGACACATAAGAGCATTGCCATGGTGGATGGACTTTTTTAAGTGACTCTAAATTGTATTTTATTGAGATAACTTCATCATTGAATCGAATTGACTGAGAGGCGAACATCAAAATGGGAAAATTGCATGTGAGTGTTTGTGGATAAGTGATCTTTAGCATCTCGGGGCGGGCCGCCTCCGTGTGGCAATGCAACCAATGAAAACCCCTCAGCTAGTGAGCTACAGTGGGGAGTGTGGAAATATTGTGTGAAATACATACATATCGTAAAAAATAAATAAAAACCCGAATTCGTGCTGTTTCCTTTAGTTGCCAATTTTCCCCCATTTAATACATATTGTGCAGTTCATATTCCAGAATTTATATAATTTCTTACTTGGAAATGGCTAATACCTCTTCTCATTTCCCAAAATCGAAACAATATTTCATTGTCACCTTAACGCGTCGCGAATCGTTAATTTAATCATTATTTGCGTAATATGCGTGCCAATATAGAATGTCCATAAAAAATATCTTACAGAGAAATCAAAGCCAGAAGCACCATTAGCGGGAAAGTTGGGCTAGGTCCTCATCCGCCTTGATAAAGGGTGTGGTGGCATTGTTGTTATTAGTTGGCAAAGTGCAAAATCCTCAGACGCTCCACCTGGGACCTGGAATGTGTGTCACACCCAAACAACAGCCCAAAAGAAGGACCAAACTATAGCAACAAATTGAAATTTGAAAGCAGGAAAACGAGAGTTTTTCCCTGTCCCATGGCGAGCCCGTTGCCATGACTATAAGGGTAAATTGTTATCCTGATATGCGTTATGATGGAATGGCAGTTTAGGGCTGGAACTTCCTGCTTGGGTTGTCTCTGTTCCGACAAGTTCAAGGACGTTCAAACTGGTTTGTTTTGTGGGCTAGTAAGCCGACTGTTGGCAGTCTTTGGCAGCATATTTTCATAGAATACTCAAGTCCTAAGAGTTTGTCAAGCGTTGCGCCCTGACCCACATAGCGTATGCGTAATGTGAAAAATAATGCATTTGCATTGCCTTGATGCATTGATATACATATGTACATATGTTTGTACATATGTATGTTGTGTGTAGATACGAGTATTTTAAACAAACGATCTCAAGATTTCCAGCTGTAAAATGTAATTGGAAAATGCCTCAATATTTCCACACACCATTCGAGAACGGATGCCTACCCATGTGTGGCCCACGTTTCGAACAAACACCTTCCCTGCCTCTGCCTCTGCCCCTGCCCGTGTCCCTGCCCCCATAGATCACTCAAGTGGACAGAATCTTGTTTTTTAATTAAGTATTGCGGGCAGGTCTAAATATAACTAAATCAACCATATGCAACTTCTCGCTGGGAGCTTCTCTATTGCAGCTCTATTGGCAAGCATACAAATGTTTCCAATTTTTCTAATTATAATATAATAAGGGAGATGCCAGCAGCAGAGCAGAGCGAAGCACAGCTGCAATCCATCAAACCAAAAGTAGCGTGGGCAGGCTCCCCCTCCCCCTCCATCACTGCTGATACACACTTGAGATACGGGTCAAGTGGAGATTGGCAGGGGCTTGAGATCGTTGTATCGTCTGTATATATTATATCCCATTATTTGTTCACATTATTAGATGCGGTTTGCTAGTGCCATTCACCCAAGTTTAGTGTGCCACAGACATGATGGCAGACCCCGAAACCAAAAAATCCCGACAATGCGTCTCGGACGTCGACAACTGGGTGACATCATTAGGTGGAATTAAAATCTAGAAAAAATGAACATGAAATGGATGGCAACAGAAGCGTGCTTGCCTCAAACCTGTGGCACTCTATGCGAACACAAAGCCCATTTGTTATTGTTCATTAGCTAAGATATTAAAAGACGAGTAATAATAGCTTCTGGCTCTATAAACTCTAAAGGTTGTGCACTTGTCCGTTTTTTTCCGATCACTTATTAAGTTATAAATGGAGAACTCCCAGCCGTATCTTAGTTATTGCTCTTGTGGAAGCGATCGATCTGACAGGGTATTTCGAGACTCGACCCCAAAAGCGCAAGCGCGTTCCTTGCTGATCAATTTTCATTATTCCCGATGATTTCCATTGCAGATCACATCATTGCTGCGCACGCACAGCGGCAGCGTCAGCTACAAGGCAATCGAGGCAGCCGAAGAGTTGCCAGCAACATCAACATCCCCAGCAACATCTGGAGCAACATCACGCGTGACTGGAAAGAAGCAGAAGCTACAAAACCGAGGGGAAGCGGCCACAAATGTGGAAGTTGAGTTCATACCAACGCTAAATTTTCATTTCGAGAAGCAACTGAATAGGCCAGCAGCCGAAGAGGCCCAGTCGCAATCCACAGAGCAATTGCAACATGCTGCCAGCAAGGCTGATAACGAGGCCGAGAACGCATGTGACTCTGACAACGATAACGACTCCACGCACACTTACATAATCTCGAGGAGCAGCTTGACAGCGACCCCCAGCAGCTCCAGCAGCACCCCGTACGCTGTCACATCAACGGACACTGCGGAACTGTTGAGGCGGCAAAACAATCTCAGTCTCACGGAGGAAGACCAGACCGTGTCCTCGTTTAGTATTGAGCCGCCCACCAGTTCCATGACCATTGAGATGGCTGAGCAACAGACAACGCCAACAACAACTACAACGACAGCCACGGCCACAGCAACAAGTACTGCAGAGGTGGCAGGAGCTACCACCACAACAACGACGACGACCACTACAAGCAGCAGCATTGAGGAGGACATCGAAGAGGCCATCGAGATCAGTGAGGTGGAGGAGCAACTGAGCTCCCACGTTGAATCCCAATCCCTGTCAGAGGCGGCTGCATACGGCAGACGAAAGGAGAAACCAAGTGCCAAAAGTTTGAGCAGCAACAATGATGACGAGCAGGATGGAGATGAGGAAGGGGATGCGGGTGCGGATGCAGATGCAGATGTGGATGGGGAAGAGTTTCGCATAGATGATTCCCAGCTCTCGGGTGGAATGTTGGCTCAGCATTTTCTTACGCTAGACGATGAGAGCGAAGCCGACAATGAACATCCCGATGGTTCCCAAGTTGAGGTTAGTTTTTCCTCCTCGAATGATGATGATTTTGACATAAGTCTGCCGCTGGAGCAGCCGAAACTAGCGCACTCCCGCCATGAAGACGTAGATGAAGAAGAACAAGAAGTCGTGGACCAGAGCCTGAGCAATCAGAGCACCACCGATGATGTCTCCGAACTTGCCGAGGAGCCGGCACAGGCTAGAGACGAGGAGAGAACCGAGGCCAGTGTGAGTGTAAGTGCTGCACCAGAGACGCAGGTGGGGGAGGAGCCTCAGCTAACCGATGAGCAGGATCATTCTATGAAGGAAATCGTGGCCACCAACGAGTCCATCGAGGTGACCTACGAAGCCGAGGAGACGGCCAACACATCGCAGAAATTGGATCAGATAACAGATTTAGATGAGGAGCAGGAGCAGGAGCAGGAAGTGTCAGAGACGCAGAATGAGACGGAACAGGATGCGGTCAGACCCACAGCCAAAGTGGAAACGCTCATACTGCCAATGCTCCAGGAGCCTCGTGTTATGGAGAACAAGGCAGCCAAAGCTTTGACCACACTGTACCTCCAACCAGAGCCACTCGAATTGACCATGCTGGAAGTGGACTGCGACGATGGGGATGACGATAATGAGGAAAGTTCCCTGCAGCTGATGAAACTGCGCCTGATGGCCATGAATCAGCAATTCCTCAACGACAATGGAGTCAAACTTTCACCTACAGAGGCGGACGGACAAATGAATAGCAGCTCTAGCAGCAATGCGGAGCTCAAGCAAATGGAGCGTGTGCCCCTGTCGGAGTTCAGCAAAGATGTGCTTGAGGACATCACCGAGGAGAGCGAGCGGCTGCTCTCCCTCAGCACCACTATCGAGGATGAGCCGGAGCAGGAGCAGGAGCCGGACCCATCATCCCTATCCCTCGATGAATCCAAAACACTGCTGCAGCAGGCGGCCAAGGCAGCACAAGGCAGCCATTCCAACTTGGTGAGCTTGAACATGCTCAAGCAGCTGGAGGCCAAGGTGCAGGAGCTGCACACCCAGCTCGAGACGAAGGACAACTGCCTGGCCTCGCTGAATCTGCAGATGGAGGCGGTTCGCCGGGAAAACAGTGCGGGGCCAGCCTCTGCTCGAGACTCCTGCTCCCTGATGACCAACTCCACGGAGTACCGAACCCTGCAGGAGGAGTTCGGTGGCCCGGTAAGCGATCCTTTCAAGCTAATAGACCTGTACCTATTAAGTGCTCCCATAATTCCCACAGACGCTGGACATGTATCTGGAGGTGTCCCGCAGGGACGAGATGATTGCCAAGCTGACCGAATCACTGCAGCACTCGATGAACGTTCGCGGAGAGCTCCAGGCGGACGCAGATCGGCTGGGAGGCGAGGTGCAGAATCTGCGCAGACAGCTTCACGAAGCCATTGATGCAGTTAAGCGCTCGAGTGCCGTGTGGCCTGATCAGGAATGCAATGCCGGCCAGCGCATTTCGGAGATATCCATGGATCTGATCAGCGAGAGCGACGATGACCTGGATCGTCACTTTCTTACCGACAACGAGGAGCGAGGATCGCGCAGCTCCAAGGAGCGACAGGTTTCACTTCATCCCCTCGATGATCTTGGCATCCAACCCCTTCAGCCTGAGTGGACGCCGGCGTTCACCAAGCAAATCGAACAATTCCAGACCTACCTCCTGCCGCACGAACAGCGGCTCTTTCTAATGGTCCAGCGCAAGTTCGACGACTACCTCGGCCAGCAGTTGAGCCTAGTCCGCGAGCAATGTTCTCAGGAATTGAAGATTGCTCGCGATCAGTGGGAGAGCGAGAAGCAGAGAAATCAGCAGTCCCAGCAGGCCACACACGCTAAGGAGGTGGAGGAGCTGCGCAAGTACTTTGAACACAAGTGTGCCGACCTCGAGAAACAGTTCTCCGACGATGTCTTCTCACACAAATCCCAACACCTGGCTGGTGACAGCTCTTCGGAGTGCTCCGAGGTGGATCAACTGCCAGAGGAGGCCGGGGCCGTGGCCGTGGCTACCTCTTCCAAGGAGACATCGCCGCGCAAGCGCAAACGGGCTGAGCTCTTGCTGAGTCCCAGTCACAGGCAAATGACTCCCTGCGGACTGGATTCCCTGGGGGAGTGCAGGAGTCCAGGACTGCCTAACAGGGAGGTAAGTGTGCCCATTCTAACCGGTCGGTAATAGTTATTGATTATTGCCATATTCTATAGTTAAGCGCTCAAGTAAAGAAAATATTAAATAGACGTGATTAAATGCGGATTTTAGATAAATATTCATCTTTATGCATCTAGAGTCTACACCTAGACCTTTGGTATTTCAAGATTGCATAACTCTCAATAATTCTGAGCAGAATTGAGGAGGCCACTCCGAACCAGCGGCTGCGGTGCTCCGTTTTGTTGAGAATATTAGTTCGTCATTAGTGTATCATGAATTTGCGGATGCAGCATGGCTCCCACTCGTAGGTGTCTCCAATTTACTAGAATATGAATCCGATGATGGTGTTCAGCACACTTGCTCGCATGGTCTTTCAATAGTGTTTCTTAAATGACGTTTTTATACCCGAACTCAAAAAGAGTTAAGGGGTATATTGTATTTGTGGTAAAAGAACGCAGAGAAGGAAACGTTTCCGTCCCCATAAAGTATAAATATTCTTGATCAGCATCAATAGCTGAGTCGATATAGCCATGTCCGTCTGTCCGCCCGTCTATTCGTCCGTCCGTCTGTCCGTCTTGATGAGCGTCAAGATCTCAGACTCTATATGAGCTAGAGCAACCAAATTTTGTTTCCAGACTCATGAGATATCACACTGCCGCCCCGCAAAGGACGAAAATCTGTGCCAGGCACAATTTTGAAGATACGATAAAACTAAAACGCAGTATCGTAAAGAATGGCCATATCTACCAGATTGCCGAATCTGAATCAGATCGGATCATAATTATAGCCAGAATGAAGAAATTAGTATTCAGTTGCTTAAACAAGCAAAACACTAATTTTATTTTACTGTACGTGTCTTTAACTTTAGCGAAATCAATTTATTTAGACAATTTCTGTTAGCTTGTGAAAACTTAATACTTATGTATATAGTGTACTTTGAGGGCGTACAGCAGCTCTTTGAAGATCGATATCAAAAATATACACAAATATCGACAAGGTCCTTGATTTAATGTTAATTGGATAATCCTAAAATGGAACATATGCTCGTAATTATCCGTATTAACCGGTTTATCTAGCATCTTGAAAAGATTTCCCCAACTTCCTATTCCAGCAATCTCAGGACATAGCCGAGCTAAAGATATTCTATCAGACGCACATGCAGGAGATGAAACGCGCCCACGAGCAGCAGGTGCGAAAGATGAGTGACCGCATTAAGTTTTACGAGCGCCGCCAGGGAGACGACGACTATAAGGTAACGATCCATTTTCACGCTGACTGACGCATTCAGAAAGTATTCGCACTAATCCTGATTTTTCTAACTCTGCTAACTGCATGTCCATTCTTGTTCTCTATTTCGTTTATAATCCAATAAAATAAACCACTAAACCACTCCAATTGTAACTACCTGCATCCACACGATATATTGAAAACAACAACTAACCCGCCGATGCGCAGCCTGCTCCCGAATCTCCGCCTCGTACCTGCCCTGATGAGGGAGCGGCAGAGGAGGAGGGTTCGCCGACAGCGGTACCCAACATCTCGCTCATCATCATTGACGAGGATGAGCTGAACTTTAACAACGAGTCTCAGGTTATCCAGCGCATTATCGAGGAGTACGAACGGCGATTGCAGGAGCAACTGGCGTTAGCCCGCCAGGATATAGCCAACGAACTGGAGCAGCAAATACAGGTGAGTGCATGGCATGGCACGGCATGGCATGGCATGACTCGGCACGGCTTGCATTTTCCCCGACACTTCACTGAAGGCTCTGTGTGTGTGATTCACATCTCACGTTCCCCATGCAAAATGTATCGCTTTATTTTTAACAAATGCGCGCGCGATCTTAAATGAAAAACGTGCGAAATCTTGTCAAGCAGCCAAAACAAGAACCAAAGCGAAATGAAGAAGAAACGCGTTTTCCGTGGCGGAGCAGCGTGAAAATCATGCTGCGACTAACGGTTGCCAAAAGAACTTTGGATTTCAACTTAGGACTTGTGCCTGTGGCATCACTTTGCATCATTACTATATGTAGCATTAAATCAGCCTGCACTTTCATACCTGGGATGTGTTCTATTTTAAGGCCCAGTCAGAAGTCAGCAGTCAGTCAATGATCCCAATGGGAACGTTGACATGTACGGGGCAATCCTTCCAGCAGATCCCCATCATTCACTCCCTTTCTCTCTGAATGTTGTGTCTCTTGTTCTCACTAAATATGGCGGCCACATGTCGACTTACTTAATGAGAGAGAGAAAGAGAGCTTCCAATAGACAGCGATTGTCACAGACATTTTGGCTGTTGTTCTTTTTCTGGAAAAAAATAACATAGACGAAGGTCAAAGACTGTTTAGGCAGAGGGATACTATGTACGATATGAATGTACGAATGTACAAGTATACCAGACCCCCTCCCATACAGAACCGCTTATGTTCAAAAATATTTCCTGCCCCACTTATGCTGTCAAAAGATGGGGGCAGCTACATATCTTTCTGTTTGTCTGTTTGCCAACAAAATTTCGCAGCCATTCTTTGACAATTATTTAAAGTTTCAACCAACACAACGCAACACTCATATATATGAATGTATGTACATATAGTTTAAGAAGAGCGCGCCAAATGTGATTGGCTCCCTGTCACATCATCCATTTCACACTACTTTAATCAGGGCTGGAAACAGAGCTAATATCATGAACGGAAATTGTGTCCCTTTGGCATTAATTAATTGTTGGATCAGCAATTGAAAAGGGAGAGGAGAGAGTGGTGCAAACCACACGCCCCTCAAAGGAAGAGTGCATGCAGTTGTTATTTTGGATGCTTAAACCCCGTTTGAAATTAACGCTCATAAATTTGAATTTACTTCAACATGCTCATACCAACACACCCATACACGCCCAAATATGTACACATGCACTTATGCATACATATGTATACACCAGGGAGAGAACGATCGGAGAACGCCTCTCTCTGGCCTTCTCTCTTTCTGTTTAAAAATGGATGGTCTCATTTTTGCCCGCTCATTTTATTCCGTTATTTCAACGCGTGCGTGCGTGTCCGTTATTGTCGGTTCTTGATTCATTGGAATTTACATACATATATGTACATATAGCGAAAGATTGCGAGAAAGAATCATATCATTCACGGCGTAAATAAAAGAGATCTTCAAGTGGTTTTGCGGAATGAAAATAGGCAAATCAGTGCTAAAAACATACATATGTACATATGTATATATGTGCTGCACAAACATCCTAATTAAGTTGTTTGTATCGTGATTATTCTTTGGAAAATTGTGTGACTGTTTAAAATTCAAAAACTAACGGTGGTTTGCAGATTGCAGAAAATTAAAGCAATCGATATAAATCGTTCATAAAAGTCAGCAAGGTAAGGATACAAAGTGAGAAAAGTGCATACATAAGTGATTGAGATTCCCCAGACTAAACATCATTCCGATTCGTACAAAATTAAATTCTGTTTAAACAAAAACAACTAGACTGCACGTTGTCAAAGATATGTATGTATGTATGTACGAGTATATACATATGTACATATTTGTATATTCCCCAAAAGAGCAGAGAAGTCGTTGCCCTTACGACAAGAAAAGAAAACCAAGAAGAAGTGGTCCCATTCCAGCTGCAATCGCTTCCCTGCCTTGCAGTTTATTTTTGTTTAAGGCTCAAATTTGATTTCCTCCGGAATCTTTGTGGTTTATATTTAGGACCAAAGGCACCAGATAGCATCGTTTAATATCTGATACGAGTATCGATTTTCATATTAGTCGAGAATTTGCTAAGCGACTTTTAATTGAAAAAGTCAAGGATCCAGGACCGCCCCTTCGATTAAGCAATTAACCAAATCAATTAGCACGTGCATATATAACGGGGTGTTTCGCCATTCAATGGATCAATCAAAGTTTAAACTTGTCCATGGATCTCGACCAAATTCGTCCAGTGCGGTTTCTGCTCCGCATACTCGGCAGGTTTCGGCTCTGGCCCACCACTGGAGGACCGAGGCCGCAGCGTGGCTGGACCAACTGGCAGGGTTATCTTCTGCATGGCGGCCTCACCGTACTCTTGACCGTGCTGATGTGGGTGGAGGCTATACTGAGCACCGATATGGAGCACACGGTGGATGTTTTGCTCATCTCTCTGACCATGACGGCCCTGGCCCTAAAGGTGCTGAATAACTGGAGCTATGCTCACATTGCGCAGCGCATCCTCACCGAGTGGAGCAGCGAGGACCGCTTTCGGCTGAAGACGTTGCAAGAGGTAGACATGTGGCGCATCGAACACCTGCGCTTCAGCCGCGTTGTGTGCTTCTATATGATGTGTAGCCTGGGCGTCGTCCCTGTGGTCGTCATCCCGTGTCTGTTCGCTGTACCCAACAGGCTGCCGTTCTGGATGTGGACCCCCTTCGACTGGCAGCAGCCCGTGTCGTTCTGGTTTGCCTATATATATCAGGTGGTGGCGCTTCCATTTTTATGCGTGTGCAACATAACCATGGATTTGGTGAACTGGTATCTAATGCTGCATCTGTCGCTCTGCCTGCGCATGCTGGGTCAGCGGCTGGCTGCACTGCATCCCAGTGGCCTCCAGCAGGGAGAGGAGCAGCTCTGCGCCGAGTTCTTGGAGCTGGTCTGCCTCCATCATCGGCTCAAACAGCAGGCGATCGACATTGAGAGTTGCATTTCGAAGAGCACGTTGTTTCAGATACTGGTCAGTTCCCTGATCATCTGTTGCACCATCTACAGCATGCAGATGGTGAGTCCGCCAGGGTCTGCATAGGAGTATCTAGTCCCCCAGTGACACTCTCCTTTCAGACTCCAGTCATGCAGGACCTGGGAAAGTTTGCGGCCATGGTTCAATACTTGTTCGCGATGGTCATGCAAATCCTCTTGCCCAGCATCTATGGCAACGAGGTCACCCACTCCGCCGATAAGTTGACTGATGCCCTCTACAGTTCCGCCTGGCCAGACGTTTCACCGCGTCTGCGTCGCCAGATCTTGATGTTTATGATCTATCTGAATCGGCCCATGTCCCTGCGGGCCGGCGGCTTCTTTAATGTGGGGCTGCCGATGTTCACTAAAGTAAATAGAGCTCTAGGAGGGTATCGGGTCCATGGACAGCTTTGGTTTATGCAATACTTTGATTTTCCATTGCAGGTCATCAATCAGGCCTATAGTCTGCTGGCCTTGCTACTCAATATGGACAATTAGAAGAGGAGTTGGTTCCTTCTCCCTGAACAAATCATTTCTGTTTTGGATTAGCCAAGAGACTTCTACCCTCCGCTCGTTTGGAGATTTTTCGTCGATTCTAGTTGTGCGAAAATCTAAAAATATATATTTTAGCATTGCACCAAACACATACATATGTACAGTGTACACTACTGTGCATACATGTGTACATATGTATGTATGTGCACGAGCACATGAAACGCTGATATGCAAGTGACGAAAATAAAATGAAAATTGCATTTCCCAGTGCGGAAAAACTGTGACCCCCGTTAGCTTACCCTCCTTTTGGGATGAATTTTAGAGAAACAAGCAGGCAGGGCGTTTCAGATATACGAGTAGTACTATGTACTTACATATATACCAAAAATATTGATCTCAAAGTGCAGGATAACTCTTATTTGTATTATTTGTTTTGGTTCACTTAAATAGGATTGTGATTGTGAAGCGCACTGTACGGTCAAAACAATTGTAAATATTGGAAAATATTGAAAACAAAGAAAACTCGTTATCTGCAGAGGTCGCGACCCCCGCGAGAGAGAGAGAGAGAGAGAGAGAGAGGGCTTTTGAATCGTTATCTCTGAGCACTATTTAATTGTATTCAATGCGGTTTTTAATGGCTGATTCATTGGATGGAAAGGGGCACAGAGGGAGTAACAGTAACACCATCTAAAAATAAGCCATCCTCTCCACTCATCCGCTTCTCTGACTGTCGGATGTGGAGGATTTTATTAAGATTTATGTATCTGTCTGTGGTGCTGTGGTGCTTTGGGCTCTGTTTCTGTCTCCACCCTCAATCGACACTCTCTGATGTGTCGATGTCCAGAAAGGGAAATGGAAAGGGAAAATGAAAATGTAAATAAAGTGTAAATATTTTGGATGAAACCCATAAATATTTATGCTTTGGTGAAAGGCAGACAGAGTTTCCTTGAAAGCTACCCTGTTCTTTTCTCTGTTCCATGTGCAACCGACTGTTGCAAGTTGCAACAGACTTTACACAGACTTCTCCAGCGAATAATAAACAAATCTCATGCATTCCATATACACACATTGCACTTGCAGAACCTGCTGTCTGAGAACGCTGTGGACGATCAGCATTGGCCCAAGGAGCTGATCTTGCTGCGGGAGAAATTTACGGCTAAAAGTCAACTGGAGATCACTCAGCTGAATATCAGACATGCCGATGAGGTAAGTCGAGAATGCGGCAGGCAGTTCCTCTCTTATAAGACTTCCGTACTAATTCATTTCCGATTGGGGGATCCCCTGCAGATGTCGCGCCTGAAACTGGAGTACGAGAAACAGCTGAATCGCAAGAATAAACGCCACTTGACCTTCGACTCGAGCCGTGACCTAGAGCAGGTGATTAATGAGCGTGATGGCCTCCGGGAGCTGTCGAAGAGCTTCCGGAGCGTGCTCTGCCGGCTGGCCAAGTGCGTGGCCAATTGTGAGGAGGATCTAAATGCCACGCTGTCTGAGGAAGTGCAACGTCTGCTGCTCCACAGTCACAATCACAGTCAGAGTCGCAGTCAGGACGCCGGCGAAGAGTTGGAGCAGACGCTGAGCAGCTCCCTGAACAATACGCGGCCCCTGCGTCTGGTCCCGGATGTGCACAGTCTGCTGGAGGTTGTGGAGGATCCCAGTCTGGTGCAGTTCATTAATAGCAAGAGCAACGAAGACAACAGCGAGGACTTCGACCTGACCGACTGTTTGGAGCGGCTGAAATCAGAGGCCACCTATCTGCTGCATCTGTCCGAGGACCTGCACAAGCAACGGGAGCACAACGATTCCCTGGACGAGCCGGAGAAGCAGGAGCACGAGCTGTGCTGCGAGGCGGAGGACGGGCTTAAGACAACGGCTGCTGTGCAGCAGCAAGTTTCTGCTGTGCTCTCCAAGTTTGTGCGTACCAACTCCCTCAATGATCAGCAGCTGGGCGTGGCCAATCGGCGGAAGAACAGCAGCTCGGAGGGTGGAAAGACGCACACCTCCCTGCCGCCCGATCTGCAGCAGCACGCGGGCAACGCCTCCGAGCTGTCCTTCCAACTGGTGGAGCTGAAGAACCGCCTGATCAAGTCGGAAACTGATCGCCAGAAGTTGCAGCAGCAGTTGAGCAACACCATCGATCGCAATGCAGAGCTGGGACATGAGCTTCAGGCGCTGCGGGATCAACTTTCGCAGCTGAACTCGCTGAACCACACGGACTACAACGAGGGCTACGGCTTGGGGCCGATGAAGAGCCTACAGGAGCAGGGTCTGGACCAGTCGTCGGCCAGCTTTACGGCATTGCAGGACCGGGCCCGTCACCTGCTCTCCTCGTCACCTTGCAGCCAACAGCAGCAACTGGAGCAGACGCGTGACTCGGGTAATGCCACTGTCATGCTCCTGCACATGATCGAGGACTTCTGCCGCGAGGGCGACAAGGTGGTGGAGTGCGGCAAGAAGGATCGAGAAGATCTCCAGTCACAGGTGAGTCTTCGTGTCAGGATCTGCAGATGGATATCGTTTTCGCATCCATGTATCCCGTTTTTGTGAGAGCTAAACGCATGAAAAGTACACTTGAAACAGTCGATTAGTTTGTAAGCCAGGTTATTACCCAATCAGAGCCCATGTTACAACCCCTCCACTGACACACAAACAGATCGATACCGCTGACAAGCAGCTGAAGGATACGCGCCGATTCCTGGAGGATCAGGCCGCTGAGCGCGAACAGGAACGCGACGAGTTCCAGCGCGAAATCGAGCGACTGAAGGCGCAATTGCGCGATAAGGAGAAGGAATGTAGCTCCTATGCCAATGCCTCCGAGGAGGTGAGTCCTGTCCACTATCTACGATCGCTAAGATCTCAATTGATTGATTTTGGGCTTGGTTTAAATAAAGTCTGTTTTCCGTTATAGTTTTCGTTTGATATGCCTTGGTTTACACACAGTCCATTTCTCTGCCTTTATCTATCTGACTGTATTCTATTTTTCATTCTATTCTTTCATGTTCGGATTATTATTTAGTTTAAGTTTTGGATACAAGTTTAGATATAGAAATACGTTTAAGTTCTGTTAGCATGCCTTCCCCAAGAACATTTTTATTAACTGAATCAATTACGCAAAGAAACATTAACAAAAATCATCCAAATTCCATTAAATATTTTACATAATCCGAGTATGCGAGTCCCTCTGGGGCCATTGAAATTAAATCAAGGGCACCATCTAACGTATATACAAGAGATATTTTCGTAAGCATCTGCCGACATATTTATAGACCCCCGGAGGTATATACATACATATGTATGTAACTAAATGTACACTAACCATATGTATGTATATTCAAGTGTGTGCGAGTCGGATCCATTCAATCAGATGTTACCTTTAGTGGAATATGTTACCATTTCCATGTGCGAGTCGATTTTGTATGGAAGTCATAGAAGTTTTGTTAAATGTTTCTGTGTGTATTCTCTATCTAATTATTGTTTCGCATGCATGTAATCAGCAAATTTCACTCCTAATTCCTATTTAAACTAATTGTGCACCCTTTCCCCACTAACCCACTCCGCACCCGCAATAAATAGTTGAAGTTCAGAAAGAAAAAGCATGTAAGTTGTCACTAATATGGAAACGCACCCGGACACCCTCATCACAGTTCGCCCTATTTCACCATATCACACCACACAAAGTACGAGTTGTTTTTATGAATCTGTACTAATCCTGGGGTTCCTTTCCCATACACCCTCCACACAGTACGCACAATTGGAGGGTCAACTGCGGGCGGTCAACCTACAGCTGAGCCAGTCGAACGCCAAGAGGGATAAGTTCGAGGTTGAGCTGAAGGCATCCATTGACAAAATCTTTGTGCTGCGCGAGATCATCTCGGAGCTGGAGACCCAAGTGCAGACTAAGGCACTCAACGAGCACGTGCTGGACGAGAAGACCAAACAGCTGGAGGACTATGTCAGCCTCCAGATGCGGGCCAACGATGCCCTGCATCAGGAGGTGCACAGCCTCAAGACGGATATCGGCGAGGGCTATCAGGCGCGGATTCAGCTGCTGGAAGAGAAGCTGCAGCAGGGCAGACCGTCTGCAGAACAGAGCCTTGTCCTCGTGCAGGTGGCTGAGAAGCTGCGGGACATTGAAACCACACTGGAGCAGAAGACAAAGGTCCTGGAATCGCTGCACAACTCAAACACCACCTCCAACTCGGCCAGCCTTAGTGTCACCGAAGACGTCTCCGTTCATGGCGGCGGGAGTAGGCCACAGACCGCGGCGGGCTCGCCCTCGCATCCCTCTCTGACCGTTGAGGGTGTGCAGCGGGTCACCGAAAAGCTGGATAGACACACGCGCGTCGAAGAGGCCGCCATTAAGCGCATCCGCGACCTGGAGATGCAATTGCAGCAGATGCGTTCCGGCTGTGTGGTGAGTAAACGTTGATCTGATGGATTTCATTGTATAAAGCATTGTGCATTGTGTGAAGGCTTGGAAGCCTGTCCTTGAATACGATTATTTCTTATAATCTAAGCGAACCATTTGTATTTGGGGCTAAATATTTTTGAAAATGTAACCTCAATCAAAACCAAATTTAACGGCATGGAGGAATGATGTGGCGCGCCACCTACCGATTTTTTGTTACAAAATGTTAAAATAATTACATACTTCCACGCCATCTAGCGTTCGGGTTAGAATTTACTATTTATTTAACATCAGGGCTGCCGATTTCGCTTTTTTCCCGTCAGATCTGGCGTTTTTTGTGAAAAATTTGCGTATTGACGGAAGCGGGAATTCTAGATATTTTTGTAAATTTCTTGACCGTGTTTCCACGTTTTTTTAATATTGCCACCGATTATGAAAGTATGAAAAAGTTCGTCATTATTTTGTAGCGATACCTGCCAATACCACCACTAGTTTAGTGCAAACCCCTATCTCTATACCAATACTGAGCTTCAATGGTAATAAAACTCATAAAGAATTTGAACATATAAAAATAATAATGCAATATAATGGTTAATTTTGCATTTCAAACTTAATATTACGCAGACGGTTAGCTGCAAAGTGTTCCTTACCTTCAACGTGTTGCAAAGTATTCATATCGAATATATAGTTGCATTTATCAGCTTTCCAGAATTGCATAGTTCGTTAAAACCATATGTAAGATATTGAAAAACATATTAAATATAACCATACTATAAAAAATGGAAGAACCGTTAACTATGTTATTTGGGCTTTTATCTGAACATTTTTCCGTTTTTAAAATTTAAATATAGCTTTTTTTCTGAAGAAATTTGGCAGCAGTACTTAACATCTACATTAACAGCCCATTTAACATTAACAGTGTCGACTCGATCGAGATTGAACGCAACCATCAAGCTTTTTTGAAGCAAAACGAAACTCAAACGGATCGGTCGTGTTTTTTCTTTATCTTTGGTTCCGTATGCTTTGACGAAATTTGTCCGCGAATATAATTGAAAGGAAATATAAAATATTTACAACAAATAAAGAAGGGGAAAATGAAACAAAAATGTGGAAAACGTGCTTAGTGTTTTGTCCCAGAATACCTAGTATTTAATTTAATCCAAGAAATCGTGTGCTGGACTGGTTCCTGAAATGTTTCACGGCCCGAAAACGCCTCCCATCTTTGGTCCGTTGCGAGTGAGTTTTTTAAAGTTTGTGGCCTCTTGATATCTCATCAAGGTTCCTCGGGCTGTTGAGAGTCCGTCCCCCCAGTGACTGTGTGTGTGTGTCTGCGACAAGTGGCCCCGACAATTGATGTGTTTTCAAGAATGTTTATACATATTTGTATACTCGTACATTATTTATTTGATGAATTCTGACACGGTTCATTGTTCAATGACGTTTCCTGCTGCAAACCATAACAACAAATAAACAATAATAACTAATTTTATTTGTTGTGTGACAAACTTATAATGTTTCGCTCATTTTGCTCATTCGAGATTCTAGTTAAATTCTGATTTTTCTATGATTTATGGCAGATGTGGTCGCAAATTGGAACACGCTGTGTCACAAATAGCCGTCTCCTGGCTCCTTTGCTTATGCCCGGGCTGTTCCACTTCAAAAATAGACGCCATTCCCGTTCGTCTCAATAATATTCCCCCTCTCCGGACCATTCCCTGATATGAGTAGCGCCTCTTCTAAGCCGAATGTAAATCAAATCATTTGGCACCAGTTGCACCTGCCACATCTCCATTACCCTAGGGGCAGTGCACCGAAGTGAGCGCAATTGAATAAATTTATTTATGCAACGGAACGCATCCCGCTGGATAGAGAACAAGAAAGAAAGACAGAGAGCGAGATAGGCGGGATGGTTGTTTGTGTTTGGGAAGCTGCGTAGGAACCCGCATAAAAATACGAGCCAGTGCAGCAGAGCGAGTAAACAACAGCATCAGCAGCCACAAGATACAACAAGTGCAAAGGCAAGAGATACAGATACTGAGCACAGTGGACCGAACTGTATACGAACTGCTATACATAATTCTGACGATAGTCCGATATCTAGTACTAAAAACTATTATTTATATGCAAATAAGATGATATTTTGATATCATTATGCTTACATAAGTATGTATGTATTAGTATATTACATATATAACCGGTTTCAACTTTTTAAGTTTTTTTCATAAAATTCAAAATATTCCTTGAAAATTTTTTTGCCAAGATACAAACCACTGTGCATGGCAAAGATACATATGCATGATTGAAAGGGTTAAATGCAGATTGGGGGAACGGTCAAATGGTCGGTCATTGACCGCTGCAGACACGACACCCACCCAAAGAGAGCTGCAACGAGATCTAACTAATTGATGACTTTTGTCCAAATGTATAGGAACTCCAACATGAGCGGGATTCCCTGCAGAGCCGCATCGATGAGCAGACCCAAAAGATATCCACACTGCACACGCGACTAGAGGAGCAGCGACAAAGGGCCGAGCAACTGCATCGCGCTGGCACCTCTGACCTCAGCACACGCGTCCATGAGCTCCAGGGAGAGGTGAAGAATCACAACGAGCAGCTGGCGGCCAGGGACAAGCAGATGGCCACCATGCGACAGCAACTACAACGCAGCAAGGAGGAGATAACACGCCTGGAGGCAGAGCTAACGGTGCGCACCAAGCCAGACCGCACCATGGTGGAACGTCTCCAGGTCGAGCTGCAAAGGAAGGGTGAGGAGATCAGCAAGCTGAAGGAGAAGATACGCACAGAGATGATCAATCGATTGGCGGTGCCGGATCTGATGGAGACCATGCTTGCGGACAAGAACGATGAGATCGATCTCCTGCGCGACCAGCTGGAGGCCAAGGAAAAGGAATTGCGAGTGGCTCAAGGGGATGCCAGTCAGATTTCGTCGCCAGCAGCGGGCCCGGCTGAAAAACAGGAAGCCAGTGCCAAGCTGAGTGCACGAACTCTCAGCGACATCGGATCGATTACCGAGTTCCCCGAGCCGGATGTGGAGCGTCGAGCAGCCATGCTCAGTCTTAATGCTCCGCTGCAGTTGAGCGACGGTGCGGGCGGCTTCCTGCATCAGACAATGGTGAGTGCCTTACCCTTACTCTTACCCTTACCCTTAAATTTTACCCACTTAAATTTGATTAAAACACGTGCTTTCTTGCAGGAAACCTCCAAGGAGGCGGTGGCCAATCTCACGTACAAGCGCACCGATGATCTCAGTGGCTTTGCGGCACCTTATCCGATCAACACGTTCGAGCATCCTCACTACTTCCAGGCCATGGGCGTCACGGCCCAGAGTAGCGATGGTCTAACACCTGGTCTGGTGCCGAGACAGATTAACTTTTCCAATTTGACAGAGGACTCAAAGCTGAAGACGCCCAGTTTGCTGATGCAGACCCCGGAAATGCCGAAGCCCATTAGCCCAGCGGATGTCCAACAGTTGAGAAAGAAGCTAACGGAACTGGAGCGGCAGAAGGAGCAGCAGCAGGCCGAATTGGAAGAGAAGATGACTGATCTACGAAAGCAGCTCCAGCAGGAAAAGGAGCAGTTGAGCCGGCACGAGAAGACTCTGCGAGGTCATGAGGAGAGCGAGGAAAAGTATCGACTGCGTATCGAGTCCCTTGAGACAAGGATTCTGGAGACGGCTGCCCAGGAGGCTGCCGAGAGGCAGAACCTCCGCATGGAGCTCAACTGCGTGAGTGCGGCGCACTATCAGTGCGAGGATGCTGCGGCTGCTCGAAAGCGAGAGCTTGAGGCGCTCAACAGCGAGGTCAAGAAGAAGGCGGAGCAGCTGCAGGCTGCCCTCATGCGGTGTGCGGAACTGGAGCTCCAAGTTCAGACGCTGGAACGGGACTTGGAGCGTCTGAAGAATAGCGAAAATAGCTCCAAGCAATACTCCGTGGATGAGATTGCACAGCAGGTGGAGAAGGAGCTGAACTACTCGGCCCAGCTGGACTCAAACATCCTCAAGGCCATCGAGAGCGAGGAAGAGAACAATCTGGACAAGAAGCAGCAGCAAAAGGAGGTTCAAACGGAGGAGGAGCACTCCCCAGGCACTGGCAATGGAACGGACGACGAGAACTTCACCGGCGAACGGGAATTGCTGAACCAGCTGGAGGCCTTCAAGGCCCAGTTGGCTGTGGAGCGTGACCAATGTGAGGCCTTAAGCAAGGAGCTACTGGGCGAGAAGCAGCACTCGCAAGACATTCAAGAGCAGGACGTCGTCATCATCGAAGCCATGCGAAAGCGTTTGGAGACTGCTCTCGATGCCGAGGACGAGTTGCACAAGCAGCTGGATCAGGAGCGCGAGCGCTGTGAGCGTCTCCAGACGCAACTGACCTCCCTCCAACGGGCCGAGAGTCGTCGCAACAGTTCTCTGCTCTTGAAGTCGCCGGGCGACTCGCCCCGCAAATCGCCACGTGCCGACTTCGAATCGGAGCTGGGCGAGCGCCTGCGCAGTGAGATCAAGCTATTGGCGGCTCAGAACGAGCGGGAGCGGGAGCGATCGGCCGATGCACAGCGTAGCAGCGAGCGGGAGCGACAGCGCTACGAGAAAGAGTTGCAGGAACGTGTGGCCTACTGCGAGCGTCTAAAGCAAGAGATGGAGAAGCTGGCACGCGACAAGGAGTCGGCCGAAGTGGAGCTAGAGCACTTCAACGAGCGCCTTACACTACAAGCTAGCGAGATTCAGAGTCTCGAGGCGAGGCTGGTGACGCTGCAGGAGGCGGAGACTCGCAGGGCCAACACACGCACACGGCAGCACCAGGAGAACGTCAATTTGCACGCAGAAATTCACGAGCTTAAGGCAAAAGTGTTGGCCGCGGAGGCCGAGCGGGACTGCCTTGACCAGAAGGTCACCCACCTGCGCTTCGACGTGAGTCGATCCGGTCATCGAGAGGCCAAACTGGCCGAGGCCCTGGCGCAAGCTAACGATCGGCTCGCTCACAGCACGGACGACACCGTGCCGGCGCAGTTCCTCCAAAAGATGAAGGAGATCAATACACTGCTGGCGGAGAACACCCAGGAGAACCGTCAGATGGCCGAGACGGTGCAGTATCTGGTGGGGGAGCGGATTGCCCTGCAGAAGAAGTGCGAGGAGCTGGGAGGGTCGGGCAGTGGCAATGTTGGAGAGCTTGAGGAGCGCTGCCGTCAGCTGCTCGGTCGCTACCTCCGCGTGGAGTCGCATCGTAAGGCGTTGGTCTATCAGAAAAGATACCTGAAGCTCACCCTAGAGGGATACCAGGCCAGTGAACAGCTTGCCCTGCAGGCCATGGCCGGGGCCGCACCGCAGCGAAATTCCAAAAAGAAGTTCAAGTAAGTCATGTCAAACATTAACTCATTTATCGATGCCTTTCTAACTTGAGCACATTATTCACATTTAACAGGACTGTGGCCCTAGCCATAATTGCCATACAACGCATCAAATACATTGGACGCATCTGGCACACTGGGAAGCGAATTGTGAGCAAGTCCGTGTTCACCATAACCCAGCAGAGGTGAGACCCGCTAGTAAATACCCAAACTAATCCGCTGTATATAAAAAAGCCTGATCATAATCAACATTGATTACATTCTCTCGTTCCCCTAAGCTCTAAGATGCCCCTGGTGACGGTCAATATGAAAGTAAAGCTAAGCAAGGGCGATTCAGCCAAGAAATAGGTTGCCACAAGGTCTGCTCCTTAAACGAAGCACTTTACTCTGACTCACTTGCATATACTTAAAACGAGAAATTCTTACCTAGAACTTGACCTCGTCACCAATGTAGTTAGACTCAATCCCACTTTCAATTGGCTCGAACTCACCCTCCTTAAGATTCACATATTCCTAATGAACGACAACTAATCGCAGCTTTCATTTCAGAAACTTGCCTCCCCAATCTCCACTGCCTGTGCCCAACTCGAATCTACCCACCAATAACAACCTTTCGGGACGCCTCGGCTATGCGCCCATCTCTCCCCTGCAGCCAATAGTGCTGTCTCCGGACTACACTCTCCAGGAGCCAGCCTCTTCACTGTCCAAGAACCACACCAACGAAAGCAGTCTGCCATCGCTGGCCAGGCTGGACTGGCCTACCATGCAGAAGCCAAAGCGCGCGCATGCGCGGCATCATTAAAGGCTCTGTGATCTGGGCCAACTCGAGCCCAGTCCTGTCAACCATGCTCAACCGGAGGCCTTAGGTTTTAAGTGAAGCCATATCATAAGACATTCAATATTCAATCATCGCAAGGAGACCCATTATAGTTTGTATTGCCTGTACCATTTCCCGAAATTAAGTTTTAAGCTGTTGAAACCTACTTTAAGGATGCCATGTCCCTTTGCTCCACGCCCCTACTTAGAAATGTAATCACGTCTGTAAATGTTATTCGTAGATGTACCAAAACAGTAGCCGTAAGCGTAGCCCTAATCCGTGTCCCAGTATTTTTTATTGGCTGACAAAACCTCCAGTCATTTATATTTAGTTGTGTCCTGCGTTTGACTTTATAAGTTCTCTCCTATAAGTTTATTAAACCAAGACCTATTTGCACTTGAAGGCTTTTCTGTTGATTTATTGAGAATGTTCTCCACAGACATAAGTATGTATATGCTGAGGAGTGTGCCTTATATGAGTGAAGTCAATGGACAGCTCAGAATTTAATTCGTAATCTAAAATAAAATACAAGTTAACATTGCGTGTTCTTAAAAATATCGGAATTATCGAACTACAAACATGCAAGGACAGGACAGAATCAAAGGCATTTCAATATGTCAAGGGGCAAAATTGGCTGCAGCTGTTCTCATTTCCTAATGCCGATTAAGCTGCAGCCACCAGTTGAACAGGTTGAGGCGCAAATACCAAGTGCCAGAGGGATTTTTATGCCGGGGCTCAAAGAATATTCTGCACCCCAGGGCAGCTTGAGGCAAAATGAACTTTAAAAGCTTTAGAGTCCCCACCTCGCCACAATTATAAGCTGAGATACACTTTCCCCAGAAGTCCCTTTGATTTGTACCTTCCAGCTTCAACCCCCCTTTAAGCTATGAGAAGAAAGAAAACAAAGCTGTGGTTACAGTTAATGTATCCTTCGGCATACCCTGCTAGTTACTGCCCAGCTCGTTATCAGCCATCGCCACCCACTGATAAGAGGACATAACCGAACCGAACCGAACCGAACCGATTCAACCCGAAGGCTGGATCCGAAATAGCGGAGCTTTCCGTGCCCGTGCCAGAAATTGCTAACATATGGAAGCATTGAATGGCGCATCGTCTAGCATTGGCTATCCTGTCGTTGTGGCAAGCAGTTTTGCTTGCAAGCTCTGTATCTGCACTACTTCGACGGCGAGCGGTTCGCTGATTCTGATTCCCTGTTTTTGTTTTCCGCTGGAACGGTGTCTTGTGCAGCAAACCCAAAAGAGATTCATTTAAAAATATATACACATTTGAGATATATAAATCGGATCTTGAATCGAAAATCCACAAACGATATCGATGTAAGGTTGTGTTTACCTGTGCTGTGCGTGAGGAAATGTTCGATAACAGGGACAAAAATATATAAAAACCAATTGGAATCAATTGAAAGCAAACCAGAAATTAAGTGAAAATAATTGCCGAATAGACGGTGAGCAAAAGGTAAGAACAGAAATGGTTTAGTGAAATATTCTGATTTTTGGGACTTGTTTGACTGCAATTATTTAACGAAGGATCTATAGCAACGAACTATTTGAGGGATATCTAAGAGAGAGCAGATAAGATACAAAGGCAATTGCAGAATTGAGTACAAATAAATTTGAAATTTTTCTTCCACTTAAAGTCTTCAACAGGAGTCACAGCCGCGAGGGAGAGGAGGCCGATGAAATCCAATTTGATAAGTAATCGCATCAGCCTTTGGCTTGAGATTTCCCCGTCCAAAGCTTCAACCTAATCCCAGACATTTAAACACTAATGGATCCAAATAAAGACAGAATTTGTTATGGCTGGGAAAAGCCCCAGTCTGAATGCCTGTTGAATGTTTGCCATTTGAGTGGATATTTTTTTGTTGGTTTTCGTTGGCTGGCTCTGTTATTCTGTGGGTTCTGGGGCGGGGCTTGGTTTGTTTGGCCAGGTCAAAGGCCAAAGTAGTTCAAGAACTCTTTGATTTTGGTTCTCATAGCAAGCTGCCTGCACTTCCTGAGAGTGAAAGTTTGCTTAGCTGTTCAACATCTGTGTGGTTGTGATTGTAATTGTGTCTCTAACCCATTGCGGTCGGCTATATCTATGCATATTGATAAGATAGCTATACCTTATCAGCGGCCAGCAAGCGTTAATTCTCTCTATATTCGTTACGCCTCTGCAGATTGGACATTTTTGGTGGGCGTTACAAAGAGTTCTAATCCTAATTGTTGCCTCCTTCCTTCTCTCTGGTGCCCGCTACGCTCTAATGACGTCAAATATGCGATTATGGACGTTATTTGTGTAAAAATTTAAGCAATTTAAAGATAAAAAAAAAACAATAATGGACAGACTCAAGTTGGTCTGATCATTTTCGAATTTATAAGTTTCTAATAAGTCTTAGTGATGCCTGGGAATGGTAGGGAGTGGCTTGCTGGCCTGGTTGGTTGGTTTCTCTCATGGGCTAGAGGAGGACCGAGTGCAAAGACCAGGTCGATGGCGAGACAGCTTGTCACTGTCATGGTCCGTGGGAAGGGGCATGTCCGGGGCTAAAGTTTCATCTTTTGCCCCACAAGTTTATTATTGCTGGTTCCTGCTGCTTTGCTGGAGCTCGCACTTTAAGTTTTTTAATTGCGCTACATGCGGCAAAGCCAAAGTAAACCTTTCCCTAATCCGTTTTAGGATCGCTGGCATACATGTTGTATGCGGGATTGGGAATGGAAGGTTTTCATTGACTTGGCGCCTGGTGTGGGCGTGGAAGCGTCTGGCTGGGGGTGCATTTGTTTGGTCGCCTTTGACAGGTGCTCTTAGGTTCTGCTTCATATAAAACTTGTTCTTCCTCAGCGCTCGGCTTTCCTCGAGTACACTTTGCGCATTTTTCTTTGTCTGCATCTGTCTGCACTGTGTCCCGACACTCTGTTAGCTTAATTGGAGCTGCGCTTCCAAGTCAGCATATGGAAATGCTTTTCCCACTCTCGCCTACTCCCCACAAACAATCCGCATGGAAAGCACCTTGCCCTATTTATTCATAACTATTTAATTAACTTAACTATTAACTTTGACGCCTGATCTAGCAGCTGTTCCCAGCCTCTAAAATCACAGCTGCAGCTTCAGCAGGCATAATCACCTCCAAGTTTTCTATAAAAGCGTGCAGCGACACTTTTGTATATTAGTTTGCTTTTCTCGCAATGCAGTTTCTGCTGATATTGGGAATTTTCGGGCTCGTTTTCCTCGGTTCGGTTCCCGTTAGAAGTGTGCCGGAGGACTTCTATATTGAGGAATTGCTGCGCGCAATGAACATTCCCACTGGAAATGACTCTAGTTCAATTGTAGGGGAATCTGATTACTTCGAGGCCCCCTTGGATACATCAGAAATGGATTACTATGGCTAAAAAGACCCGGAATAAAGTTAATCTACTGTGGATTTATTAGAGAAAAAGTGTAAAATTGTATTTCCATCTAGATATTAACAATTGGTGATGATAAAAGCTGTGAGAGGTATTGTCAGCATAAACAACGAAAATATGTTTAATCTGCGAACTTATATGGGTATGGCTAAATTTAGTGATGGTTAATCAATCCTAATTCTAATGTGTTGCTTAAGAGCTTGACCGTTCTCTTGAATTAAGGACGAAACGTTTTTCTAGCAGAAACATTGTCCAAGATTATCTCGTATATAATTATATACAATATATATATATACATATACAATTATATAATTATTCTTTAAATTCTCAGCGAACAAACCTGGGAATACTCATGCCAAATGTATTTTCTATTCCTAAATAAAAGTAAAACAATAGAACAGTTGGGAACACCAAAAAACAATAGACATACCCGCTAATGACAACCATTCAAAAAAATCTGTTTCCAATCCCCTTCGCTGTGTTCTCCCTTCGATCCAACTACGCAAATATGAAAATGAAACTACGCAAACGCGGCTAACATTTTTGCACGGATCCTCAAGGCCTGGCCTGCCGAAAAGACAAAACTTCAATTAACTTATTTGCTTCAATATTTGAGCTGATCCATTTGTAAGCCACAAGGGAAGCAGAGCGCTATTAAAGCTATAAAAGCGGGAGTCTGGACCCGTGAATTACCAGTTGAAAGAAGTTACTCATTGACAAAATGCGTTTTTTCGTCACCCTGTTGTGTACCGTTTTGGTGGCATCGGCTTCTGGCCAGGACTCTGTGAGGGGACGACCAGCACGTTCCGCTCAAATCAAACTGGCGGTGGAGCCCCTGGAGTTGGAGCCTCTGGAGTTAGAGCCACAGTTGGCGGTGGAACAGCTGGCAGTTGAGCCTACTCTGTTTGTACAGAATCCCCGTATTGTTCCTGCAGTTCTGCCCATAACAGACACCAAAGACTATCTTCCCAAAGCATCGGCTGGCAAGCGTCGCATCATACCCTATGCTGGCTATCCCCGCTACTGGCCCGATTACGGTGCACCTGCTGATAACTGGTACCGCTGGAATTCGGGTCCTCGCTACTGGAATGGCCCTCGCTCTTGGATGGGCTACCCCGGCTCGGCTCCTTCTTGGCCCAGGCGCAGACTGGTGAAGCCTCTGGCTAACAGCATCCCTGTATCTGATCCTAATGCCGCTGTGGACGTCGATGATGCTATCGCCTCTGACGTAGTTCCCGTTCCCGTTCCCATTCCCGAAATTGCTATCATTCCTGAGCAGTCCGCTATTCCTGATACTGATGCTGAGCTGGCTGATCCCGAAGTGTCTGCCCAGGTGATCAGCTAAATTTATTTCAAATAAATTTTATATAAAGCAATTGTTATGGATGAGGATTGGGGGGAAGTGCTAGTCAGATGGTTCATAAAAAGATTTCCAGGAATTTAGAAGAAAATCATATTTTCAAATACTGATTTGGGTAATTATCAATTTAGAATTCCAATATAGAATTTCATTTATGGTTCCACAATCACAAAGCAGAACGAACAATTTGCTATCTTATCGGGCTTGTATTGAATATGCTATTTGTGGTATTGAGTAGAGTGCAAACACGGAGCTCAGTCGGGCGTTAAGGTGCTAAATTAACGGCCAGCATACTCTCTGACCAGCACCAGCTCCATCACCAACCCAAACCGAACCGAACCCAACCAGTGCGACTAGCAAACAATCGTCCATATGGCGCAATATTGAAATATCCAATCAAAATGTTAATTCGAGGGTAGAGGAGCATTTTTTCGTTCACTTTACGGTAGTGGCATTGTTTAAATGGATCGTCTAAGCTTTAGTGAATCGAATCACTTTAGGTCCAATTTTCAGCAAAATTAAATGGAAATCTATGCAAATTTTTTACAGAGACCCTTTTAGCACTTGTTGATTCGTTAAATACCAGTCTGATAAGACCTGATAGCAGCAAAGGATACTATTTACGAGCATTTTCTCCCCAGTTTTTGTGTATTTTGTTTTACGAGTAAAACATAAGTTGAGCATATTGAGGGACAATCTATGCTGGGCTGGTTCGGAGGGAGGGTTCGTGGCGGTGCCGTGCTTTCTGCTGCTTGGTTATTTTTAGGGTTTTGGCCTAGCTGGATCTGGCGCCATCGGTCCACTCCCATTGCTATGCCATTCCCACGCCACATGCGCGCTTTCGCACAGAAAGCTTTGGTCTATGCAAATGAATGTTGATGAAAGTTTTCCGGAAATGTAGAGGAAAATACGAGCTCGTAGCTTGTGCCGTTGGGAAAATTGCATCAATTTGACTCGAGAATGAGAAAACTAGCAGAAATATTTGTATTACTTATACCTATTATGTACTTGTTTGTTTATTATGTTCGAAATGGCGGGTTTAATAAGCTGAATATAATAAATAAAGTAGCTCAAAGCGTGTTAACCCTAATAATTCCTTTGCACATCCACATTGAGAAAAACTGTTAGGTAGGTAAGGATTCAGGCACCGTTATATTCGTTGCACTCCATCTATTTTTCTGCGTGATCTTTTGGCGACGTCTTGACACTCACATGACTCTTGATGAGAGCTCAGCTCATCATCATCATTGACATAACAATTGCAAGCACTTCCGTTTCCAAATGAGCAGCCACAGGACGTAAGTTTTATTTGTGTGCGTGTTTATCCCCAAAGAGCAATAGGGAAATGTGGGCTGAAAGCAAACAAAAATTAGCGGCCAACATCGAATACGCAGAGGAGTGTTCCAAGGAGATCTATCTGCGTGTGTGACGTACGCAGGATACGCAGAAATGGTCCAACAAGTAAACTTCAGGCATGGATATTGGGATCAAAGATCCCTAACCTACAGTAGAAATCATTCAGCTTAGTCAAGAATACTTGGGTAAAGAAAGCTATGAGATGGGATATATCCCATATTTTTTCTAAGTGAAACCAAAATTTCCCTTTCAGCCACGCCACTGACGCTGACCGACCGCGAACACTCTGTCTGTTCCCCCCTCTGTTTGAGGGGAGAACCCGCAAAATCAACAAATACTAATTTAAAGCCCGGGGGCCCGGGCCCTAACGGTTCTTGCATCGTCGCCTAGCTCCCCAGGGAACGGGACAAAGTTTTGTAATGTTTTGTTGTATGCAAATTAACGGACATGGGGGTCCCAGACTAGACTCTGGCAAGTCTACCAAAACATGTCTGTCGATTCTGTCAACAAGAATTATGGCAATTGCGCTCTTTTGTCCAGAGCGAATTTCTTGTGGGCTAGGGAACATCTAAGGAACTCCAGCTGTAAGCGGCTTGATTAGTATATTCATTCCGTGGTTATTCTGCTGCGATTGGCTCATTGGATAATTGCATTAAATTGTGGGGTCACCGAGGGAATTATTTTAATTGCCATCACCCAGCCAGACTAGGAAAAGGACAGGGACGGTCAATCGGGGTCAGTAGAGCGGATGACACATTAACTGGGCTAAAATCGATAGCAATCACAGTCAGCCGGTCAAATTGATATGAACCCGAATGCTTCAGACCGCAAAAAAGTCATAGTCAAGTGGGGTCAAAAGTAATGGACGTGAACATGTAATGGCAGTCGGTCTGTTTGCCTTATATGTAGAAATGAAACAACTGTCTTTGGGACAAAGTATACGACGGAAATGGCTGCTTTCCATTGCTTTTTCCGGCCTTTTCTTCTATTAGGAATTTCCATTGTGGGATTCCATTTCAATTAAACGGCGTCTAAGCAAAATGAATGCAATTCTATTATATTTTATTATTCTCTATTACACTCGCTTTCGTACTTCTTTAGATTCGTCTACAAATTGAGTGAGCGGGAGGTTCATCATCCAGTGCATTCAGCAAGGGCTGACATTGGAGAGCAGAAACTAACAATTGGGCAAAATAGTGGGAGAAAAAAAGGCAATTATTCCAGGTTGGCCATACATTTCCCAAGCGCCTTCAATGCCTTCAATGACAACTTATTTATAGCGTGCTGTGTGCTACAATTTCAGCTGCTTCCTTCACTGGCACGAGGCGAAGTTGAATTAAATTATGATTAAGTCCTTACGGACGCCTGTCAGGGGAATGCGTGCGTGAATATCTCTGGCGAGTGTGTGTGACATTGATTGGCATTGAGCTGTGGGCGGCATAGGCAAATGGGGACGTCAATTGCGCTGAGCGCATGTGGATGCGATGCCGTTTAGCCTAGGCCCACCAACCGACCACAGCAGTCAGACCTACCAATCTCATTTTCAGCATTACAAATTACCAACACGCGCCGCATTATAAGGCAATCGCCTTTGTTCGACAAGCACCTGATTGCTGTCGTCCCTCAAACTGTTGACATTTTCCGCGGTTAACTTTCCTTTGCATTTCATTTTCGTCTACTAACTGTTTACAATTGCGCACAAGTTGTCAGAGGCTTTTCTCTTCCTTTGGCTGTCCTCGCAGAATAACTAATTTTTGGGCGTAGCACTCGCAATCGCTTTTTAATATGACTGAGGATGTGCGAGCATCCGTACCAGAGAGGAACACCATCCAGATGGAACACCATCCAGATGGAACACCATTCAAATTAATCGTGGTCGATTTTCATCCATAAATATGCTTTACAAAAACGTCTTGGCTTTACAGTATACATATAAGATTTATATTTGTCAGTGATCCCAAAAATATGGAGTGATAAATTAAAATTTTTTGCACTAAAATGGGAGTAGGTGTAATTGAATTAACTATTGTCTGGCTTGCTGATGTACTCTCATTCTCAGGCTCAGCAGTTAGTTTTCTTTCTCGGCGGGCAATTCGCTTTCGGTATCATCTAATTCCTTGTCAGCGGCCTCTTCTTCAGGATCGACCTCTTCATCCTGAGATTCATTCATATCCTCCTGCCCAAAATCATCTCCATCGAGCTCATCCTCAGCCTCTGAGCTAGTTTGATCCTCGTTATACTCGTCCTCTTCGATGATGTCCTCAACAGTTTCATCCTCAGTCAGATCAAAGGCAAAATCATTTGAGTCATAAGAGTTGCTGTTCTCTGGCTCTTCAACGATTTCGCCATCCACAGATGGAACCATACGCCAGTAACCACCGTAGCCGTAGCCAGGGTTGTTACCCCATGGATTATTTTGATAATGGGGACGATGGGGCTCTACTGGAGACGGATTGACGTTGGCACTAGCTGTGGAGACTCCCGACACGATCAGAGTATTGTTGCCGAACCGGATGGTGGAATTTTGGGATCCTAAGCCTCTTAGAATGTTCTCCAGCCAGGTCAGATCACCGCGAGTAATCTGAGGAGCTGCACTGCTGTAGGCCAGGATCCCGGCAAAGATTACAACTGCGAATGCTAGGGAGCGCATGATTTCTGAAGATCGATTGGCTGAGTGCAACAGAAACTGTAATTCCTAAGTCGTTTAGCTTGGGTTTTATACCTTTAATGAATGTTAAAAGTAGTCCGATTGATTGGGTAAATGATTACAGTACGCAAACAGTCATCAAGGTTCTACGGTGTCTGGCATATGTTGAGCTTAGGCCGAAAAATGTAGTTGTTTTTACCCCCCAAAGGCACATAGCCCATTAGTGAGATCAATTGTACAAATACAACCCAAATTCGAGCAATGGAACCAAGCCTAATGTAATAACCATATTTATGATTCATATGCAGTGAAAAGTATTTACGCTGGATACACAGAGTTCTACCTAAGTTCGTCTACATAACTTTGGAGTTTATTAAAAGCCAGTGAAAAGCCGACCTCCTTGAGGAAATGTATTGATCAGCATCAATATCGGAGTATATGTAGACATGTCCGTCTGTTCATTTGTCTTGACTGCATTTTGTGTTCATTCTCCTGTATCAAACATATTTTTCTACTCCCACTTCCTCAAATCTCGATATGTTATGGCATCGACAATTTGAAGAGAATATAAAAATAAAAACCTGTAAAATGTGGCATTCTTCTTTTTAACCTTAGACGGGAAACATGAATTTTCACGTTCAAAAGGGAACATTCGTTGAACAGACAAAGTCAAACATTTTTCATATGAAACAAACTTTTTATATACCTGCTCTTGTAGTTTTTCTAATATTAAAAATTAAAAATAAAGAGACAATTTGCTCATACATATTATTCTTGATTTCTTAAACAAAAATATGACCAAAAATGTTGGTTGTGAGAGATCGTGTTTTATAAGCAGCTTAAAACCCACTTTGAAATAAAAATTTTAAAAATATTCGAACTATTTTTATAAACAAATATATAAATCATCTTAAAAATTGTTGGAAGTTTGGCTTACCGTTCTATATGTTGTGCATATGAAATACAATGCGTGGCCCACGGAGAGAAACGAGTGGTTCGGTTAAAAATTTACTTGAGAGTGAAAACCAAATGAGTAATTGTGTACAGGAGTAAATTATGAGTGCAATATAAAACAGAGTATCAGTCCAAATGCTGATATCGATTTTTTTATAAAAATAACATACAATTTTAACTTTGAATTATCGTTGAATATCCTGTGTAAGCCACAATTTTGTCCAATTTTGTTCACAAAACTTGAAATTGGTTTGTCAATTGTTGCTTTATTGATGTTTTTAATTACAAAAACGAAAATCTTCTTTATCTGAATATTATTAATCGAATTTGGAAATATTTTGAATTTTTGTTCGTCGTATGCTTAATATTTTTGGAATAACCTTGGGATAAATAAGTATTCTTAGAAGATTTATTTCAATGAGAGAAAATGTTATTTCACAGTCAAGAAAATTTTTTAAGCTCATAATGAACAAATACCTATTAAAGACATTAAAAATTCGTCACATCGACGAAGTGCTTTTTTTTGTAACCCCAAAAAGAGGCGCTACCTCTGAAAAAAGCTTACAGAAAAAATACCAGTTTTTTTTAATTCTTAAAAAAAAAGTTGTGCCATAGAAATCAAAAAATATCGTGAAACAATTTCTAAGCCCCAGATCTTTCAGAAAAAGTTGGTTTGGTTTCTTGGGGAAAAATCGAGGAAATGTAGCATCGATTGGATCGTAAATTGGCCTTTCAAAATGATCCTATTTAACAGAGTTTCACTGTAATTATCTGATCTAGAAATGAGCTATATTTCTAGCAGCTAAATATTTACACATAATTTGTTGAATTTTTTGGCTGCAACCCAAGGCAACAGCTGCTCCAGTTCAAACATCGCCACTCACGTCCCAGTCTACGCTCTTGAAAATTTTGCGATTCGCTATAAAAGGCAATTCAATAGAGGACTTAAAATTAGTTAAAGACTAACGAAAACCATACCATGCGTACCATTTTGCTGCTTGCCCTCTTCGGACTTGTGCTGCTGGCCACAGTTTCGGCCCAGCCAATTGATATTGATGACATCAAGGAAGAACAGAATGCAGAGAAGTTGGACGAAGCCGATGCGGATGCGGATGATACCCAAAATGAGGAAGAAGAGGAGTCCCGAGAGCAGGAAGATCAGGATGATTCAGCTGACCAAGACGATGAAAAAGATGTTGATGATGTCAGTCAAAACGAAACAGATCAAGTCTAACTACACAGACAATACACCGCTACATTATGTAATTGTTTAACTTTCTACATGTATAATTCATTAACAGTTTGAACAACTGTTTACACAGATGCAGACAAACCTACAGTCTCACACACACATACACACAAACACATACACTATGGACACGACAATAAGCCAAGATAAGGTTTTTGTTGTTCAAAATAAACAAATAAAATTCTGGTTAAATGGGAAGAATTAATTTTTTATTTCGATTACCAGTTATTTGTGAACCCTTGAAGGGCATCCTAAAATTGGCCAGAAATTTGGACGCACAAAAACGACAGCTCCGACCAAAAAATAAGTAGCATAAATAGGCAAGTCAGTCTACGTAGAGTCTATCTGTCTTATTTATGAATATTATGTCAGTACTAAAGGCTTAAATTTGTGTAAGAATATGGACTAAACTCCGTTTTCAAATTTCACACTGTTAGAAGTCCTCTGACAGAAGAGAACAACCTAGAGAATGGCGTGTTGGTGTAGATGTAGATGAGAGATATAGCAAAAAAATTGGAAACAGATAAAATATTTTTAAATTCGACCTAAATTTTAAATCGCATTTATACTGACTGAGTGTAGAGTCGCGGCAACTGCAGCGACTCACAACTTTCCCTCTCGTTTATGAATATATACGACAATATGGAATAAGCTGCAAAGCTTGCAGTTTAGAATGTGCTCAGTAAGCAAATGTGACTACTTATAAAAGGGCAGTTGCCGTGGCATTCGGAAGCATTCTATCTGACAGTTCAAGGAAAAAATGCGGTCTGTGATATTTATCGGCTTGGTGGCTCTTCTGGCTATGGTATATGTGACAGCACATCCCGCTGCGGACGACGATGGTGGTGATAGCAGTGGTGGTCAAGAGAATCAGTTGGACATTTTGCCGTGGCGATGGCCTAGATGGGGCGGCATCGGACCAGTTATAATTCCTCCACATCCCACCGAGAAATTCTTGGAAACCTAATCCTCTCTACAGACAATAAACAACACGTCATTCAAAAAGTCATTTGTAAAACTTTCCAGTTTAACAATTGTTCAAATAAAACATTGCGTAAAACCCGATTTTGGTAATATTCCCCGCCCCATTCTGGCAAAATTAGCGATATTTTTCTTATAAAAAGCGCGGGTCTAGTGAAATTGGAAGCAGTTTTCAACAAATTCTTATTTCAAAGTCCAAAATGCGTGCTCTGATGGTTTTAGCTCTGTTGGCCTTCCTGGCTGTAAGCTTTGTGACTGCCCGTCCAGCTGAGAATGAGGAAATTGCTGTTACTGACGACGCTGAAGAGCCCACCGATGACGAGGAGAGTAGTGAAGATGGGGAAACGCAAGACAACAATGAAGAGACAGGAGAGGAAGAGGCAATTCCGGCGCCCAAGAATGAAAGTCCTCCATTTTGGCCCAGACTCGGAGGTCATGGGCCAGTTCTAATCCACGCCAAGCCTCGCTTCCTCGCCATTGCTTAAAATATGTTATCCGATCAGTCCAGTCCATAACGTATGTTTGAAGTTCTCTGAATAAAGAAAACCCCAATTTTGAAAGTAAAATTTGTTTAAAAACACATGTTTCTGCATTAAACCGAAACAGTTTTCACTAGAACGCGAATGAAATGCGTGTGTGGTATTTTCTAACGTTAATCGGATGCTTGGGGATTGCCTTGATCTCTTCGAAACCCTTGGAGGAGGCTGATGATAAAAAAACAAAGGTTCAGGAGGTGATCAAACCATTAAGTGTTTCGGAATTAATAATGTGAACAACAAATCCTCAGGAAGAAGAAACTTATGTATCGATCGAACCTACTGCTGAGGATGCTCGAGATGAGGACATAGAAGCAAGTGGCGACGAAGAAGCTGGTGGTGAAGGGAAAGTTTACTATATAGAAGTGGAGGACGATGAAAGTGATGATGCAACTGTCGATAAGCCCATCGACGAAGAACCTTATAATTTTCTTAAATACCCAGAACACGAACCCGACTTCAAGCCATATCCCCGCTTCGCCATCCTTAAAAATGGATTTGTGAATCATGTGAACCTAGACTTTTAACATACACAATCAATAAAAAATAAATGATAACGATGTGTTTGCAACAGAATTAGAGACTCGGTCGTGTTGGGAAATTCCCAAAGTTAAGTTGACACAGCTGTGGCCAATAACAATAACAATGGTAAAAACAGAACTAAGTGACTGCGGTTTCGGCTTTTAGCTGTTTTTTTCTGTTTTTGGTCATATTAGTGTTCCTTAGCTCGCTCGGAGTAGTTTTCGTTGGACTATAAAAAATGCGTCTCGCCATTGCTATGCTGACTCTGGTGACCCTACTGTTGTGCATCGGGGTCACCATCGCCTCTCAGTCAGCCTCATGTGGGAGTGTGGACATCTTGGAGAACTACAGATGCAGGCAGCGCAAAGAAAACCCGACAAAAAGGAAAACTTTTCGATTTGCCATTTAAAAAGATATTTGCTGGGACTCAATAAAATTTATCCTAATAAAACCCTAAACTTGGTACTTTACCATTTGAATGCACTTTTATTGGTTGGAAAAATGTATACAAGAAATTTATGCACAGAAGGTTTTTACCGCTCACAATTAAAATCGCATTTTTTTTATTTATATCTCAACTAATTCCAGTGACAAGGAAACACCATCAAAATGGTTATGGTAAGTTCTGCGGTCCTAGGCGCTGCCGCCGGTACCGGCCTTGCTCTTCTCTTGGCCGTAACCATCGTTATGTACCGCTATTACTTGCTGCGGAGGCGCGGCAAGGAATGGGAGGAGCTGGATCGTTGGGAAGAGACGCGCATCATGCGGAAGCTGCAGATGAAGGTAAGCAGAATGTTTAACAATATGTATTATGATATGTCTGTCTCGGGACAGCAGATAGGTCAGTTGTGAGGCTTTTACAGATTATGCAAGCATCTCTGAAAAACACACGATGATCGATGATTTCATGTCGATTTTGTTTTGGGCGCAGTATCGAGCTTGAACACGCTTTAATGTCGGGAGCCGAAAGCAGGTATTATTCAGGTTGTGATTTCCCGCATTGAAAAGGTGTGATTAGATTTTTAAATATGGATGAATGCATAGATCTTAGAATCCATTTTGAAAAATTCCAGCATTTTGTCAAAAAATAGTAATCTTGAATTTTTTAAAATTCTATCTGTGGTCACAGATATCACGAATTTACACTCACATGCTTACAGTATACTGTAACAAATGAAAGCATAGCAAAATGTTTATCCCCCGAGGAAGAGGAATACTTCCAACCGGATTTCTCCATCAGAAGGGTGGTCTTTTCGTTTCTTAATACATATACATTTCTATACATACATACATTTTCCAAGGTCGACCTTACAGCACTGCGTGTAATTTTGGAACTAACAATTTAACAGTGTGTAGAAAGTATATTACATACGTAGAAAACAAAACAACCACAAAAGATACAAATGTATCTACATATGATGCTGCTGCGAGCTGTTATAACTGAACGAACAGCCAATCCAAGTCATTGAAGCCGTAGCAAAATCGGTTTCATTATGAATAATTATGCAGCTGGGGGTTGAATTTGTGGGCATAGACCTAGCCCAACGCGTGCTGGCGAGGAGAGAGAGGGTCACTGAAGCGTTTTATGATTGTAAATTCTGTTTTTATTAACTGGCTGTTTGGTCGTTGACAACGGGGTTAGGGTAAGTGGCGGCCATAAGGGTGCGAAGCGTTTCTGGTTTTGTTTGTTGTTTATTATATGTATAATTTGATTAGACGTTAAGTGTTTAAGTGTTTCTCTCTTTTTGGATTTGCAGGAGTGGTTTCTGATATTCCACTCATTAGACTCTTCCCCTCCCTCGTCAGTTTATGGTCCACATCCACACCCTAGCAGGCCCCTCAACTTAGCCACAATATTGACCACAACAAACAAAACTCTTCGAGTGTCCTGATTAATAGCATTGTACCTGGGTCCAGCGCGGCCTTGACCATTTGTAAGAAAGAAACCTATAAACATCCATTTGCCGGTATGTGTGTACGTACTACATGGATGTTTTCCTCTCTCAGAAAGAGGAGTACCTGAGTTTCTCCGTCGGAGGACAAACCAACGAAACTGCATATCACTGCAAGTGCGGATCGTTGGTGGGTCCTTTGTTAGATATACCTTGTCCTTTGTCCTGCAACACTGACTTTTCATTCATGAACATAAAACTCTACAAAAAAATACAAGAAACAAAAAGTTTCTTTTGTTTTTGGTTTACGTTTTTTGAACATTTTGCGGTAAAGTACTTTGATATAGTTTTTCTATGCACCAATATATTCTATGCCGATAGAACAGAACATAGAAACATAAAAAAAACAGGCCCTGGGGTCTATTTATTCAGCAACACGCAAACTCCAAACCAGAAACAACCTCAAAGCTCATTCGTACATTATTCATGGATAAATATGAATGTACTCTTGCTCGTATTTGTACGCGCATATTTAAATATGTACTGCATGCATACGAGTATGTATGTGGAACTACTTGAGCTATAATATAATGAAGTCATATTTGTTATATCAACAAAATGCTTGGATAAACAAACCCCCGACTGCACACTATAAGTAGCAACAATGGCAACTACAACAATCAGTCAAAATGCAAATGTCACAACCAATTAATGTCAATAAATGATTAACCCAATCTCTAGCCATTTCAACCCGGCTCGGTGGTGGTTTTCGCTGCCTCCCTGACACACCACACACCACCCTTCTGATGGAGAAATCCGGTTGAAAGTATTCCTCTTCCTCGGGGGATAAACATTTTGCTATGCTTTCATTTGTTCAGCGTTTAGTCGAGTTTTGTTCACAATTTAAATGAAATTTCTCCCTCAATCCAGTGATTCTGATACGAGTTTTTAGATACGATTATTAAGAAAATCCTACATATGCGTAGATCACAAACTTTTACATATGTACATATATTGATATAATCTGATAGATCATACATACATACATACGTACAAAATTTGTATGTGTATCCAGAAATCGTGCTATAGCACGATCTAATTTTAAGAACAAAGAATTTCTGACCCAATCAAGCGTGAAATGGACAACAAACGGAAGTGGTCAATAAAGAAAATCTCAAGGGCCCAAACAATTGTTAAAAGGCGGTTAGAAACTACTGCCTCCTTGTTCTTTTTCTGCGCACGAGACCAACGCAACGCCAAAAAACAAAAAATAGAAAGGCGTCCAGTCTAAGGATTTTCTGCAAAAATATGAACACAACAGCAGCTGCTGCTCCTGATATAAGGCCCGATGCTGATCCTGGCCCTTCTTTGCACGGCCCGCCAATTAAGCAGAAGCCAACAACTGTTAAAAAGTAGGCGAAAATTCGGATCGCCTACGTGGAGGGATCGGCATCGGGATCTCGATCCGGGTCCATAGAAGCTGGACAACAATTAACGTCAGTAATTGTGATCGGTTTTATAGCCACTTAACATACGATCAACTGCTGCCAGGCCAACGACAATGTAGCACCTTCAAGACAATGCAATGAAAAGGACAATTATAGGTAAATCCTTAAAGTCAGTTAACAAATGATAAAACTGCCGCCATAATTCTATGTAATGTAACCCAAAAACAACTCGAATTCTTCTATAGTTCAAATGCCGTCGGCAGCGGCGTCGCTCTGTCTGGTACACAGTCTGACCTGGCCCAAACACACTGCTACACAGACAAAGGCTCGACGTGCGTCGAGTCTCGGATTTGCTGCAGAACCATCAATGAATGAAACAGAACTGAATGGACCTGGTTGATGCATGATCCTGGCATTGTTCGACCTTGCACAAGCAGAAGAATGAATCAATAAAATTACGCCAAGGCGAGGACTCAAAGGAGATATGGGATGGGTTGGTTGACAATGCGTTAGGAGCAGGAGGGGACTGAGAGCAGTGGCAGCAGAGTTATGCTATAGCACTCGACAGTGGTAGCCACTTGGGTCATAAGTTGCCATGAAATTGGCATTAAACGGTCGAGGGTTTGTCTTTCTTCATGGATTCAAAACTAATCGATTGGTAATACATACTATTTGTATGTACATGTGGTATAAATCGTATCCTGATAGAACAGAACTTTCTCTGGTCAGCAAAAAAAAGCCATTCATAGGGTTTTTATATTCTACATTTTACCTATAAAATTATTTCATTGTGGACAGATATTTTCGCGTAAATAACATCGAAATCAACATACTTAAAATATAACATAAAATTGTATGTGGAATAATATTAGAATAGTTGTGTGTTAATTAGGATAGGACTGAACTTTTTATCGCAAATATAAAAGATATCAAATTAAAGATGAAAAGGGCAGCTGGGTAGCCCTAGCAGAAGTAAACGCGTTTAAAAAGCCAAGAAAGAAACCCTGGAACCCTGCTCTAAATTAAGTATTATGAAAGAGTTGAAACTTGGACGCTGCTCTGAAAAGTTCTCATATCAACAGAAATAATAAATAAATGGTAAAATGTTCAATGTACAAAGCGGAAACTATTTTCCAATTCATCTAAAGTGAGAGCACCTCCCATGAAATGCAGGAAATAAAACCTACGCCAGAGATACTAAAAATTTAATATTATTTGGATTCTACGTACTTTGCGACTAAGCGTAATTTGATCTATCTTCGCCTGAACCAATTCAGTGCCGTTTAGAAAGCTCTTAAGCAGTCTCAACTTTCAATTAAACTCGAGTCATAATACGAAAATGCTGAGGAAGATTCGTTCCAGCCAGATTTACGGCAAACTGGAACGCACACTCCCAGGGGTAAGGTACGCATTGTGCCACGCACTCATTCGATTCAGGTCCAGCCAGGTCCCCGCCAGAACTATGCCTTCCATTGGGAATGATCTGAGCCAATGGCGGAGCGTAAATGGCAACAGTTGCCGCTAAATGGTGACTTAATGGCTGAAGAAACACACAAACCACCCTCGAATGGGCCATCAGGGGTGAGTGTGAGCGAGTGTGGAAAACAACCCCCAAGACAGGGTCGCTACCTATATAAGATACGGATAGCGGTCCAGCAGCCAGACAGTCTCGTTCAGTCAGCGATCGTGTTCACTACCTCAGTCTAGGCCAAGCTCAATAAAGAAAATGTCGCGCTCTTTCCTGATGGATTCCCTGCTCAGCGATATGCCGCCCTTAAGCAAGCAAAAGGAACCTTCCAGCTCTGCTAGTCAAGGAGCCAGTGCAACGGCCTCCGCGGTGGCCGCAGCCGCCATGTTGCCCACCATCCCCATTCTGCCATATCCGGCCAGCTATGTGAGCAGCTACCTCTTCTCCCTGGGCATCCAGCAGCAGCAACAACAACAGCAGGCAGCCATGGCAGCAGCAGCTGCACTCCAGCAACATCCCCATGCCCATGCCGGAACCGTGTCCGGCTCGCTCTATCATCCGTATGCCCAGCTCTTCGCCACCAAGAGGAAGTCAAGCGGGTTCAGTCAGTACGAGAGCTGCTACCCATCGCCGCCGCTCTCGGCCAATCCAAGCAGCGGCTCGCAGCAGATGCCTCTTCACTCGTTATATGCAGCAGCTCCAGGAGCGGCCTGCCCTCTGCCCCTCCCCGAACCAGGCAGCTTTTGCACATCACCCTCGGCGTCCTCGTCGGCTTCCGTGGATTACACCAACAACTTTGATGATCAGCCACAGGGGAAGCGCTTTAGGCACGAGTCCTCCTGTTCCCCCAACAGTTCCCCACTGAAGTCATCGGCCGTGCCATCGGACATCACCCCACTCATCAGCGACTATGCCGATTCGAGCAAACGGATTCGCACCGCCTTCACCAGCACGCAGCTATTGGAGCTGGAAAGGGAGTTCTCTCACAATGCCTATCTGTCCCGGCTGCGTCGCATCGAGATCGCCAATCGGCTGCGGCTCTCCGAGAAGCAGGTTAAGATTTGGTTCCAGAATCGTCGTGTGAAGCAGAAGAAGGGTGGCTCCGAGAGTCCCACATTCAATATTTCCACCAACTCTGGTTGCAGTCCCCAGACCTCGCCCCTCGGCAAAGTGTGCGAGCTGAAGGTAGAAGCTTAATATTGGGAGTGAGTCCAGATCCTCTTCCCGAATGTACAGTAGATCTTAGTTTGTTGCGCAGCCCCTAGTATCTTAAGTATCTTAAATCGAATAAATTAATCCTAAGGGATATTGAAAACGAAGCTATACAAATATTATCCAACCTAATCCAAGCACATTTTGAAAAGATTACATTACCTGAAAACTGAAGATACTCGTTGAAAAATACATACCTTTAGTAGGAGTGTTACTCTCCTGCTGAAGTTTCGACCTAAATCTCAAAAACGGCTTTCCCATTCCCAATAAAATTCCTATGTAGTTGCTCCAAAAAATTTGAATCCAGCAATTTTAATTTTTGAACATATATAGTATGATATACATACATAGTATCATGACCTCTCTGGAGACCTCAAGCCTCTAATCAAAAGGATGAACCGATTAGATAATGGTGGGAGCATCTCCCTCAAGTATTAAATTGGCTATGAGCTGAATCTACGGACTACCAATCGCATTCCCGACTTCAACATTGAGCTGGAGTTTCTGCAGTTCCATAGCCAATAGCTTTGACAAATTTTTCGCCATACTATTTTATTTAATTGTCTTTAACAACTCATTCAGAAAACAGTGTTCAAAATATACATACGTACGTGTATGTATGTACATATATGCTGAACCGGAAATTTGTCGGATTTAATTTTGCACACATCTCAACTGTTGTATTTTTTTTGCAAATAAAATGTGCGAGAATTGAGTTGCTTTCATGCTGTTTAAGTCGACAAGCCTGACAAATTGCTGGACAAGTCGGTTCTCAAATCTCATTTGGAAATCTGTCATAGGATGGTTGTTATCAGGGCTTAGTAAGTGTTATAGGATGATTGTTAGAGTATGAGAATTTGACTGAAGGGTATGGACTGGAAGGGTAAGAAAGATGGATCCACTGCACCGTTTGAAATAAATTGACGAGTAACAGTTTGCAGATCATTAATTCTGCTCATCAAGTCGTTCTTTGGATAGTTTTTCGTCGACATTTACTTAATTTTGTACTATCTGTACATCTGTTTGTCCTGACTGAGTCGCAAACGACTGGTGACTGGTGACTATCAGCCAAAAAGCTAAGTACCCTCTGGATTTTGAAAATATAAAATAGCACTTTCTGATTCTGTCCTCTGATGGCAGTCGAAACGTTTGTGTCTTTGCATACTTTTCTTGACACTAAGATAACTGGTACTCTGCTTCTATCTATGCATTAATTTATTGTAATCAAAATTAGTTTACGCACGCTAATAGTACGAAGGGAGAGAGATAGGAAGTGGGGATGATACTGCTAAGCTTCTCTGTGACAGGAACAGACACACACACAGAGAGAGATTGAGAACGCGAGGCAGTTGAGTCAGTCATGGGAAATTGCTTTTTTTGCTTTTTTTTGGCTATAATAATAGTCCCGGACCACAGAAATGTCCGGAATAGAGGAGTGTAGGAATTTATTGTATGTTTAACATGTTGCGGGCTAGAGTAGTTTATAAAAGGGGATTATATTCTTTTCTATGCTGTTACTTGCATTAATTTTGCGATTGATTTGGATTGTTAAGTAATCTGTTTTTAAAACGATAACCAGGCCTTTGATTTATTAAGTTTTATTTTTTATATAATATGTACATATTTTACACTGCTTCTGTAAATTCGTTCCGCAGAACATAAAAGATTTCCAAACGGATTGTGTGGTCTGCTGATTCTAAGCCGCAATTTTGACAACAAAGACATTTTTTGCCAAATCATTGGAATTTTTAATTAATCACGGGCATCATTCGGGGTGGGATGCGCCAATAGAGTTGGTCCTAAGCATTTCCCACGACACTTCAAATTGCACAAATTAATGATGCCAACTCAGCTTTGCTCTCCAGACGATTCTTATCATTTCGGATAGTGCAGGCAATACCAAATACCAATCCAGCGCCGAGTGTGGTGACAAACCCAAAACGAATCAAGCGCATCAGAAACCTGCTCAAAGAACTCTCATTCAGAATTCATTCAACACTAGACAATTATTCAATGAATGGGAACAACTGCAAGGACCTGGAACTGGGACTAACTCTCATTGTGCTCTCCCAAGGGGTGCGGGTGCGGTGCTAATAAACGCAATTGCACCTACGCCCCTCTGGGTCATCGCTCGGAAAGAGAATGGGAATGGCACAAAAATAGCCCAGTCGGCGGTTTTAGGAGGAATTTGGGAATACTATTTCTCTTTGCACTCCTTGAAAATTGTTCTCCTGCTCGTACCTGATCCCTTGCCTGGATCGTTATCTACTGGAGTTCTTAGTTTGTGTCCTCAAGTGTGCGCCTCTTCCACTTGAGCTGAAGGGCTCTCAGCTTCCCGACCTCTTCAGTCTCAAGTACTACAACAGCAGGTAGGAGGACTCCTTGACTCCACTCTTAAACATTTTTGTTTGCAAACTGTTTCTGTTGCAAAATTGTGTGTTTTTTTTCTAAAATTGGTTATGTAGGCTGCAGATCTTTATCGGGAGGATTTGATTTAATTGTTCCGAAATTCGAGACAATATTTAGAGCTGTACTTAATTTGAGCAGAGATCATGAAATACCTATTTGAAATAGACTCACTTACTTTTTAATATTTTCTATCATCAGACATTATAATACAGATATTATTATAAATACCTACATACTATATACATATGTGTCATGTGTCAAGTAGGTCTTAAGGATTTAAATATATTTTGGAAGAGAACTTTAAGAAAAATAATATGTTAATAACTGTATCAAATAACTCAAACAATTTTCAAAGCTCCTAAAGTCAACACTGTTTTCTATTTCTACCTCGAAACTACATCCAAATGAATTTGCATATTGTGCATCTCCTACATCCCACTCTTTGAAACACCTTTGGCCAGATGTCTCAGAGATTTCTTGAGTACTTGAGTCCCGCTGTTTTTTGGAAGCCATGCTGTGCTAACAGACAATTTATGAATGAATAGAGACTCGAGTGCAGAAACTCTTCAGTTTAAAGTGTATGCGCCCATCGGTATCGGACACTCCTTATGAATGAATGCGCAGCATTTCCTTCGTCAAGGCTGAGAAATTTCTTTCTACCTTTTGGCTATGTTAAAAGATCATTAGGTAGACGGAAATTCCGTTGAAAATTGGACGGAATGGATGGAGAAATTGTTCAGGTGCTCACTTCTGGATGCTCGTCTAGACTGCCTGTCGCCGTCGTAGAAGAAATCCCTTGGCCGCCTGTGGTGCAACGGTTGTGGCATCAAGTGTACTACCTCCGTCTGCGGAGGGTTCTAAATTGGCGCATAGGAATATTTAAGTTTTGGTAAGCTTTGGAAAATAGCTCCGTGGCTTTTAGCACATTTTTAGCACGTGAAAGCACATTTTTTAAAGCTTGAAAGCTATTTCTTTTGTCATGCTTGTAGGATTTCGGGGTTGGTTGAATTGTTCGATTGCAATGGGTTGTGGGAGTAGGGCAATGAAAGGAACGCAGAATAAGGTAGGTAATCTGGGAACACATCTTCAAATCCTTTAAGCTTTTGAAATGAATAAATTAACTTCAAATGTATTTTAGTCGGGTTTTTGTGGCTGGTCAAGCCAAGGTAAACATCAGGAAAATGAGTTTTCCACTGTATATGTTTGAAGAAGTGAAACAATAATATGATTTTTATTTGTTCACTGTATTAGTTCCAAGGAAATGGGCTTGTTTAATTCTTAGTCTGACCCATAACATACACATTCATATGTACATATGTACGTGTATGGATGGATGTCTGTGTGTGTTTATGGAATTCTTTTGTTACAATCTCGGCTGGAAACCCCACTAGATGTCTTTGGTCACGCAATCAGGGTCTGCCCATTAGGGATATGAGGTAGACCCCACCTAAGTGACCCATTAAAGAGCCCTTCAAAAACTTTTTTCATTTTTTGTCGAAATTGTTTCAAAGCAGCTTAAAAGCTAACTTTCTGGGCTGACTGCGACAATTTTTGAGGAAATGAGTAAATATCTATGAGACTTTTTGTTCCAGCAATTATCCGTCTGTCTAAGATTTCAATTTACTAAGAATCCCGCTGTCACTACCGACTCGTCAGTGCCTTGACACTCTCACCTTCATCTGATGGGTTCCGTTCCCTTGAAAGTTAAGCCAGCACGTCATCGTCCTTGGGCCACTCTGGGTATTGAATTTAATGAACTTTTTGTTAACCGTTCTTGGCTCATCCGCACATTGACTTGGCTGGAATCTGGGACTTGGTTCTGGAGCCATGCGGAATGATGGAGCCATTTTTGTGGCGCCCCACTGCCATCGAGTGGCGCCTGTTTAAAATGAGTTTTGTCGCTGGCGACAGACTGAACTACGCGTATAAAAGAAGAGAGTTAGTCGAATTCAGGTATCTTTATTTTCTATCTTTTCAACTGAGGACGATATATTTATGACTGAAGTAAGTGCTGTGGCGCCACATACTGAGGTGGTGGTGGTTTCCTGCCCCTCCCCCCCTATGTGACTGGACATATGTATGCATAATATATATGCATGCCTTTTTTGTGTGTGTATCGTATGCAGATGAACATATGAAACGGAATCGGAATTCATTGACATCATACGCATTGAGTGGCACGTGCCCGGATTTCAATTATATAATTATATATATTATATATATCTGCATTAAAGCAGTGCAAATTAGAGATATTCCTGGCCCCGAATGAAAAGTAAACAAAGAAAAAGTTTATACAGACACGCAGTCGGGCCTATGAGTGAATGAACTCCTTGATTAAGTGATGGAATACGATGGGATGAGATGGAAAACGACGAAGACTCACACGATAGCTCCAAGGAAAAAATATTTCTTGGCTAATCTTTAAGATTAAAGTTAGGCACGAGGGGGGGAAACTAAAGCGATAGCCTTGGAAAAAAAACATCTGCAAAAATACAACAAAATGCCTAAATTCAGACAAACAACCAGAAAAAATAAAGCGATAATAAGAACAGAAAAGCAACCGCTTAGCTGTTATTAAAAAAAGAGAAGATAGAATGAAGAGATGAAATGAAATGACATCAAGTCGAGAACGGGGACACAGGAACTGGCGGAGCAAAAGAATAAATAAGCCAGCATACGCATACGAGTACCTTCAGGGCAAAACGCCAACGACAAGAACGTTGACAATTTTCGCCAATGCCAAAGGCCCAATTCTCACCAAATCTTCCAACCCAAGCACTCCTCCTCCGCCTTGGACAAGTGCGTTAAACTTTGTCGTCGGCCCAGGTGGCCTGGCTGGGGGCTTAAAGATGAAGCAACTTGTTGCTGAAACAGAAACTGACACAGAACGAAGGAAATAAAGATACAATATCCAGGAAGGGAGAGAGAGAGAGATAGAGACACAGTCAGAGACAGAGAGAGCATTGTGCAGCTAAGCTGTCTGTCTGTCAATGGCTGGAGCTGGAACTTTCTGGCTGTGCTGTGCTTATTGCAAGTGCCATTGGCCTACATGCGTGTGTATGGACAGGGGTGTGCTGGCCCTATAAAGGGGATTGAATAGCAATTTTTCAAATGAAAGTACGAGTATTAAAATCACTAGATAGAGAGAGGTAGAGAACTAGGTCTCGACAGTCGCTTGAAACATAGACCAGTTCGGGAGTATACCAATCTTTTAATTTACGCCCAAAATAACTGATTACACATCTACTTAATGCACCCTCGTTCACCGAACCTTTCCCACCCGTGGGCCTCTGCCCCTGTGGATGTCTGTGTCGAGTAAGAGTATCTTTGCTTTGTCTGATGCGTTCTACTTCAAGTAGTCTGCCTGGAAAGTTTCCTCTCCACAAAAAGTATCCACAAACCACTGACTTACATAAATATACATACAAACACCCCACACTATTCGTTGGGTTTGCCTGGTGCAAACCGAAGAACGAAGAAAGAGTGAGACAGAAGAAAGTGAGATGGAGGGGAGGAGTCATGAGTAAACTTGCTTTGCAGCTTGCTCAATGTCAGCTTCGCTGTGCTGCTCTTGGTGTGTGTGTTTTTTTCAGGGGCAAACATGACAACAGGTAAACACAGGCCAAGAAGTATAACTATAGGTATGTACATACACACATATGTACATATGTAGGTATGCAACGGCAGCAGGAGCAGAGCTGGCGTCAATAAGGTCGTTTATGGTAACTCGAGTCGCAGTTATAGACGGTCATTAGATGACGAAAAACGCCAAAAAGTATTCAATAAATTGAATCACGGGCTTTGCTAAGGCAAGACATACTCGTACATACATATGTACATACATACATATATACATATGTACATACATACATATATACATATGTAAGTATGTACATATATACACACAATTCTTATATGTTTCAGAGAGCTTTCAAGGTGAAAGTCGCTTTCACTTTTGAAAGCTTTCTCTTTTTCGAACTCTGCTATACGTAGTATTTGATTAGAGCCTGGAGTTTTCAGATGTGTCTGTATTGGGTTCAATGAATGAGAAAATGTCCTAGACCCATTACACATTGGAAACACCTGCCCAAGGTGACGGACAGGTGCTCAAAACCTTGAAAAAACAAACGACTTCCACTCTCCGAAAGATACGCGAGAGAGCGTTCAACAGCTGTTTGACTTCATCGAACGCACAAACAAGGCAACAAGTTGCGAAAAAGCTTTCGAACTTCGAATTGAAAGAATTTCCTTCGCCTGTCGTCGTATCCGTATCCTCGTTGCACGCTTAAGGCAAGGCCGACAGAACCAGCGAATATTCGAACAACTGTGTTTTTTTTTTGCAACTTGTTGTACGCTGCCGTATTCCGTGGCTCCGTAGCTCCGGAGCTCGTCGTCTGTTGCTCGAATCGAGAATCAGTACCCCGCGTACAGCTCCAATGTGAGGAACACATCTCTCTCGGTCTCGCCTCTCTCCCAGGACATCTCTCTGGAATGGCTGTGGCTACCAAAAAAAATCGCTGAACACAAATTAATGGAAGCCAAGAGAAAACTTTCAATTGAGTTTTGCGCTGTTGCTGTTGCTGTTATTCGTGTATTCGTGTGCTTTTGTGTGTTCCTGTGCCAGTGCCAGTGCCTGTGCCTTTGCCTGTGGTAGTGTGTTCTTGCAATATGGCCAAGTGTTTTTTTGTTGAAAAATGTTAACGAAGTTTAATCCCCTGCTGTCTTCTGTGTGTGTGTGTGTGTGTGTGTAACTTAAAGAGAACTCCAAGTAGGTAAAAGTACCGATGAAACTGTTGCTTAGCTGGCTGTAGCGCCTTCTGTGCTTCGCCTCCCTTCCGCTGAAAAGGAAAACTTATCTCTGCTCATCTATTATTTACTCGTTCATTTTCATAGCAAATCAAATGTGTCAGCAGCCCTATCCTAATGAGAAACATCTCCAATGTCAACCTATGAATACTCACTCTATATGCGAGTACTACATACATACATCCATATAGATAAATATTCATGAGGTCGAAGCAATAGGTAGTTAGTTAGTCTGCAATTGGTATACTCGTAGATATACACATGTACGTATGTACATAGATCTGCGATATGGAAAGTACGATGAGGGCTGGGATGTGTATATCTTGGCCAAATAGCAATTTGAAAATGTTTGGAATTTCGATTAAATTCCAAACGTCAAAGCGGAAAAAACGGAACTTGAAAGTTCTGTGCTAGCACCCAAAGCCAAAAAAAAGACGCTGCGGCTGTCCCTGTCTCTCTTAGCCACAACAAATTTGTATGAGCCTTGTCCTTTGATATAGCATTCTATGGGGGAAAGTCCCAAGCTTCAGATTCAGTTCCATTCCCCACTGCAGCTGATGAGGCCCCTGTGTTGTCATCGTAGTCTCATCTTTAACCTACAGTTTCAGGCCTAGTCAGGGGCGCAGACCAAAAAGCAAAGTTAATATAATTATTTATAGATAACGAATCAGGCGAGTGAACAAATTTGTTTGAGGGGGAGTAGGAGGAGGGAACACGACGAACCAGGCAGACAGCCTCCCCCTAGCAAAAATGAGTGTTAATGGAGCGTCTGAGGGTGTGGCAGGGGAATACTGACTCCTGTTAACCAGAAATGATGGCGCACGTCCCTCGAATCGGGAATCAAGTCTGAATATGTTTAGCCTGTCATCTCTTGGTCCCATCCCGTATTAGGGGCCATTGTTGTTCGCGTGCTCTAGCTTTGAGTACAGACCCCATTCCCTTTTATCTCCTATTAAAACGGCACACGAAAGGCTTCTGGGACTGGTATGTGTACATATGTAAGTACTACGGTTGCCTAGACTGGAGTCGAGTCCATAAATTATATCTATGAGGGAGCATACTCGTATAATAGAAAAATATGTCAGCATTTTGTGGATAACAATAAGTGGCAGTCCTAGAAAGAGAGGGGCGAGGCGAGTGCGTGTGTGTGCGGGAATGGTAGAGAGAGCAGGCCACGCGCTGGCTTTACCTATAAGGCATGTTGCATGTGCCACACAATTTGTCACAATTAAAGAAATTGAGAAAATGGCTGCAACATCACGCGCCGAGAACAGGAGAAAGAAAAGAAGAAGTTCATGCAGGGATGTGGAGGGATCTTCTTGAACCAGATGCATTTGGTTTTCCCTCTTATTCCCTTTCTCTTTCCCTCTCCCTCTCCCACTCTCTATCTCTTTCTGGATGAATGCTCGAATGCAAGTCGTAAATCTCAATTATGTTTATGAGTGTACGAGTATACAAAGCAAGAGAACTAGAGAATCTACAGAATTGCACTCGAGCTGCATCTAAACTCAACTCAAACTTACTATACTAAAGCCATTTGCAATAGGTAATCATCTTTTCAAAGCTCTCCATCCCATTTTTTTCCAATCTATTTTCGAATATGTGACACGAAAAATTAAAACTTTAACAATTGAATTGAGTTGCATATTCAATGCATCAAACCCGGTCCCACTCCAACCTTTACAGCAATATGGCAAGATCGACTCTGCTGTTGAGATGATTCCCTTAGTGCGTTACAACCAACCGGCTTAAATTATAATATCCTGCAATGAAATGGTACAAAATGGCCAATTAGAAAGCAATTCTTTTGTTTATTATTATTATTTTTGGTTTATATTGGTTTATACCGAATGATATCGAATGAGTACTGGAGGATCTGTTACTCCATTGATCCATGGCTGTCTGCTCTAGAGAGCTCTGACTGTATTTTCATCTGTCAGCTCCCTGGAATTACTTAGATAGTACATATGTGCATACCCACACCCACACACACCCCTCCATAGATAAGAGTGCTCATGCATGCAAATTGCATATGTATGACTTGATTGCGTTATCCTGTCCCCAGGCTTCGCCCTCGTCACCCTCTTGGTTAGCCAATGCATTTCCGTCCAAAAGCTCAGCTGGCCGCAACCAGCGAAGGGCTGGGGTGGGCATATGGTAGGGACGGTGGGGCTCGTAATATGATTTATTCAAATGAATGATGTTGCTGTGTATTGTAGTGTGTGTGTGAGTGTTTGGTTGTACGCGTGGGCGCGTGTGTGTACAGTTAAATTAGTTTACTTGATTTCCGCTGGACATTTGGTTAGTCGAATTTGACTCGATTGCCGGAAGGCGAATTGATTGAAAAATATGGAAAAATTTGGAATAATTGAGGTGCAAATGTGCATGGGAAATCCAGGCTGGCAGGATATTTGCATAGTAAATTAACGTGTGGACAAGCTACTCTTAAGTGCGGCTCTTGAAAAATCCGCATACACAGAGCAACAATTTAAATGGAAAATAAAACCCCCTTACCAAATTTTGACTTATTTTTAACGAGATGTCTTTTTAACGGTTTTTAATGTTGTTTTTCCGGTGAATACAACGAATCACCGATATTTGGCATTAATAAATTGTTACAATTTTCTAAAAGAATTTTATATGTAAAAAAAGACCCGCTTTTCAGTTTTTTTTCCTGCACCACAAATGATTTGATGCTTGCTTGTGTCGGTCAACAAAACTGATTGAATTAAATGTCCTTCAAAGAATTTCTCGGGTCAGTGCATAAATATACAGAATGGTGTAAAAGTGGGAGGAGACTGATGCATATACATACAGTCTGCAGTTAATTAAAACCGCAATAAATAAACATTAAACAACGTGCATGACGAGGCGAATGATGGGCTGTGTGGGCCGGGTCTGATCCTGTCTTGGTCCCGGCCGGGCTTAATGCGTTTATAGTCAGTGCAATATCAATATGCAAATGCAATTAAGAAGCATGTGGCGCGAAGTTTATGCTGTGGAACCGGCCTCAGCCCTACGTGCACTAATTTGTGAATGGGATCACGTAAAGTCATCGGAGGATAGGGGCTATGATGTGAGGCAGAGAATATACCAATCAATCGAGGGTCTCGAATCAAATGAGTATACATGCTCGTATGTACAGTAAGCTTTTGTTTCTCTCTGCTCTTTGGGTACATCGAAATATTTTTACAAGAGAAATACTTAAATAGTTAGTGGTTATCCCCATTCATGCTATTCGTTGGAATCAGATGAAATCGACAAACTTTATTATATAAAAAAAGTGACAAGTTGTTTTCATGTTTTTTCCACAAAAATATTTGTTTTCAAGTTCGTCAGATTTTAAATCACTTTTCGTTCAGTCTCTCTATCACTGTACAGTCGCTGAAAAATCACGTACAATTTTCAATAGATTTTTGCATGCAATTTCAGTGACATTCGAGGAAGAGAATCCGTAAAATCGCATACATAACTCAAGCACTCAGCCTTATGCAAGCAGAAAGTTTTCAAAATACTTATTTTTATAGCCAGTTGACAGCACAAGGGCGGCGAAGAGGTGTGAGGTGGGAGGAGGACAAGCGCAGGCCCCGACATCGAGATGAAAGCCAAAAATGTTGCCCTGATAAGGCTGCCAGGCGTAGAGACACCACCCACATACATATTCTCGTATCAGCCCAAACCAAACCAAACCCGACTCATCGATTTGTCAAAATCTCTGTGCACGGGAAAAGGAAATGGGATGGTGAGAGCGGGTGGGAAAAAGTTGGAGCTCTGGTGCCGGGGTAAAAACGACAATCAAATTTCAGCCAATAATTAATTTGTCCATCAAAAACGGACAATGGGAATGTCCTTCAGGTGCTAAGGCAATCGAAAACTGATTTTGTTCCGATGAAAACAATTTACTGACATCTAATTATTGTGATTTTAGATTGGTTGGGAAGGCATTCTTGTCAGACTTATTGTGTCCGTTTTGTTTAATTATGTATTTTGTTTCCCATTTAATTAACCGTTGCTTATGAACCAACTGCCCATCTACTTTTCTTCGTTAGATTGTACTTTTTCTAATTTTTTCGGCCCATAGTTTAGTCTTTATTCAAAGCCAAGTGAAGTTTATTTTTAAAATTTGCACGGCCTTGTGAAAATTGAACTGTTCCACAAATTATGGGTTGGTCCAGCCAAATCAAAGTATCCCCTTGTTGGGAGATCTCCAATAAATATAAGCGTACAGTGACCTCTATTTATATTTCAAAATTTGAATACAGAAAATGTTGCGCCTAACTGAAACTCTTTGGAGAAAAGTTAACAAATAAGCAGCTGAACCGAGACAGAGGACATTGACGTCACAGTACTTGGGGGAATTGGAAATTTTCACCCAATGGGAGATGTTGCTATGGGCTCTTAGTTATTTGTCCTAAATCTCAGTGCCGGAATACATTTGTGGAAATCATCTCATACTCCTAACAAGATTGATGGCAGGCCCAGAAAGGCTGGATGCACGCAACATACACGATGGACGATCCCCAGCCCAGTCTCTATGAAAGGGAACCAAATCGGATCATGTCAATGCATTGCAGTGAAATTTTTGCTGCCGGGCTCCCAGACAATGGGCCTTTGATTTGCGAAGGGGTAAATGGACAAATTGCCGAAACGCTTGCGCGCTCCCTTTGATCCTTTTGGACTCCTTTCGCACAGCGATTTGCAAAAAATGTTCCCGAAACATTTCTCGGATTGTACTATTTGTTTATGGCCATATTGAGTTTGAGTTTGATTTTGTTTCGATTAAAACCACAATGGAGGAAGCCTTTGTCGGAGAGGTAGACAAAACAAGAAAGAGTTGTCAGTAG